TTCTAGCAAAACAAACCATGTCTTCATCCTTCCAACTTGCTGAATACTTCGACCTCGTTAATGAGATTGACGCTGCCTCCCTCGTAGAATCCGCCCTGTTATCCCCGCAACATGCTCTTGAAATAGAACGCATCCTCACTGAAAGAGAGGATGACACCACCTTTACCACCGTCAATATCATCCACACCACCAGTCTCCTAGAAACCATCACTGAAAATATAGGCAATGCCGACGCTCAGCGCAGCATCCTCTATTGTCAAAGAAAAATACGAACCTTTGCTCTCCATCTCCTTCCTTTGTATTTCAAGGAGGATGTAACGCAAGCCATACAAACCATCACAGAACGAGTCACAACCGAGGTCGCCATTCCACCCCCACCTCCTCCTACTGCTATCCCCGTCACTCCTGAACCGACAATCACACTACCCGTCCTTCCACCGCAGAACACGCTCAGGCGTTTGGAACGTCGTAAAAGCCCCGCAAAGAAAACACCCTACAAACCCAAATCACGCTCCCCTCCAAAGAACAAAGACCGCTGCTCGCAGCCAGATATCGTAACCCCTCCAAAGCCATCCAGATCGCTACCACCCCCTCTTTCCTTCGATGACAACATCATTTGCCGCCACTGCAAAGAAATGGGACATCGTCACAAGAATTGCCCAGAATATTACTGCAGAGCGTGCCTCGTGTTCAAGCCTGGACACCTATCAGTCTTCTGCCGCCAACTCAACGGCGAAAGAGTCCTCCCCATGGAGCATAACGAAGAAGGCTTCTACAACGCACTTGCTAAATGGGAAGCGGACCAAGACGAACTTATCGAACGAATTGAGCGAGAAGCAGAGGAGCTCGCCAACAAACGCACGGGGGACGATCTGTTGGAGTTTCATAACGCTGACGCGGATCTCGTCTACTACGACGATGCGAGGTTCGAAAGTTGTTGAAGTCGGTGACTTCAGACGATAAACAGGGGGTAATGTTACAGCGGCCCCATCATTTTCTCATCATCATGCTGCTCCGATCTATTCCTGTTATCTCTGACTGCTTATCAACATGCACCGCATGAACATTCTAGATACTTCCGTCTATTCTTGTTATCTTTGACTGCTTATCAACATGCACTGCATGAACATTCCAGATAGTTCCATGATGTTCTTTTTGACTCCTTTCACTTCCATAGTCGGCCTGGTCCGTGCCTCCTTTGCCCATTATAAATACTGCAGTAGTCACACTTGTATTCTCTAACTTGAATCTACTTGGTTCTCTCCGATACTTGATCATCTTCTAAGGAAGATACTCGATTCCGATCTAGCTCTTATAGAGACTAGCCTATACTCGAACTTCACTTAGAGGGAGAGCCCCTCAAGTGTCTGAACCGAACATCGTAACACGAAGAACTCCTTTATTGGATTAGTTACGCAAGAACTATCCAAGTCGTAACAAGCCCTGACTGAAGTTCAGTCAACAAATAGCCTAGTAGTAACACAATCATACTCCTCGCACGATGTCCAACAATCCATCCATCTCGCAAGCTCTAGGTTCACACTTGCAACCAACTGCCTCGTCAGCATCCAACTCAAAGAAAATCCTACAAGGCTCGAACCGTCTCTACGATATCCCGTCGTTAGAGAATGATGGTTCAAATTTTCAGAACTGGAAATTTCGAGCTAGAAAAGTACTTATCATACGAAAACTTTGGGGTATTGTTGAAGGCTCAGAAGTCAAACCATCTGATTCTGACCCTGATGCGGTCCAAGATTGGCTAGAGAAGAACGACGAAGCACATGCGCAGATCACGCTCACGCTGAAGGACGAACCTCTGAACGGAGTCCTACACACGATGTTAGTGTCAGATGCCTGGACGAAATTGTGCGAGTGATATGAAGGGAAAGGAAAGCAGAGTATAGCCTACCTTATAGGCGAATTATTCCGCGGAACACTCTCGGACGAATCTCCTATGGAACCACAGCTCAATGCAATGCGTCAGATAGCTCAAGTCCTGAACTCACTCGGACAAGCCCTAGATGACTCCCTAGTGGCCATAGCTATGGTCATATCCCTTCCATCTTCATACTCGACTCTCCGAACAATACTTATGTCGACGAGCGACAAGATCACAATTGAAGGCACCATTAGCCAAATTCTAGTCGAAGAAAAGTCGCGGCGAGGTCCTGAATCACAAACGGCCCTCGTAGCCAAGACTTCGGACAAGTCAAAGGAGAGCTCGAGGACGGACAAGAAGAAGAAACCTGGCAACTGCAACTATTGCAAGAAGCCAGGTCATTGGGAGAGAGATTGTCGAAAGAAGAAAGCCAATAAGGCTAAGAGCAGTGACAAGGAGAAGGACGATGAAAAAGACAAGTCCAAAGCCGAGCTGTCAGTGAAAGTAGCGCATGTAGTCGAAGACGACACACCATTGCTACAGCTATTTGTCGCACATGGACCAAAACACGAGTCACATCCAGCCGAGTGGATTGTGGACTCTGGTGCATCAGCGAGTATGTCGTGTCGACGAGACTGGTTCAAGACATTTCGTGTCCTAGCCCCCATGCAGCATGTCATAATTGGAGATGGCCGGTCAATCGAAGCTACAGGTATCGGAAGCATAGAGTTAGAAGTTGAAGTCGGAGACGCACGAACACAACGAACCGTTTTGCAAGACACATACTACGTCCCCGATCTAGATGGCAATCTGTTGTCAATCCCACGCTTGGCAAGCAAAGGATATGAAGCAATTTTCGGACAACATACCTGCACGATAACTCGCAATGGCTCGATAGCGGCACTAGCAAAGCGGCAACAGTCCTTATACATATTGAAGGGACGCACTTGCGCTAGTGAAAGTGCTTACATCGTCGAAGGCCCCAGCTCGCTACTGAATGCAGAAGAACCAATAACGGCTCTCACGGCATGCACATACTCGTCAAAGGCAATGTTCGAGACATGGCATAGACGTCTTGCCCATATCGCACCCGAATCTGTGAAGAAGCTGTTTGAACAAGACATGGTCAAAGGAATGGAAGTCTCGGGATCAATCACTCACGAAAAGCAAGTTTGCAAGCCCTGCCTCGAAGGCAAGCAGGCACGCAAACCCATCCCAGACGAATCCGCCATTAAAAATCCCCGGGTGTTACACAGGACATATTCTGATGTCTGTGGACCCATGGAGACCGCTTCACGAATGGGACATCGATATTTCATCACATTTATTGATGCCTGCTCGCATCACGTCACGGTCAAGCTTCTCAAGACAAAGGACGAAGCATATGGACTCACGAAAGTGTATTTTGAGCGAGCAGAGGCTGAAACGGGCGAATGTGCAAACTATTTTCGAAGCGATGGAGGCGGGGAATATGGCTCTGGTGACTTCCAAAAGTACCTTGAGTCAAAGGGCATTCACCATGAAAAAACGAATGCTTACACTCCTCAAGAGAACGGAGTTGCCGAACACATGAACCGAACCCTCGTCGAATCAGCGCAAGCCATGTTAAACGATGCCGGACTGCCGAAGAAGTACTGGGGCGATGCCATACTCTACACGGCCCACATACTCAACAGAGTGCCAACTCGTGCCCTGAAGGAGAATATAACACCGCACGAGGCCTTTACTGGCAACAAACCGTCAGTAGCGCACTTGAGAATTTTTGGCTGCAAGGCACACGTGCACGTACCTGACGAGCGCCGTCAAAAGCTCGATGCAAAATCCTTCGAGTGCATCCATTTGGGATATGCTGAACACCGTAAAGCCTACGTCTGTTTGCAGAGGTCCAGTGGGCGAGTAATAGAGTCGAGGGACGTCGTGTTTGTCGAAGGGGAAGATGAAGGGTCGAGCCGAGTGAAGATAAGTGTTGAAAACACTGAAATTCATCAAGTCAATAAGCAACAAGACCAAACGAAATCACACGACTCACTGGCAAACCCAGGTCCAAGCGAAAACGGACAAGTGCACATCGAAGAGGTCACAAGCAAAGACGAGAACGAAGACTCGGATCCTGAGCAAACAGAACAGGAAGTCCCTGTATCTATAAGTCAACACGAAGTCAGCTCTCGAACCTCGCAACACACCTCCACAAGGCGTCGTGCACAGCCAGAAGGTCCTCCGGCACCATACCCACATCCAGTTCCCCCACGCGAAGTTAGACGCTCAACCCGCATACGAAAGACACCAGTTCCTGACGATGATCCCCGTTATTTCATCAACGCGTATGAAAGACCAACACTGAAGACTCACCAGGAAGCTACTGTGGAGGAAGAGGAAGTTCCTGGTACGAGGCGAGAAGAGAGTGCTGAAATCATCGAAGATGAGAGGGAGGAAGAACATGCAGGAGAGGAACGAGCTTACCATGCGGAAACGGCCGAAGAACCTAGGACGTTTGAAGAAGCGGCGAATCAGCCAGACGCGGACCTATGGCAAGCTGCCATGATAGATGAACTGAGGGTTTTTGAGAAGATCGGCCTATATGAGGCAGTTGAGAGACCGAAGGGACGGAAAGTCATTGATTCAAAATGGGTATACAAAATCAAACGCGGACCTACTGGGGAGATAGAGAAATATAAGGCGCGCTTGGTTGCTAAAGGTTTCACCCAGGTCGAAGGCGTCGACTACACGGAAACATTTGCTCCCGTAACGAAGTTTTCAACCATTCGGATCCTTCTAGTGCTAGCGGCACAACTCGATCTGGAAATACACCAGATGGATGTCAAGTCAGCCTTCCTCAACAGCAAATTAGAAGAGGAAATATACCTTGAAATGCCTCCCGGATTTCGCGATTCATCTGATCTAGTCTGGAAACTCAAACGAGCGCTATACGGACTGAAGCAAGCTCATAAAGCCTGGTACAAGCGCTTGCGAACCGTCTTTGAAGGACTCGGGTATACACGCTGCGAATCAGATCATAGTGTGTTCTTCAAAATTGAGAACGGAACTCACATAATAGCAGCCGTCTATGTCGACGACAAAATGATATTCTCGAAGGACCTAAACCTCATCAATCAGCTCAAGGAAAAGTTAAAGGGAGAGTACGAGTTGACGGACCTTGGAGAAGCTCGCTGGATCCTAGGGATGGAGATCATACGCGACAGGGAGAAGAGAACAATCGAGTTGTCGCAACAGCGATATGTCGAAAGCATACTCGAACGCTTCAACATGCAGGACGCACGACCAGTCGCAACACCAATGGATCCTAATACCAAATTAGTCAAACGGGAGACTGCAGAGACCGATCCCAGACCTTACCAAAGTGCGCTGGGAGCAATCATGTATGCGATGCTCGCAACGCGCCCAGACCTTGCATTTGCAGTGGGCGCATTAAGCAAGCACTCTGCGACACCGGGAGAGGAGCATTGGAGCGCGTTAAGACGCGTATACTGTTACCTGCGAAAAACGTCGAAGAAGCGACTAGTCTTCAAGGGAAACAACGACTCGGAGACAAGTCCGCGAGGATACGTCGATGCTGACTGGGCATCGGATGTGAACGATCGACGCTCGGTAACCGGATATGTGTTCGTAATGGCCGGGGGTGCAGTGAGCTGGCAGTCGAAGAAGCAGGATTCCGTGGCGCTGTCAAGTACTGAAGCAGAATACATGGCAGCGGCGTCAGCTACAAAGGAAGCAATCTGGGTAAATACCTTGCTGGACGAACTCAAGTTCCCTCAACCCCAGAGAACGCTACTCCTCATCGACAACCAATCCGCCATTTCCCTCGCGAAGAACACCGTCTTCCACAGCCAGACCAAACACATCGCAATCCGCTACCACTTCATCCGCGAGATAGTCGAAAAGGGCGAGATCGAGTTGAAGTACGTGCCGACGAACTGGCAAGTCGCAGATGTCTTGACGAAGGCGTTGAGTCGAGAGAAGCACGAACGATTCATTGGAGGAATGGGCGTGTTGAGTTGCTGATAACTCGCCGAGTGGGCGTGTTGTTTGTTTATCGATTATCATACGGCGAGTACAGCTTACATAATCACGCAAGTACATACAGACAGAACGGTTACTAATACCTCAGTCTACTACACCACGAGTGTAAGACTGAGGTGAGACATTCATTACTATAGTTCACTCATTTACTGACTCTACTAGTATACATTCTTTTGTCTCTAGGTTAGTTTATAGTCTACTACACCACAAGTGTAAGACTGAGTATACATTCTTTTGTCTCTAGCTCGTCCGTTCGGCTCCGCACGTCCTACTATGAACAAAAGTTTTTGCGCTATTTCTGAAACATCCGCCAAAGGAGTTTATCTGTTAGATGAGATGTACCAGCACATCTTGGCAGATGTCATGCCAAAGTACATGCACGAGGAATCGATCCCCATCTTTCAGTCCGTCATGGGTCAGATTCTTGCATCGTTGGAACCACTTCCCCTCAATGCATTGAACGAGATGCGGGAGCATTTCCCATGTGATGATGACCGGTACGACGTGAACTTGCTCATGGGGAAGCTCGGTTCGCTTGTCTCTGGCACCTCGGATTCTTATACTCCCATACGTCCCCTTCACGCGTCATTCTACGACTTCCTCACAGACAAATCGTGGAGCCAAGACTTCTTCGTTGATACGTCATCAATACAGAGCGACCTTGCCTTTGCCTCCCTTCGGGTCATGGACTCGGAGCGCGGGCTTCGGTTCAACATCTGCTCCTTGGAGAATTCGTACCTGCCTAATTCCGCTGTCCCTGACTTGGAGAAACAAGTCAAAGAGTCCATTTCGGCCGAGCTATCATACTCGTGTTGATTCTGGGGGACTCACGTAGCAGCGACATCCTTCGAAGCAACACTCACTAAGGAAATCGAACTGGTGGTTGGAAGCACTGGCCCTGATGAAAAGCCTCGGCGGCTCGGTAGACTCACTCTTGTCTATCGTAGGTTGGGTTGTGGTGTGTGTCTCAAGTTTATTCTTCGTGTAATAGATTCTTACGAGTAGTGGGGTGATCATAGGGTGATGTCGAGTACACGCATATCGGTGACGCTGCCAGGGACACGCTGCGCTTCGTTCAAACCTTTGCGCCCACCATTCTACGCAGCACTCCCCATTTATACCTTTCCGCCCTGCCTTTCGCTCCAACTCAGTCGAGAATATTTCGTCAGTTCGCCGCAAAGTTTCCTTGCACCCCGCGCATTGTTGCTGGCCATGTCGCAAATTGGCCTCAGATGGAAAAGATACTCCACACGAATGACTCAGTTTACTCGGTTGCAATTTCGCCAGACGGAAAACGCATCGCGTGTGGTTTATACGACAAAACGATCCAGGTGTGGGATACGGAGACTGGCGAGGCATCATGTGCCCCTCTCCAAGGCCACACTAAGCTTGTTGCATCTGTGGTATTCTCACCGGATGGCCATCGCATCGTGTCAGGTTCATGGGACACGACCGTCCGGGTGTGGGATGCGGCAACTGGCAAGGCATTGGGTGCTCCCCTCCGAGGGAACACCCATCGGGTCATGTCTGTTGCCATCTCGCCAAATGGAAATCACATCGTATCTGGTTCTCTGGACAGCACAATCTGGGTGTGGGATATGGGAACCGGCGAGGCATTAGGACCCCCTCTTGAAGGGCACACTGGCCCCGTTGAATCTGTCGCAATCTCACCGAACGGAAATCATATTGTGTCCGGCTCATCTGACATGACCATCCGGATGTGGGATATGAAAACTGGCAAGACATTGGGGGTTCCTCTCCGAGGGCACGCTGACAGGGTTCGGTCTGTTGCAATCTCGCCGGATGGGAAACACATCGTGTCCAGTTCGGACGACCAAACCATCTGGGTGTGGGATATGGAGACTGGCGAGGCATTTGGTGCCCCTCTCCAAGGTCACACTGACTCTGTTAAATCTGTCACAATCTTGTCAGATGGACACTGCATCGTGTCCGGTTCACAAGACCAGACGATCCGAGTGTGGGATATGAAGACTGGCGAAGCATTAGGAACCCCTCTCCAAGGCCACTCTAGCTCTGTTCAGTCTGTTGCCATTTCGCCGGATGGAAGCCGCATAGTGTCTGGTTCAATAACAAGACGATTTGGGTGTGGGATGCCGACATGATTACGGGCGAGGCATTGGTTGCCACCCTCCAAAGCCATACTGGCTCCGTCTACTCTGTCGCAATCTCGCCAGATGGGAAGCGCATAGTGTCTGGTTCAAGGGACAAGACAGTCCGGGTGTGGGATATGGGGACTGGGAAGGCCTCGACCGCCCCTCTCGAAGGCCACACTGATATTGTTCGGTCCGTCGCAATCTCGTGAGATGGACATCGTATCATATCTGGTTCAATTGACAAGACCGTCCGGATGTGGGATATGGGGACTGGCGAGGCATTGAGTGCGCCTCTCCTAGGACACACTGGAGGCATTAACTATGTCGCAATTTCGCTGGATGGACGCCGGATTGTGTCTGGTTCACATGACAAGACAGTTTGGGTGTGGGATGTGGAGGCTGGTGAGGTATCGGGTCACCCCCTCAAAGGACACTCTGGCTTGGTTCTGTCCGTTGCAATTTCATCGGACGGAAATTCCATAGTGTCTGGTTCAGTTGACATTCAGGTGTGGGATATGGGGACTGGCAAGGCATCGAGCACCCGTCTCCGAGGCCACACTAGCTATGTCGTCTCTGTCGCAATCTCGCCGGATGGCCGTCGCATTGTGTCTGGCTCATGGGACAAGACCATCCGGGTGTGGGATATGGGGACTGGCAAGCCATTGGGCACTGCTCTCCAAGGTCATACTGCCTCCGTTCACTCTGTTGCAATCTCATCGGATGGCAATCACATCATGTCCGGTTCAGCTGACAGGACGATCCAATTGTGGGATATCGCAACTGGCGAGGCAGTGGGTGCCCCTTTCCAAGGGCACACTGGATCTGTTCAGTCGGTTGCAATCTCGCCTGATGGTAAATACATAGTGTCTGGGTCATCCGACAACACCATCCGGGTATGGGATATAGAATTTCTCCACCGGTACTACCCTTCCACGACTGCAATATGTTTTTCACCTAACCCAAGCCACGCTCTTCGTTCTGCCCCCTCCTTTCTCAAAGAAACACCAGCACCATACGGTCCGAACGAGGAGGGATGGGTTGTCGGTCCCGAAGGACGGCTTCTTCTCTGGATCCCGCTCAATTTCTACCCGGCCACATATGCCCCGGGCAACACGCTGGTGATAGCCAACAACGCCTTGCAGCTGGACTTGAGTTTTCTTGCACACGGCATGTCTTGGCACGAGTGTCGGACACAGGACGCAGCGTCATCTTCGTGATAAACATCTTTCTGTCACACCATGGGGCCCAAATCGCTCGCCAACTTTCTTCACTCCTTGAACGCACTCCCAGCAGCCATGGATGTCACCCACACAACGCTAGACGAAGACTACTCGCGAGCAGCTCAGGGCAAATGCGGCCGTCTGCTGGTCAGCAAGCACTTAGTCTCTGATCAGTCTTCGCTTGTTCACCGACGCGATATAAATGCGAGTGATGGAGATTCTAGCGTGGGCTTGTTCTTATCATCGTCCAGAGTCCTCGTGTCGTGTAGATCTTGAGTATCAGATTTCGAAACCCGCTGCTGCTCTCCGAGGCGTGCGGCCTTCAACTATTTCATTCCCGAACAACAAGAACCGTGAGGAGGGATGCGTTTATAATGGCTGTACACGTTCGCCGCGCTATGATTGTAATCGCGGTGGACATCGTGGTAGCTGCGTGGCTTTGCAAAAATGAAATCTCTTGCGAAACAACTATTAGCGCTGCTTCGTAAATTCCGTGCCTGTCAGGCTGTGATGCACATCGTCGTCGCGAGCTCACTAGTACCAGAAAAATAGTCGGTAAGCGCTGGTCAACTGTTGTCATTTTTTTTTGATCGTGAACTGTGTCAGAACCCCCCAAAAAATCATACACAGTACAACTTATCGTAACGAGCACATATGTCTTCCGATTCCATTTCGACGCCGATCGCTGAGGATGTTCAACCAATTCCAACGCAGGAATCCAAGGGCTATGTTCGGGATTTCGTATTCTTGTCCGGTAAAAGTCACGTCCGAGTCGTGAGCGTTTCGCAGCATGGGATCCATGACTTGGAGTGCAACTGCAACATGGAACAGGTTGTCAGGAACCCATGGTCAGGCAAGGGTTTAGGAATAAATGCGCTAGCGCTTTCACCGGATGAGAAGATAATTGCATGTGGTAGGAGGGATGGGAACGTTCAGCGATGGAAGAGCAACGGGGAGACGACCAAAGACGTTTGGAAGGGTCATAGCGAGGAGGTGCGGGCATTGTCTTGGTCTCCCAGCGGGGACAAGATTGCAAGCGGATCTGAGGATGGCTGGCGCGGGGCCCAAGCTTAAGGATCGATTCCGAGTCAGATTCAGTACTATAACAATTATTCCTGCACGCCAACGCATTAATACGAAAGTCAATGTCATCACTAGGTACCGTATACGTCAATCTCAATCTCAATCCCATGACACGAGTTTTTGACTGACCTCTGGTTCCACTAAAAGGATATTCGAACTGGCGTTCTGAATTGTCACAAGAGTAGCCTCGGAGAGTTGCGGAGAGGATTGAACTGTACCTAATGTGGCTGTGCTATGCCTCATATCTCACTTCCCCCACAAAAATATGCAAGGCCCTTGCTCATGAAAATGATGTCCATCACCCGATACGCACGGATTCCCTCGATTTTGGACAGAGGCTTTGGACGAGCTATATCAAGGAGTTATGCGACAGTAACCGAGTTACCGCGACCCCCTCCTCCTACCGAAGAACCTCATGTCGAGACATTCTCTGCACCTTCGAAACCAAGGCTATATTATGCTAGACCTCCTCTCAAGTCTGACCTTCCTCGTGTTCAGGTTCGTGGACTGCACTGATTCTATCTACGCGCGCGCATTCCACTTATTCAATAATACAGAAACGTTGGCCGTTCATTCTCGCATTTGCCACCGTCGGAGTGTCCGCTTGGGCTGCATTTCTGCTCTTCGCGACGAACCAAGAGAAGTTATCGAGCTCCGTTGTAAAGCGAATAATGCAGACGGTTAAGGAGAATGAAGAACTGAAGGAGATGCTGGGAGATGCGATCCGGTTTGAACCTGCCTGGTACTTGAATGGCGACCCTTGGATAAATGGCTCGGTGAGTAGTACGACTAGTTTCGCAGCATTCACTTCATCTCAATCTTTGCCTAGATCAACCTCCCACAAGGCAATGTGGACCTAAGTTTCCGTCTAAAGGGCCACCTGGGCTCCGGCACTCTTTATTTCACTAGTATTCGGAAGGCCAAAGGACAGCCGTTCACTCCACGTGAGTTTTTCTTTGATTGTGCTTTAATTTTCTGATGCTTATTGCGACTCTAAATAGTGAGGTTCCGCGTCATCGGGGATGATAAGAGGGTCGTGAATTTATCGCCCCAGACTTCAAATTCGTCGGCAGTGAGCGCTGAGCGCTCGTAACGCTTGTCGTTCCTCGACGTGGGTTATTTGAACAAAAAACTTGGCTGCGTTGCTTGCAGCGTACGTCAGTGGGATATAATCACTGTCCTTCATTGCGGAATATATAAGTAATAGCCTTGTTGGGGGTCCCGTAAGACGCCCTTAATACAACCTCAATAACACCAATGTCAATCAAAAGTGCTGGCGGCTCATTTATCTCGAGTTCTACCTGAGCTCGAGGTGTCAAACGTTCGTAAGGTCAGTCGAGGATTATGGTTGTTCCATTTGTGCTGTCGGTCCAATGGATCATCCAGTGTTCATAGTGGTTACGATAATAGGCTTACACTGTGAGTTCAATACCTTTGTGCTCCGTTCCTTGGAAACTCGTCAGTCTCTTGAACGTCTTGAACACGCTTTCGCCCCCTCGCCTCAAACTTGCTATCATCATAGTCGATGTCAGTCGTGAAAGTGCGTGCTAGCAGTACTTTGTTTCTACAATACATGATGTAACGGAATGATCATAATGACGTTAAACTAACATGACTACAGTCTCTCTGGTGTAGCCGCCGCGTCAGTAATACACTGTATGGAAGTTATTATGTTACATAGCAAAATTCCACAGTTCAGCGCATACCAGCTTGAATGGCATCCTTGGAGGCTCGCTCCATAAGCTCAAGTAAAAGCTTGCGCTTGGACATTATACAAGTGAGCATACTCTCCCCGGCGGTCCAGCAGTTCCTGGTGCGTGCCCGTCTCAACCACAGTCCCTTCCTTCATACACCTTGGTTCGTCGTTAACATCAAAGCAATGATCAAAAAAGGGATACATACAAAATGAGGTCGGCAAACTTGGTGAGATGCCCGAAACGGTGCGTGACGAATATCATAGTTCTTCCTTGGCGAGCCTCCCTGAGCTGCTTGAACAGCTCGTACTCGCCTTCTGGGTCAAGAGCAGAGCTTGGTTCGTCGACTGTGACAAACTTGATGTCCTCGGACAGCATACGCATAAAGGTTCGGGAGCTGAACGAGTTAGTGAAACGTCAAAGAGGCGGTTGGGTAGACTCACGCAACAAGTCTTTGCTTCTCTCCGCCTAAGCGTCGTCAACACACGCACCAGCATGGACAATGAGACGTACCAGACACGGTTGTTGATTTCTCCATTGTCTCGTACTCCTTTTCTAGAGCCTCGTTCCCCCTCCCCGTGTAGCTGAGATATGAAGTCTTGACAGGTTCAAGGACAGTGTCATATTTATCGGTGAAGTTCTCAATGATGGCCTGAGCACCAGCTAACTTCGCCGCTCGAGTAATTTTGTCAAGATCTGTTGCAGACGATGGTGACCCGATCCCGATGTTCTCGCTCAAAGAGAGGGGGAAGATGGTGTGCTCCTGCGCTAGACTAGCTGTCGCAGACCGCAAGTCTGCAATTCGATAATCTCCGATGGGATTTCCATCAACTACGATAGTGCCAGATGTGACGTCATAGCAGCGAGTCAGGAGTTTGAGTATGGTCGATTTTCCTGAGCCGTTTGCGCCGACGATAACCACCAATTGACCTGCATTTATTGAGAAAGAGACATTCTTCAATGCGTCTCTTTCAGACTTGGCGCCTGGATAATTGAACGATACGTTCCTGCCGGTTATAAGATGAAGATGAGCATCCACATAGAACTTGATATTCATACCGAACTTCTAATGACACGCCTGAAGCACCAGCTGCCGCTGAATACGGCATACAGCCGTCTTTCATCTTGTTCTGAAGATCGAGAAGTCTATAAAAATTCTTCAAGCTGGCCAATTCGCCCGGCCAAAGGCTAATGGTGAACGTGGCAAAATTAAACGTCCATCGAAGACGTGCGGCGGTTTGTTCTAGCATAGCCAGCTGAATGACAGATACCTGACTTGGATTCATGAGTGCCAACAACCCGATATAGAGCTAACAATACATCAGGAACGCGTGCGCATAAGAATGAAGTTACTCACGACAGGCCCGTCATTGCAGAGGTGCAAAAACATATCAGGGAGAGCAGTTGTTGCTCGTCTCCACAGATTCTCAGCCTCCCCGGTAGGTATGTGACCAAGTGCATCGTGCACCTTCTGGTATTCTGTACCAGGGTGATGTAAGTGATCGTTCGCGAACCTCAAAGTTACACCACGCTTTAACCTTTTAACAGATAGCCCAATAAATTGCCTCCCATCACTTCGGCTTTGTATGAGTTGTCCGTAAGCAAGGTCAAGGCCTGTTTCCGCAGATAGTCGCCGTTGACTGCCTGTTTCACGTAAGCTACTGATGTCAGGTCAGGTCTAGATAATATTAACATGAGCACGAACCTTTGCTCCAGAGGTCATTTTCTATTGCACCCTGAAGTATCACGGGCAAAAAAACACAACATCATGGATACGGGTCCAGCACCCGCAAATCCAGAGCCCAGAAGATGCAGTAATAGTCGCAATTGGAGAAGAAATGAAATAATATCCTTTCCCAGGTCGAGGAATCGTACAAGGCAGTCAAACACTTGAGCAGCGTCGGCTGTGAGACGCGCTTCGTTATCTTTTACGTGACTTGAGCTCATTATGCTGCTGATGATCTGGCCTGCACTTACCTTGAGACGTTGCCAGATCACGCGCAAGATTCGCTAACAAAGCGATTCAGTACTAGTATTGAGGCGAAGATTAAGTGAGGGTACCTCGAAGCAACCGTTCTTGAAGTCGGTACTCGACGAGTACGCGGTATTGATCCTTCACATTGGTTCTATTGTTACGTACGATCAACTTGGCTCGACCAAATTCGATGGGACCTTACGAAGACCAGCGTACGAATCCGGTAAACGCGGAACATGAAGCTCGAGCGATTATTGCTATACATAGATCTTTATCCAAACTCGTGTGAACCTTGCCTTGCGAAACAGAACGTTGAATCTCGAGAACAGTTAATATAAAGGTACAGGTGAAAAAGAGGTCACTCACGAGAAGTAGAAGGCGGTTTGAGAAGTAGAGGGACAGTGGGTCCTCGACTGCGTACCAAAGGTGTGTGACCATCATGAGCCAGAACAACTTAGGGCTAATAGAGTAGACATCCTTGCATGCGCGGGTCAAGAGGGGAAGATGGGAAGATATAAGACTCCACTGAAAATTGGGGAGGCTGAATGATGATGCATCACTGGAAGCGATCAGTACGCGCCATACCCCAAGCCTACGTTCAAGGAATGGCGTTCGCTCTTTCTGCTTGTCGTTTCGAAGCAGAATACGTCGAGCCCAAGGGAAATTTAGCATGATTCGAGAGAAACCACTGGCAGGATAAGATGCTGTAGGATTGAGATAGCATGGCTTTAATAGGCAGACGGCCCGTGGCAGGGTAGACGAGTTGGTGTAATTAAAGCAGTTTTGACACGTCGGGCGGAGTCTGACACATACTGGTAGGTCCAAGAGCGCTCAGCGTCTGTATGATGGGTAATCATATTCATATTTCTCATGAACGCGGTCGGAAGTGTGCAGTCCCCGAGCGACCGAGCCTAGAGCGATTGAGATCGAGGCGAGAAGCACATTGACATGGGGCCAACATACATTGTAGGCAGGTTCACCGCTCTCCACACAGGGTCAACTTACAAGGTTGAACAAAAAATGCTGAACCTGGATGCATCTGGATGTTTCGAACGCCGTGACCACAGGATCAAGCTAAGGCCCAAGGGGTACGCCGAGCCGAGGGGGGCTTATGTAAGACAGGCTTTATCGCCGGAACTATAGGGTGGACTCAATTATAGTATGCTACATTAAGTTACCGACAACTTCTGGGTCCAATGTCCACAGCTATCAGGCTGTTCAGATCTTCCAGCTGAAAGCCAAGAACCCCGGGTTAGTCTGTGGGGTACGACTCAGAAAGTAACCTCAACCACCAAAGTAGATAACTGAATCATATTAATCGCGATCCCCGATAGACAAAATACACCAATTTCATGGACATGTCAAACACAGATTTCACCCCAGGATCTCTCTACATCGCGGGATTCGCACAAGCACGCGCCCCACACGTCGGACTCATCATCCCCACCAGCCGCGCCTCAGGCTGCCTCGTCCACATCCGCATCGACCGCGACGTGTCCCCCGTCTGGACGTACCAATCCAGAGTCCAGCGTATCGAGGGTGACATGTTTATCTCATCTCTACTCCGCATCAAAGACGTCAGCGCGGGCCCCATCGCTTTAGAGCAGCTGCAGGAAGCAGCGCAGTCTGTCCCTGCGCCTCAAAATGATGAGTTTGGGGAGTGCCTTCCGTGGGTACTGGCAGTCGTGCAGAAGTTGCATGATATGGGACTTGTGGTCTTGAAGGATGCTGAAGCGCTGCAAGTCGAGTTCGTCCGTTTTGCGGAGGGGAACAAGGCATATGCCAGGAGGGATAAATTTCCCAATATCGCTGCCTCTCAGTTCTGTCGGTGAATAGTTGCTGGCGTGGTGACTTAGAGTTACGTCTGCCTACTGGCTCCAGGTACTGAGGTCACTTTGGGAATACTATTCTCGTGCTGACGGGCATCTAAACATGCTCAAAACTAATTAAGCCGCATAGGATAACCAGGGACCCGGTGATATGGCTGGATATCGTCAATGCGATACACGTGCATCAGAAAACGGAAAAATCAGTAAACACGCGCTCTCCTTGGCGATTGACTCGAGCGCCTCGAGGCAGGCATAATTCGGTAACCAAGATTCGACGATACCAGTAGTACTTAGTAGTACTAGGACTGATCGATGACATGTACACTAATGATTATGGTGGCAAGACGCTATCGTATATAGACTTGCAAGAGATTTAAATGGTGTTGTACTGTGGATCGCGATGCAAATGGAGGGGACGCAGATGGAAAAAATATATGTACGAGATGATAGATCAAGGGGCCGGATCACGGATGCAGATGAAGAATAAAACTCGGTTCCCCGTCTAAAACTGGTTTTCATAATCTTGATAACCGTAGTGCCGGTACCCACGCCTGGAGCCATGATAATCTACAGCAAGTCGTTGTCAGTGGGAACTAATCGGATGAGATAAGCGCTCAATGATTCATGAGAAACAGGTCACAAGGTGGAAGTTCGAAGAGATCGGAAGAACGGTGGAAATGAACGCACAGGAGCTGGTGTCACGCTCTTGACTCAATCCCGCAACCGTACCGAGGTTAATATATCCCTCTGACACTGATGCCTTGCCCTTCCCGGAGGCCTGCCCGCCTGTGCTAACGTTAACCCATGGGGAACGGCAGAAGACGCAAGTAATGTTGTGTCCACAGGATTTAGCCCCTACGTCAATGTATCAGTCCAATGCTTCAATGGTAGAAAGGAAACGACACATACATTGTGTGAAGCACTCCTTGTGCACGGCATTCGCACAAGTCTCACACCAGGTGAGGGCGTTCCCGTCTGCGCCATGCATGGTCTCGTAGCAAATGGGGCAGTCATCCTCTGGGCCAGGCGCGCGGCGCTTTTTCACAGACTCGGATTCTTCAGAGGGGGCAGTAGCCTTCCCGGTCGCGCGCGCATATGCGTCACGAACGCGTTGGTTGGTAACAGAGTTGGGTGCTGGAGGTGCATGCGCGAATATTTCTTGAAGCTCGGAGGTGATAAGGGCTCTGTCGCGTGATAGTTCAGTGGTGAAAGTGGTATCAAAGTTAAATACTGACTTTTGGTACCACACGCCGGAGCTTTGGCTGACTTGGAGAACTGCAGGATAGGATTAGTCGTGTGCCAGGGCAGTCGCGGAAATAGAACTGCGAGCACCTTTCAAAAAGATGAACAACTTAACGTAAGATGATCAGAAAAGAATGTGATGTGAAGCAAGAGCGGCCTTACTATGTGCTTGCAGTGATTGCCCTTGCTGGCGTCTGGACCTGTCAAACGCCGGAGTCAGGGGCTAATTAAAAGTGAAAGAAGACGCGACATGCAATTGCAGGATGGTGATTTGTCGATGATGACTGTATACACCTATGTTCGAGTGAGCGCAATGAACGACTGAATATGGGATCACGCACATTCCCTGTGGAGCCTAACACACTGAACTCCTCACGCAGCTCATCACCGTTACGCTTCCTGTCGACCATGAAAAATCTTGGTCGTGATCGATGACACGTTCTACCAAATGCAGGAGAAACACGTTACCTTTGAGACATGACCCTATCTACGCGATCGAGAATATTCTGTGGACACTTTTTCTTGAACATTGCACCGCGTTTCTCTGGCGCAGGCTCATTAGGGTCTTTCTTCTTTTTCCTTTGTTTCTTGACGGGAGGAGGTGGGGCCTCGTGAACTGGGGACTGAGGCTCCACGTGAGGGTGGGTGGGTTGGGGGTGCGGGTAACTGTAATTGTACGAAGAATACGGAACCGATGGCATCGTCATCACAGAAGTAGCAGGAGGGGTGTATGAATAGCTATAAGGAGCCTTGCTATCAAAAGTAGAACTATAGGACGTTAAATTCGGATCGGGGCCCTTGGCGGTGGTGTTGACCCTGAAAGTCGTGGATGATGACGCGGGAATGCATGATGGCGCTGTCCTCTTGTACATTGGGTCAGGTCCGCTAAGATCAGCATAATCCCAGTCTTCAGCTTCGCGTTGTCGCTTCTTCGCGCTCGACGGCATGTTGGGCGTGGAAGCTGGAGCGAAGGAGAGCTTGATTTTGTGGACGAGCGCAGTCTCAAAAAACTTGGGCAGCTGATAGAGTTGAGTGAAACTATAAAAGCGGGATCGCCTCGTCAGGGTATGAACCAAGCATGCACAAATAAGGGCGGGTGTCGCGGCCTTCGTCGCTGATGTTGACCGGCCATATCAAGTTAATCGGCACCAACTACGCAGTCGTTGCTGCTGCCTTCTATATCTTCATATTCAGGCTGGCGTGCACCTTTATCCCTGGAACTCAGCGACTAAAACGCATTCCGGTCATCTGGGGGAGCGGCTCACTCAGTGTCAAGTGAAGCTCAATGACTCAGGCGCATGCCTACAGTCAGGATATTTACTACCAAGTTCATTTTCAACGCCTGAGGCTTCTTTAACGCCTAAGGGAGTGTTCTCACTGGTGGAGAGGATGTGGCTGTCACCGGAAACGGTATGTTTCTGGATACATCATTGATGGTCTCCAACTTCCAGAAACACTAGAAGTTCGAATTTTTTACTCAGGAGTCAGATCAGCTATGCTCTTCAGTAGTGGAAGAACATTTATCCGATCCAATGACGCGCTGGCGAATTCTCTAAATGCGTTATTGAGCGCTAGTGCAACCGTAAGACTCCAGCGGAAGGGTCACTTGTCCTGGGTGCTTTTACCCGAATACCCTATGGGCACTGTTAATCTGCCGCCTTATCTCTACAGCTTCTATGAGGTTTGGTGTTGGAGTGCGGTTAATTGCGATATGGGCGCTTGCACAGACACGTTCCTGATACGAATCGCCCCGCACAGCCATGCGATAGCCGCCTTGCCAATCCAATGTGCTATCCATCACTATCATTCTTCTTGCACCCAGAGACCTAGTCTTTTCGAGACAGACAAATCGAAGAAAGACAGTCGTATTAACGCCAGAAACCTATCTAGATCCACTGTCAGCGTGCTTTCAAACTTTGTCTACGGACGAAGACAATCCTCAGCAAAAGCGCTCGAGGCAGTTGAAGTGAAGTCGCTCAGACTCACAGGAAAGCGCTAGAAGAACGGCTATTGAAAGTGTGGTATGACACGTCGCCTTAAACTACTGGCTGTTTGTAACGATTTTGTTCCAGCCGTCCGCATCTGTCGCATCTTCGCGGACTGGATCTCACAGAGGATCCACGGGGTTGGTCCGCAGTCGCTCAGCTTTAAGCGTGCATTTCCTACTCTTGGTGTGCCCTGACTGCTGCTGCAGGATTCTTTACCACTCACCACTGCCGAAGAAAGTTTAGATCAGGCTTCCGATCCAGGCATTTGGCAAGTAAGTTTGACTAATGCAATTTGGAGCATTATAATTTCTCTTTCGATGATGTACTGAGTCCCATAATCAGGCAGAACCACCACCTGACCCGAACCTTGTGGAGGAAATACTAGCGGGTACAAACACAGGTTTCGAAAGCATGAGACGTATCTCAAGAAGGGCTCGAAATACTGCTTCAGCGGCTGACGACCTGCCATATGTTTCCGCTACGATCGACACATTCTCCGAGATTCTTCGACCCCTGCAAGAGTTCAACTTTGTTGCTAACAGGCTCGCAGATGTACAAGTGTTTATCTCTATTTTGTACGTGACTGACCTTTGTGCGCAGGTTCATCCCTACGCGAAGGTGTCATTGAGCGTCTTCACTTGCGCGTCCAAGGTACCCTTCCCTGCATATCTGCTAGTTCGTAGGTTAATACTTACGAGCATCTGTGTGACAGATGATACTTGCACAAGCAGATCATGATCCTGCTATTTCCCGCCTTCTCACAAAGATATCGGAAGTCTATGTATTCACGACGGGAGAGAAGACGTTAGCCAACATTCAAGCCATGCTAGCGATATATGGAAAAATTGCCCGACAGACGTTGGAGTGCGCTGATTTTATCACACATTATTCTCAGACGAAGAACTTCTGTGAGTCCATCCCACCACTTCGTCGGCTGAGACTCAAGTTTGTCTCTTTGCGCAGGGGAACGACTTGGCAAACACGTCACCAATGAAACTGATGCCAGGGTCCAGAGCTACAGCGAGGCCCTCGACGGCCTGATGCAGAATTTCCAAGATCAAGCGACTCGTGACACTGTGACCATCCTTCGTGCCGGTAAGAGTTGACCTCAAATCCACTCTGAACCTATACTGACATTTGATGATGCGTGGCCTAGGCGAGGATCTGGACTTTAACGGCATGGTGTATGCGGTTGGTGCCGGTCTGAACACCTCTCAGTGTTGTCTCCCAGGTACTCGGGAAGACATTCTATCCGATATCAAGTCCTGGATCTGTAGTACGGAGAACGACGTGCCGCGCGTCTTATGGTTGTCAGGCACTGCAGGGGCAGGCAAATCGGCCATTGCTCATACCATAGCCAACTGGTCTAACGAGCAAGGGGGTCTGGGAGCCTGCTTCTGCTTCGATCGCACACGGGAAGCGGATCGTCGGCAGGACAAAATATTCTCAACCATCGCAATGGACATGGCGGACTGCAACCCTATCGTGCGACGAGCCTTGGCGCAAGCGATTCATGATAACAACGGACTCAAACGGACTCCAGACCTCATAAGGCAATGGCAGGAATTAGTCGTAGGACCAATTGGCATAGCCTCGGACGCCATCGCTGCACCCGTCCTGATGGTCATCGATGCGTTGGATGAGAGTGGTGATCCCAAATCCCGGGAACAGATTCTTCGTCTGCTTGCTGGCGAGCTAAACACTTCTCTCTCCCAGCTATCCAACATCCCAGAAAACTTTCGTATTCTCGTCACTTCCCGTCCATTGGAGGATATTCGCGAAGCCCTGGGCACCGCATCGCATGTTCGTCGCGTCTCCATGGATAATATCTCGCGTGTGTCCACAGAACATGATATCCAGCTCTACATCTCCACTAAGCTGGCAGGCCCACGTAGTCTGTTCGATGATGGGCACTTCAAGACACTTGCTCAGAAATCTGACGGCTTGTTTGAATGGGCTCGTCTCGCCTGCGAGTATATCACCAACACGGCCATCGTGAGCCAGGGCCCGATGCCCCGTTTCCATGCTGTGGTTTCTGGAACATCTGAAAAAGCAACGTGTTTGTTGGATAATATGTATGCACGCACCTTGGCAGAAATCATACCAGAGGACGAGCGCGAGGAAGTGATCCTCATGTTTCGCTCAGTAATGGGGCAACTTATTTCATCATTGGAACCGCTTCCGATGCCTGCATTAACGGCTATGCGGCTACATTTTCCTGATATGCACGACCGTTACAATGTAGAACTGGTCATTCGGCCACTGGGCTCGCTTTTGATAGGAACCACAGACTCTCATACTCCCATTCGTCCCCTCCACGCGTCCTTCTACGACTTCCTCACAAACAGATCGCGTAGTGTTGACCTTTTCGTTGATACGCCAGCGGTACAGAATGATCTTGCCTTCGCCTCGCTTCGGGTCATGGAGCGCGGACTTCGCTTCAACATGTGCTCCTTGGAGAATTCATACTTACCCAACTCCGCTGTCCCTGATTTTGAGGAACGAATAAAACAGTCCATTTCAGCTGAACTATCATACTCATGTCGGCTCTGGGGGACACATGTGGGCGCTACATCCCTCGAACCATTGCTCGCTAGGGAAGTTGAAGCTTTTTTTGACGGAGAGCGTCTCCTTTGGTGGTTGGAAGCACTGGCTCTGATGAAACACCTCGGTGGCTCAGCAGACTCACTCTCGTCTATTGTAGGTTGGGTTGCGGTGCGTGTCCCAAATTTGTTTTTCGCGCAATAGATTCTTATGAGTAGTGGGGTGATCATAGGGTTATTCCGAGTACACACATGTTGGTGACGCTGCCAGGGACACCCTGCACTTCGTTCGAACCTTCGCGCCCACCATTCTACGCAGCACTCCCCATTTATACTTATCCGCCCTGCCTTTCGCTCCAACTCAATCGAGAATATTTCGCCAGTTCGCCGCAAAGTTTCCTTGCACCCCTCGCATTGTTGCTGGCCATGTCATAAATTGGCCTCGGATAGAAAAGATACTCCGCGCGAAAGACACGGTTTACTCGGTTGCAATGTCACCAGACGGAAAACGCATCGCGTGTGGTTTACACGACGGAACGATCCAGTTGTGGGATATCGAGATTGGTGAGGCGATAGGCGCCCCTTTCCAAGGTCATACCAATTCCGTTTCGTCTGTCGGATTCTCGCCGGACGGACATCGCATCGTGTCAGGTTCATTGGATGAGACAGTCCGGGTGTGGGATGCGGCAACTGGCAGGGCATTGGGTGCTCCCCTCCGAGGGCACACCAACTGGGTCATGTCTGTCGCCATCTCGCCGAATGGAAGTCACATTGTATCTGGTTCTGAGGACAAGACAATCCGGGTGTGGGATATAGGAACTGGCGAGGCATTAGGATCCCCTCTCAAAGGGCACACTAACACCGTTACATCTATCGCAATCTCACCGAATGGAAATCATATTGTATCCAGCTCATACGACACGACCATCCGGGTGTGGGATATGAAAACTGGCAAGGCATTGGGGGCTCCTCTCCGAGGGCACACAGACAGTGCTCAGTCTGTTGCAATCTCGCCGGATGGGAAACACATAGTGTCCGGTTCAGTTGACAAGACGATCCGGGTGTGGGATATGGAGACTGGCGAGGCATTTGGTGCCCCTCTCCAAGGTCACACTGCCTCTGTTCAATCTGTCACAATCTCGTCGGATGGACACCGCATCGTGTCCGGTTCAGAAGACCAGACGATCCGAGTGTGGGATTTGAAGACTGGCGAAGCATTAGGACCACCTCTCCAAGGCCACATTAACTCTGTTCTATCTGTTGCCATCTCACCGGATGAAAGCCGCATAGTGTCTGGTTCACGCGACAAGACAATTTGGGTGTGGGATGCCAACATCACCATGGGCCATGCATCGGCCGCTCTCCAAAGCCACACTGCCTCCATTAACTCTATTGCAATCTCTCCAGATGGACATCACATCGTATCCGGTTCCAATGACAAGACAGTGCAGGTGTGGGATATGGGGACTGGAGAGGCATTGAGTGCCCCTCTCCTTGGGCACACGGACGGAGTTGCCTATGTCGCAATCTCACCAGACGGAAAGCTCATTGTGTCTGGTTCAGCGGACAAGACTATCCGGGTGTGGGATATGGGGACTGGCGAGGCATTAGGCGCGCCTCTCCAAGGGCATGATGACGCCGTTTGCTCTGTCGCAATCTCACCAGATGGGCACCGCATCGTGTCTGGTTCAGACGACAAGACCGTCCGGGTATGGAATATGGAGACTGGCGAGGCATTAGGTAGCCCTCTCCAAGGGCACACTGACGCTGTTTACTCTGTCGCAATTTCACCAGACGGAAATAGTATTGTATCTGGTTCACGCGACAAGTCGATCCGGTTGTGGGATGCGGAGAGTAGAGAGGCATTTGGCGTCCCTCTTCAAGGACACACTGACAGTATCCGGTCCAGTGCAATCTCACCGGGCGGACATCATATCGTATCTGGTTCAGACGACAAGATCATCCGGGTGTGGGACATAGAGACTGGCAAGGCATTAGATGCACTTGGAGGGCACACAGACTGTGTGCGATCTGTCGCGATTTCGCCGAATAGAAAGTACATTGTGTCTGGTTCTGATGACAAGACAATCCAGGTGTGGGATGTGACTCGCAGGGCATTGGGTGCCTCTCTCCGAGGGCACACTGCCAATGTTTCGTCTGTCGCAATCTCGCCCGATGGCAAATCCGTCGTGTCTGGTTCAGACGACAGGACCATCCGAGTATGGGATCTAGCATTTCTGGACGAAGAGCAACCCGAGGCACCTGCAATATGTTTCTCATCCAAACCCACTCATGCCCTTCATTCTGCTTCCTCGTTTCTCCAAGACGCCTCCATCCCAGCCTCTGTTGTCGCGAACGATGGATGGGTTGTTGGTCCAGAAGGACGGCTTCTCCTCTGGATCCCACTCACATTCCACCCGTTGATGTATGCCCAGGGCAACACGCTCGTTATACCTAATCATGCCTCGCAGTTTGATTTAAGTTATTTCGCGCACGGCACGTCGTGGCACAAGTGTAGGGCAGGTGGCTGACTTGTCTTCGTAATAACATCTCCCATAGTTAGTCGCGCCTTTGATACCTACATCTTATAACTCATGGAAGTACATTACAGACGCACACACCTACGCAGAATGGAAACGAAAGGTACTGACTTCAATACTGGGTCGTGATGGGGGCTGGATTTCCTGCTCTGTATGATCATCTCGCACATGCTCAGATATTTCGTCACCCCTTGAATATGAATGACGATTTGTAGCATCGCCCTGTGATGGTACTATGAGCAAGGCAAGATAGGCATTTGGAAACGAGAGGTACTGACTTCAAGGCTGGGCCGTGATGTGGTCTGAATTGACTGCTCTGTATTAGAACTACTTTTAAACTTGAAGTATGTGAAAGGACGTACTGCAAGTTCAGGGGCTATATCTTCGACTATCCACAAACTCATTTTGTGGTCGTATCCACCGTACACCAGGTATCTCCCATCTTGAGAGAATAACGCACAGCAAAGATCCATCTCATGTTGGTGAAATGGCTGGCCAAGTGGCTGATAAGATGCTGTGTCCCATAGCTGTGCAATACCTCGATAACCCACGCATACCAGCAGATTGTGTTTGGGCGAAAGTGCAATAGAATTGACTGCAAAGTCCTGCTCTAAGCGAAGGAGTTGTGTGCCTGAGTTGTCAAAAACACGTGCGAAATTGTCGGAGGCGGTGTATAATTTAGTGCTGTTCAAGGACCACGCTACCGACGTAACACTGGTCCCAAGGCCTTCGACGGGGCCAACAGCTAGCTGGCCTGTCTTGGAGTTCCAGATGCAAATTGTCTTGTTGCTTCCGCCTGATGCAATCCTGTTGCCTGAAGGTGAATAGGCTAGAGCAAGTACCCAGGCCTGCTTCGACTCGATCGGTCCCACTTCGACTACTCCACTTCCTGCCTTTCGAATGAGAATTGTTCCGTCGTTGGATCCGCTGGCAATATGGTCACCGCTGGGAGACCATGATAGTGACCGCACCCCTCCGTTATGACCCGTCCAAATGCCTTCAATCATCTTTCCTTCCGTGTTCCACTGTTGGACGCTTCCGTCTCCCCTCCCGCATGCAATTTTCTTGCCATCCGGTGAAAGTGCCAAAGCATATATTCTTCCGCCTTCACCTTTCCATGGTTTTCCAACAGCAAGCCCTGTATCGCAGCTCCACTTGCGCATCGTGCCATCCGCTGAACCGCTCACGACGTGGATGTTGTCGTGCAAGAAGACAAAATCCCAAACAATATTATCATGCCCCTCAAATTCGTACTTCGGAACTAGTTGTTTGGATTGAGCTTGGGATGATGCTGTCTCCACGGGCGGCGTCACAGGGGATTCAGAAGACATAGCTCGTTACGGTGATGCAAGGCGTCTGTATGGTTTTCCAGCTTTGACTCTGTTCGTGGTCAAATATCACAGAGAATAGTTGACCAGTGCTCACCGGTTGTTCTCGTCTCTCGCTTGGTGTAAAGCTCAAAGGGAGGGCGAATTTTATAAGTATTGTGGTATGGATTCCGTGAGGCAGCGCTAATCGGTTCATAGCCTCATACATCAGTCTTCCTTCTCGGTTGGTTCGATGTTTGCAAGCCACGATGCGCACTGCATTTCTCTTCACCCAATCCTCACTCCCTTCGCATGGTGAACCATGTTATGGCACATCACATTATTTCTGGCGCCCACCCACATTGCTACTGGGCCCACGGTCTTGCGGTCCTGTGAGCGCTTAACGTTTCTCGCTAGAATACAAACTACTACAATCGGGGATGTAAATGTGCATCAAAGGTGTGGGAGTGACGCAATGGGATATTGACTTTATATTGTGTTTTTTGCATTTATCCTACGAGTATGATCATTTATTCTGGCATGCAATCCCAACCAAGGATATTCACAAACGATCGGTATCGATGACCTCAAATACCCTTATTTCCCGGACACAGATTTGCCATGAATAATTTTGTTCCAACAGTTGGCGTGTTTCTTGACCTCCCTCTGATTGACTATAGTACTAGTAACGACCATCTCATCGTCCATATGCGGACCCATCGTCTCCTATTTCATCTAAACCTGTACGTCAACTCGGGCATTTTTACAGGGAAAGCTGTAAGGCTGGTTCAAGCCCGAAGTGTTTCAAAGGTGAAAGTACAGTACATTATCTCATAATGTATAGCGACGGGAGCAGCCTTTTCGCTATACAATATGAGAAATATACACTACCAAATATTTCCCACGGTGGGGGGGTCAACCAAGATTGGGGGTGTCGATGCGCGCTACTTGCACATAGTCTAAAAATCAATTCTGCACGACGAGGTGACTTCTGCGAAAGGTAGCGTCCAAAAATTCGTTCGATGGAGGAACACGACGGGGAAAGTACGTAGTTAGTAATGCTATTTACAACGGGCAGAGTTCGTAGGATGTGAATCAAGTACTGCGAAGATTTTTGGGGATTCAGATTATGGTTTAAACTTTACTGTTCATCAACGTGTGCAAACACCACCAGCCAGTCGTTCAAAGTAAGATTCTTCCGCCTGCTAGTATCAGAAAGCTTTGTAGATATTGCAGGACCATCTTTCTGACGAGGTGTCTTTGGTTTCCGCTTGTATGGGGCGGGATTTGGACGTGGCTGGCGTTTCTTAGGGCTGCGCACCATCATGATTGGGACTTATAAGAATGACTATAAGTTTTTTTTATCTTACAATGTTGTTATGCATCAACTTCCGGCAACTCAACAGTAGTCCTACTCGGTACAAACCATATCTCATAGTGTATATTGGACCTCCAAAGGCTATACATTATACAATATACAATTTTTTGGGCGTCTACCCGCATACCACGATGGGAGCTGCCAAAACTCGATACAATATGAGATTTATACATTACTAACGTATACATTATGACATAGTGTACTGTAGTAGTACGATGGAATTCGTGTTGAACTTATGCCTAAGAGTCACGTGCAAATTCGTTGGAGTGCTCATTGCTGACAACTCTGACCGAAGGACGACCACAACGACACTTACCCTCCAACCCAGGTCTTTGATGGAGGCCGACAATAAGCTCGCCTCAGGCTAGTCTTCGTCCACCAAATGCAAACTGTATCGTTTTACCCGCCTGATGCGATGCTGTCTCCCGAAGGCGAATGTGCAACTTGGAGCAATGATCGATCAACCCAGTCCTGCTTCGACTCGATCGGAACCACTTCATTTTCTTCGCTTTCTGCTTTTCGAATGAGTATTTTTCCATCGTATGATACGCTGGAAATATGGCCCACGCTGGAAGACCGTGTGAGCGACGGCACCCGTTTGCTATGACCCGTATTCCATCGCTGAACACTCCCGCCCGCAATCATATTTCTATCTAGTGAAAGCGCCAATGCGTTTATGCTTCATTGCCTTTCCATGGATCTCCAACAAGAAGTCCCATATCGCAGTTCCATTTGTGCGTCGTGCCGTCATCTGAACCACTCAATATGTGGATATTGTCATGCAAAAAGACGAAATTCATGTCTTGCGTGCTTCGGAGTTGGTTTTTTTATGGATTGCGCTGGGGGTAGACCTTCCTCAATGGTCGGTACAGTAAATCATCCAAAATCAAGACATAGCTTCCTCGATGGCCGATGTCACAAGGAATTCTGATTCTGAAGATATAGCTTCCCCAGTGCTCGGAGCGGTAAGGGATTCAGGTTCGGAAGACATAACTTCTTCTACGGTCAGCGTCGCGAGCGGTTCAGGTGTCATGACTCGTTATTGGAAGGCTTCTGTGCGTTTTTTCTGGCTCAGACTCAGTTCGTGATTCAGTATCGTTTTGACCAGCACTCATCGGTTGTTAGTCTCTCGCTCGTTGCAAACCAATAAGGATGGTGAGTTGTATTTGTGTCGCAGGCTTGGATTCCATGAGGCAGCGCTAATTGTCTGTTCACAGGTTCATATACTCGTACAGCAAGATCGTGTTCCATCTTGGTTGGTTCGATGTTTCCAAGTCATAACTTGTGCCTACTGTCGTTCGTCTTCACAATAGATCTTGCATTGCAGGCGGTATCGTCTGTGTTCCGAGTGAAGTATGTCACGTCCTCTGATTTTTGTGCCTGATTATACGGCCTAGGTCAGCGCCACTGAGGCATGACGTTTTTCGGAACCAAAGACAGAAAGATGAGCCATCCTGATGCATTGGCAACTTTTCAGAGGTGATGGCGTCATGTCAACCATGCTAGTTGTTGCTGTCCACCCAACATCCAGTGCTTGCCATTTTGATATCGGTAATAATATTTGCCATCATCGCCAACTTGCATATGCGGGCTTCTCTGGTCGAGTCCATACATCTCTCATCCGCCGGGTAAGTACAGCTTCAAACGGCTTGTAAACTTCAACCCGTCGGAGCTTCCCTGGCAGTATTTGATATAGAGCTGACACATGTTGTAGGAGCGTTATCCGTAACTCGTGGAGTCGTGGATGCATCATTCATATGACTCTGTATCAAGACAGAAGACGAATACATATATTGCAGAACGATCCTTGATTTCAAAGAGTCGCGTTTATTTTAGAGAACGATCACCCCTTCCTGATTTCGGAATACGGGCGCGCTCATATGGCCGCCTGTGTAATTTGCAAAGGCTTTATTGCTAAGCTGCATAATTAAGAACTCTTGTGGTCAAACTCCGTAGGCATTCCGGTTGGCTATTTTTTTCTCCCAAGAATTGATATGCCCAATAGCTTAACGGGACGTTTTTCTTTGGTTCGTCGCACGCCACGGAATCTTTGCATTCCCCGTACGGTACTTTGAGGATTTTGTCACGCACGCCGTACCTACTAAATCACTTCGAGCTATGTCTTCCAGTGTAACGGGTGCATTCGGACATGGTGAGATGACGACGAATGCGATCAAAGAGAGATGCTGTCGTTTCTCCTACGTATAAACTGTCCCCGGTGATTCAGTTACCAGCACACAGCCAACTTACCGTATGTCACGGAATCTGAAAACATATCAGTGGTGCCGACTCCTCCGTGCAATCTGCCGGTACTTTCCTGATTTATCCTGCTATATGCTCTGAACTATCTGCCTATAGTGATCACCCACAGGATCAACGATTTCATGTCCGCTCAAAGTTCAGTCCTTCGCAAAACATGTGCCCTCCTCGGCCTGCCATGAGCAGCCATGGTGCTCCATCTCGAGCGAAGATTATGCGGTCCCTTACTCCCCTTCTTCCATTGGTCCGACGCGTCTACAACCTCATGGCTCTGTATTTATATCCATGACAGTATAGCCTCCATTTTCATATTACCTGTCCCTTACGGAATCTTACAGATTACTTGGAACAACAGCAGTGCCTAGTAAGTAGCGCCCCAGAATGGACATAAATTTGTCACATGACCTCAGCGGCCATCATGATTCATCTTCGACCATCGGTTGCCTGACGTTCATGTACCTACACAGGCACTTGATGGCTCCGAGGTATCGCTGCAACTAGTCGCACGAATCACATGCCGACAATAACATTCTGGTGTTGGATGACGGTATGGTTTTTTTTGAACTGCGGAGATATAATTAAACTTGACCCATTCAGTCTGTCAGGCGTGTATTCGACGAAGTGACAAGTGGCGCGGCACGGAGGGTAGCAGCTACTCGCGCTCTTGAAAACTGCCGTAAGCCGATCTTCTGCTTACAGAGCCCATTCAAATCTGCCTCTAGTCACTGGGCAACCACTACATATGCAATTGTCGCGGCTACATCATGAAAGATCCGCAGAAGCTTCTGCTTATGTGACAGATTCATTCTCGCCTCAGTCTTCAACCGGGATGTCAAATTGATTGTCACTGCACTGGGGCCCGATGTAAATGGCAAGTCTGCCAGCGATCGGACCCTATTGAATCACACAAAGTTGTGTCCTGCAAAAGGCCTGACGGCGGTAGACGTAGCCGACATGACAACTTAGCCGTCTAGGACCATGAATGTTTGGCCATCTGCTGTAGCTCTCCTGGCCGTACTAACATGTCATTCTCATAGCGAAACACCTGGAAACCTCATTCAGGCACTCCAGCCAATCCACGCGTCTTTTTTGGATGTCACCCGGCTTCAAAGAACTCGCATCACTGATGGCCAGTATCACATTGTGAAGCCGAGGGCTTTTGACAGTTAATTGAAAATTTCATTCCACAGGACCGTAACGCATCCGAGTTGATTGGTGGAGACCTAGATGCTGCTCAGACGGTACCACTATCGGGTATCACCGCCTCAGTCGATGGTTTCGATCTACGAATCGGAATATAATCAGATCGACCCTCGGGTCCAGAGAGCGATACCACGAGCACTACTTAAGCTGAGGGATGCGTTGTGTTTTGCTCATCATCCTCCTAGCGTTAACTTGAGCATTGGGTCATGTTCCAATACTATCTATTCTTGTGCCTCCTAACAAGCCTTCAGAGTTACGCTGTGACTATTGGCCCAGTTTCTGAGCTCGTTATTGCCAATGGCAATGTATCTCCAGACGGGTTCCCCAAGTCGTCAGTTTTTCTGCATTTGCACCCTATTTGATCACTGAAGCCATTCCAGGGCGGTTCTTGCTGGAGGCACTCATCCCGGACCCACTATCATGGCCCAGAAGGTGACATTGACTTTACATGCGAAAACTCTCGGCTAACCTTACGTGTATCAAGGGGGATACGTTTAAGATCAACGTCACAAACCAATTGAGTGACGAGACGATGCTAACGAGTACCAGTATTGTAAGCACCGATTTATTGATGGCATAGAGTTGACAATGATGACCAATCCCGAACAGCACTGGCATGGACTATTCCAGCATCATAGTAACCAAATGGACGGCGTAGCATTTGTTACGCAATGTCCTATTGCTCCAGGTCACTCTTTTTTGTACGATTTCAATGCTCGCGACCAAGTAGGGACCCACTGGTACCACTCTCATTATGGAGTTCGTATTTCGATTTATTGACGGTGTTAGTGACTGAGTTAAATTCAGGTCCAATACTGCGATGGTCTGCGAGGTCCGCTGATCATCTACGATCCTGACGACCCATACCGTTCATTGTACGATATTGATGACGGTGAGTGAGTTCGACGAAACGGAGTTGCGCTTCTCACATGTCAGCGAAGAGTCTACCATTATTACGTTGATGGACTGGTAAGAAAACCCCCGGTGCATCTTTTCCTGTTGTTGAATAGCCTTGCTTTGTAGGTATCACCTGCCATCGCCTCAAGTACAGAGACAAGTAACTGCCGACTCAGTCCTTATCAACGGTGTGGGGCGTTATGATGGAGGGCCGGATGTGCCCTACGCCGTCATCAACGTTCAGCCACGAAAGCGGTATCGTTTCCGCTTACTGAATATGGCGTGCAAGCCCAACTACATTTTCTCGATCGATGGCCATAATCTTACCATAATCGAAGTTGACGGTCAATACGTCAAACCGCTCGTAGTAGACTCTATCCAGATCTATACTGCGCAACGGTACTCCTTCATTCTAGAGACGACACAGCCGGTTGACAACTATTGGGTGCATGCCGATCCGGACGCAGGTACAAACGCCACAGCTATCTTGCGCTATGCAGGCGCTCCCAACGCAGACCCCAAGAACAGCACAACTTTAAGCTCGGCAGCTTTGAATGAGACTAGCCTACACCCCCTGACTCCGTCTTTGTCCCGTTTGCTGCAGGAACCAGACATCAAACTCGACCTTGTTCTTGTTAAAAATCTGTCCAATTTCAACTTCCTCGTCAATGGCGTCCAGTACACTTCTCCCAGTATCCCTGTTCTACTCCAGTTATTGAGCGGTGCAATGACAGCGGCGGACCTGACACCCAACGGGACCGTATACACTCTGCCACGGAATAAAGTTATCGAAATTTCCTATAATGCCGATGATGCCCCAGGAGGCCCTGTGAGTCCATTTCAAGCATGCCATCCCTTGATCGATGGAGGCTGACACTTCTGACAGCATCCATTCCACTTGCACGGGGTATGTCTTGGCATGTCATCTACATAGTACACCCCATGAACTAATAATAAATTGTCCACAGCACAGCTTTGCCGTCATCAGAAGCGCTGGAAGTACCGGATATAATTATGTCGACCCCGTCGTGCGCGATACCGTGACCACCGGCAACCCCGGTGATTATGCAACTATCCGCTTTATCACCGACAACCCCGGGCCTTGGCTGTTGCACTGGTAAGCGTTGTCTTTATGTCTTTTTTGTTGGTAATGACTTTTGGGCTTTGTGAAGTCATATCGATTGGCATTTATACACGTGAGTTACTCATTTACTGAGCCTGGACTTGAATTAATTTTCCCGTAGCGGATTGGCTTTAGTATTTGCAGAGGCCCCTGAAGATGTGGCGGCTTCTCAGCCTTTCAATAGTGAGTACCGAGCACCACAGATTAGACCACGTCTGACAACCACTATTAGGTGCTTCGAAGCAGCTCTGTCCGATATACAATAGCCTTCCTCAACAAAATTTCCCTCTCCCTCCTGTTGATTGATGTATTTTGGTCCATACCTCTTTTCTTGTTCAAATGCAATTGATAGAGAGGGTAGGATATTTATATATGTACGGCAGATAGTAAATTAATAGCCCCCACTTTTCATGTGAAAGCGATGTTCGAGGTGATCAACAGCCATCTAGACTGGCTATTCGTCATCAGCATACAACTTGAATTAATTCTGCCGGTATTGTGTATCCTGGGGGAGAGCGGAACATGGGGCTTAATTAAGACGTGCTCACTCGCACTATGACATGTACTGGAGTCATTATTTGCTGTTGATTGTCTGAGCCGCGGAGTCTGCAATATTTATTTGCTCAGGTACGTGCGGGGTGCCGCGGGAGGTGGTGGAGGAAGAGTCGCGGGTTTGCAAGAAGGCACACACCTCAGGTGAACTCTTGCATGCTCTTGGCATAATACTGTTCTAGGGAAGGGGGTGGTGCCTTTCTGACGTGACGTGTAATCATTAGAATCCTTTCAGGTATCGTGATTTGTTTTGTCTATAGTGTCAGGTTTGTAGACGTGCATTGGACCGGGCACGGGCTGCAAGGGAAACCCAAAGGCCAAACCTCTAAGGCGGGACCCTGCAGCTATCGAGGCAGGACTGTGAGCAAGGACACCTGCCACTGCGCCAGGACCCCTGCCAGCTACTCCACCTTCAAGTGGTAGGGTGACAGCTGGTGACAGGCAGGAACAAAGGAAGACCGTGAAGGCACGAAGCATACGTGGAATAGGCTGGAATGGGCCGGCGGCATTTTCTCAGATAGTGGGGTGCCTGTCATTGGCTGGTCTTTGATCCGTTGATCACTGCGGCACCGTTATATGTAGGAAAGCAAAACGAGGTTTCGCAACGGCGCCGTGACGCGGACCTGAAGAAAAACAACTAGGTCCAGATGTGTGATGCGACATGTTAATTAATTGGGGCCGTCCGAGTCGCTTCTGCGTCCCACATGGTGAACCATTGATACCATATAGCCGGTCCAATTGCAAGTCTCGTGTATCATGTCGCTCCAAAGTGTTTCCTATTTGACATAGAGTCCCTGTCCGACTCCCGCCCTGACTGCACGTCCCATATCCGGTCTTGTCGTGTGACGTGCTTTTGTGTTCGACAGGTACTCCACTCAATCAGCGCGTCATCTGAGTGGTGTGAAATGGCCCCCATGTGGTCGTTGTGACGATATGAGGGCGGATCAGTCCAGGATCATGAGATGAACGAGTAGCAAAAGTAGCAGATACCTAGTCCCACTTATAGTCTTCCATAGGGAAGGGGGTTGGTCGATCCTGTTGTGACGCAAATAGAAAGGCAGGGGCTAGGTGTTCCATCAAAGGCGCTGTTGCCAATTACACTCCTAGGCGGTGAAAAAATGTAATTGTGTACACGCGACTCCCGCGCGGATAAAAATTATCAGAGTATCTACGTACAACCCGAGGAAACCCGAGGATTTGACTATAGCTGCGGTCCAATGTGATGATGCACGAAGCAATCGATAACCTACACAAATGCCTTTACGACTCGATCTACTAAACCGACATAGCATTAGCGCCGCTGTGAGAAGAAATAATGGATAAACATCACCCGCCACTCAGCTCTCCTCCCGCAGGATAAACCAACGCTCCTATCTCCCAAGCCTCATCCGCTTCCTAACAGGTGTATCCGAAGCCAGTACTTCTGACGCAACTGACGGGACGCGTTTCTTGGAACTACCCACCCACCCGTTCTTGCCGAGCAGCAACACATCAGGTGAAGAGTTTGGGAGCCACATTTCCTCATCAGCATCGTCTTCGTCCTTTACATTACCCAGGCTATCAGAGAAGTCAAGTAAAGGGACAGCCGCAGAAGGACGCTCGTCGTCTGTGCCGAGCGGCGTAAGACTCGAGCTGCGGGCAGTTGGAGGGCTCGAAGATCTTCCAGTGGTGTGCGGACTCGAACTTCTCTCTGTTGGACGTGAACTCGAGTTCCTGGCCATGGGTATAGGACTCGAGCTCCGAGCTGACGCGTTCGACTTGGTACGGGAAGGTGGTTTCTTCACAGGCGTTGCGGTGACGAGGGTGATCGCTGGCGCTGCGCGAGATTGGGATGACTGGGACTGGGAATCGGTCCGACCAATAGTGCGCTTTGCCGTTGCAGCCGGCGCCTTTGTATCTATCTGTGAAATCGCACTCGTCGACCGATCTTTCCCTTTCCATGCACGAGACATGCTGATTTGTCGGGTTAGCGCGCGTTGGAGTGCCTTGTCCTGCGTCGCGCCTACGCTTGCTGCGCGTTCCTTTTCTTTCTCCTGGGCGAGGGAGACAGAGAGCGAGCGAGTGCGAGTAAGGGCCTTTGTGGTCACAGCACTTTGTAGCCCCGCTGCGGTAGTGGATGATGAATGACGAGAACGAGAACCCGGGAGGATTTTCTCTGTAGAAGGTCCGGGAGACGGGGGTTCGTCGGAGAAGGGAGAGTTTGGGAAGAGTTTGGAACGGAGGAGGGTGCACTGCTCTGGGAGCTTTGATTTGAACCTGTAATAATCAGTATTGTGGTTAATATAATTGAGGTCATCACCCACAGAGGTTCAACTACGTCCTCGCAAAATGCCTGCATCCAGTCACGTTCATTCTTATGGCGAGTTCCATGCGCAGCTTCAGTGCGCGAAGTATCCATGAGGGATACGAGCTGCCACATTGACAGTTTGTCCATGAAGGACTCGAGACGCTCGATGGGGGACGGGATGATCAAATTCGGTTTTTCTTTCTTCTTTTTCCGTATGCGACTTGGTTTGACGGGCGAGATGAAAAATATATTATCGGTGGGTGGTACTTCGACAGGCGGTAACGGGGTGCATGGTCCGGGAAGAGAGAGCTTGAGGAAATAAAGCAGGATCTGGATCTGGACTCTACAAAGGAGTTATGATGCGCCCAAAAGCAAGGTAATAAGCACTTACTCACGCTGCTCCATGCGTTCGAGCCAGCTGGATCTCCATTTGTCTTCTAACAATACAGTGTCTTCTCGGTTGAGGTGTTCGCTACGCTCCGCGCTAGCATCGGTTTTCTCATACCCCAGAGCATACCACATCACACCCTCCTCTGCTTCGCCTGCACCGCCGCCATCGGCAAGAATCTGAGGGAGCTCATTGTGGTACTTGTTCGCGGCTGCGCGAAGGGAAAGGAGAAGAGGTTCGATAAAGGCGTGAAGAGGATGTGGCTGGTCTTCTGCGACATCTGGAGGTGCTTGGATGCGAAGAAGAGAGGGAATGAAGATAGAGAGCGGCATAATTGACTATACTGTTGTTAGTGAATATATGGAACAGTCAGAGTAGGACTTACGTGAGGAAGCCATAGGAAGTGAAGGTAAGTGCGCTGGACGAAGAGGCCTGGGTCCGCTGGATCGTGGTCTTGTAATGGGTAGTCTCTGCTCAGACTCTTTTCTTGGGCTGCGGTCCATTTGAGGGAGGCGGGTGTATGCAAAACAAGAGCTTGCTGAATCGACATCGGCGATCCTCAGCGTAAGTCAATGAAACGCGCTGCACGTGACCGCGTTTAGATTCTATTCTCGCTCGGTAAATTCCGAACGCAAGGCCATCACCGATTGCAAGCGACTCATCCGTAAGTTTTATCATTTTTACAGGTTGAGCTGATGTCTATTTCGGAATACTTGAATTTCTCTCAATCACACAAACGTTTGTGCTGGGACCATGCCTCATCCTTAACGCTTGATAATTCAACGTTAAGCTTATAGCCAACTCCCATGCAGAAATCGACATGCCTTCAATCGTTTTCCAGGAGCGCGGCGATATATGAGCCTCATCACCTGGTAGCGATGAGTAGCACTGAAAAGTAATAACACTTATTGATTACTGATTTAATGTCTCAAGTGGATTTGACGGGAGATGGGCGGAGACAAACCAACGTCGTGTTGCATCATTACTGGGACTGGCTGCCCACTTGCACGTGCACTTTGCTGAAAATATGTGTTGCCCAACCAAGCCCCTTGTGCTCCATGTTGAATGCCAGTTGGGGATTGTCTACTACTCTCGAATATCTCCCAACGGGGTGTGGAATCAAGCCTGCGGTGTGTAGACTCGAACTTGTTCAGCGGCGCGCAACTCGGTCGAGCTCCTGGCCATAGGTATAGGCCTCGAGCTCACTACATGGGAGGAGGTTTATTTACGGCCATTGAGGCTACCGTGGCGATTGCTTGCGCTGCACGGGATTGACAAAGCTCGTTCGAGTCGTGACGAACCAATTAGACCCTGCACCAAGGCCGTAGTGACTTCATGGAATTTTCGTCTTTCCTAACGCAAAATAAACGCGAAATTTGGTGTACATCAAGTACTAGTACAATTTGGGACTGATGACGTCTTACGAACCCTCTTCTATTTTATGTAGAGCTGAAAAACGAAAAGAGAGTAGATCTCTTGAATACATGCTTAGTCGTAGCGCTTTTCGGTGTTGAAACGGTAGCCAGAAACTTCTGCGACGGTGTTGAACATGGGTGATCCACCAGGCACATCATAACTTACATCTCCCGTGGACATAGCTAGGTTCAGCCTTCTCGCGCTTGGAAGGTGATTCGGGTGAGCTGGGGGAGTCTGGGTGGTCGGGTGAATCAGGCGAGTCGGGCGAGTCAGGTGAGTCAGGTGAGTCGGGGGAGTCAGGTGAGTCAGGTGAGTTTGGAGAGTCAGGCGAGTCAAGGCCCCTAGCGTTGATAAAACCGACGATATTGGAGGCAAGCTCTTCGTGCTGAGCCAAAGCTGCATAATATATCAGCATCACTTCCACTCATTGGAGTGCTGTGGCGCATGAGTCCTCACAAGTACGTTTCGTCCCCGTTTCCGGTGTGGGATATGCCACAGCAATAGTGGCAAAGGTTACGAGTGTCATGAAAATAAGTGAGAGCTGCATAATTGGATCCGGGAGGAGTGACCACCGTTCCGAGGGCTTTAATACCTTCTCGCACAATCCCTCGAACTACCGAGGAGAACAGGAGGTCGGCTTCGATCAGTACATGAGCGCATGTCATGAACATGGATGTATCGTAAGACCGAGAGGATACCCGGGGCCATGATAATCATGACAACAATCGATTGTAGGCATCCTCACGGTATAATTTCGAGTCCGTTCTGGCTGGTACGAACTTCAAATCCCTTCTCTTGCTGTATCGATCGCTTCTACTACGAAGCCCTCATGGGATACCTCAACCCAATCAGATCGCATGCAAGCAGACTGGCAAACAGGCTGTAGCAAGCATCTGATACAATGAAGTACAATGACGACATATTATGATTTCGCGTACGTTTCTTAGGGGTGACGTTACACACAGAAGACATGAGATAATTAGGCTTTCTTACTGAACAATTCAACTTCTAGGTTCGAACTCATGGGATAATTCGAATATCTCATAAGGATAACTCCAATGACAAGTACGTAGTGGCGGCCGCCGATCTGGAACGAAAAATTCTGGCTAGAACAGACGTGAGTAAGTACTGTCCAAGATACTTTGATTGAGTCCGCCCGCAATATCTGCATTCTCGTGCGTATAATAAAGGTCTCAGAATCAACATACCGACTGAGCTAGGCTACGTGCTGATGCCGTGGCTCCATGAAAACTTCCAACATATCAAACTCTGTATCGCTTCTCGCGACCCCTCTCCTGTTAAAAAGTAATGAGACTCAATAACAATGGATAACGAGAAACACTAATACCTCTCTCAGGTATACGCCTAGTTGAAGCGCTTCTCGGTGTTAACGCGGTAAACAAACGACACTGTTACGACAGGTGTTATACACGAGTGATCCACAGGCATGTAATAACTTACTTCTCTTGTGGACGTGGCTAAAAACCTCCTCGCGCTTCGACTCGGCGCCAGTGTCGTCGTCGTCGTTGTCATCGTCGTCGTCGCCCTCGGATTTGGTGTCATCATCCGATGTGGAATCGTCTGATACGGAGTCGTCCGATACAGAGTCGTCCGATACAGAGTCGTCCGATACAGAGTCGTCCGATTTGGAGTCGTCGGATACGGAGTCGTCTGATTTAGAGTCGTCAGAATCAGAGCTTTTAGAGTCGGAGTCGGAGGAACTGGGGGAACCGGGGGGACTAGGGGGACCGGGAGGACCGGGGGGACTGGGGGCACCGGGCGTCTCAACATCCTCAGGCGTATCAGCAAATGCAAAGCCAGGTGTATCGGGTGTGTCAGGTGTGTCGGGCGTATCGGGCGTGTCAGGCGTGTCACGCCTAGTGTTTAGATAACCAGTGAGGTTGGGGGAATGCTCCAAGCGCTTAGCCAAAGCTGCATAGAATATTAGTATAACTCTCACTTAGTTACTAACAAAAGCAGCATGAGTCCTCACAAGCATGTGTTTTTCCAAAATTTGATGTCGAATGTGAAGCAGCAATAACGGCAAATGTAACGAGCGTGGTGAAAATGAATGAGAGCTGCATGGTTGGAATCGATGAATGGGGTACTTAGTGGTGTAGGAATGGTCGAACGGACCTACTAGTCAAAGTTGCGAGGGCTTTTATTTGCCATAAACACGGACGTATCGTAAGAACCGAGGTTCAGGATATCTTCCCGCTTGGCGTTTACGAGGCGTCCCTTCTATGTTATAATTTCGGGTCCGTGTATGGCTGGTACGAACTTCAAATCCCTTCTTTTGCTGTAAAACAATTTGCTTCTACTAGGTCTTCAGGGATAACTCGACCAAATCAGATCTCATGGAGGTGGACGATTCCGGTCCATTTCTAAAAGGCGACGTCAATACTAGAAGGAGGCATGGGATAGACTTCAAGGTTCGGGCTCTCTTACTGAACAATTCAATTTCTATGACATCATCATGGGGCCCTATTGTATCTCATGAGCGCAGTGCCAATGGCAAGTAATAGTGGCCCATCTGAGATGAAGAATTCTGACTCACGCTTGGTACGAGAGCAGAGAACTTACCATCCCAGTACAGGTTTGCACCCTTGTCGGTGGGCCAGCGGAACTTGGAGCTGTGAATACCAGTGCTCGCCGTGACCCGCGGCCTGTAGATGAATAGTCAAACCGTCAACTACAGTCTACAAACTATAATTATATGCAGCTCAGAGTCAAACTTTTGGAACGTACTTGGTCAAAAACCTTGCTGGTTCCGCCGCATCCGGTGCTGCAAGGGTAACCCGCTAGACTTGTAACCAGTCTCAGGCTGGACTAGGACTGTGAGATCACTGAGATGCTTAAGAGCTTCAAGTTGACGTAGTGTCGATCTCGGAGTGGCGCGAAGCGAGGGGTTTGAAATCTGCCACATGCCGGAACATACCGGTCGAAGTCGTATGAAGTACGTATGCCTCTCAACGTTCAAACGTTCATGATCATAGTGCATCGAATTCCAGCAGTACTACATAAACTCATCAAATAGTGCGATGAAATGATACCATTTCACTCATTTTACCCGCTCATGATGCTGCAACATCAGCCACCTATTGAACCTTTGACTTGGATATTCAATCCTTCCAGCCTTGACGAGGATGAAAAAAATCATTGCTGTCCTCGAAATACTTCGTGGGCTACGGATGACAACCATGAAGTTCTGAACTTCTTGCATTCAACATCTCCAAGATCTCCGGCGTGCTCCTGTTTCACGCTCTAGGCTTCCCCAGTATCGGGTGCAGCTGTCATCCGAGAGGGCAATTTCCTCGTCATTGTCAATGTCTGGACATGCAATGGAAACCTGGTCTTGTCGTTTTACTCGTCTAGTTTTGTGTGGGTTTCACATATGTTCGGTCACGGTATAAGCCCAACTATATTTTCTCGATCGATGATCATAATCGCCTCCACATCGTCTGTTTCATAAAGATGGCGCTTTCATCTCACTCATGGCAATGAGACCAGTTTCAACTTCATCAAGTACATCACTCCTAGTATTTCTTTGTGATATGCCTGCTTCGGATCTGGTACCCACATGACAGCTCTGTATAAGGACACTGCCAGGGGAACAAGGCTATCGAGATTTCCTGGAGATCGCTGTGTTCATTTCAAAATGTCCAGAGCGCTCGATTGACAGTAAACGGCCACTTTGACAGCATTTATTTCACTTGCATGGGTATGTCCACATGCTATCTACATCACGTTGACTGAAAGATTCACAGCGCTGTTTCGCTACCATCAGAAGTGTATGGAAGACAGGACGTAACGGAGCGCGGCAGTCCTGTCTTCCATAGAAGTGCTAAATTTAGCAGATAACTTTGTCAACTCCGTCAAGGTTGTGCGCAATACTGGTTTTGCCGGCGACAGAGTAATTGTCAGCTTCGTATCGACGAATCGAGCTTGGCCCTGGTACGTGTTATCCTTGATGGTTCATCGCTGGTAATGAATTTTGGACCGCTTGTAGTCATTGAAAGATTGGCTTCACACAAGTGAGTTGCTCCCTTTCCTGATCTTGGACTTTTTATATGCTTGCAGTAGCATGGCTTTGTTATTCGCAGAGGTTCCTGAGGATGCGGTGGCTTCCCAGCCGTTGTGAGCACGGTGCCGAGAGTGTCTGAACACCACCGTTTGATCCTTTGAACCATCTCGGCCCGACAGTCTCCCCTAACAGTATCTTCCTATCTCTCAAATTGATCGGCAATGGTTTCCTGTCAATAATGCCGCCTAGAACACCTTGTTGAAAGGTTGATTGTTCGTGACAGAGAGAGTAGGGTAAGGTTGCAAAGAGGCAACGCAGCTCATATCTTCAAAGGCTTTCAGCTATGTAGTGGCATGTAGTGAAGAAAGTGCTGAATAGATTAGTGTCGCGGCCCCCTTACGGAAGGTCGGTTCGCTCAAATCTAATGCTAATAGTAGGTTCTGGACCGAAATACTGCCGATATGTTCCCCACGGGCCACGACGTCGACTACATATGTAATAGTGGTGATCACGATGGGCAGGAAGCTCAAGTCAAGCTTGTCTGGCACTGTTTCACACAATGGGTAGCTCACCGTTGGCGACGCGCCCTCCATTTCGGCGCTGGGTTCGCCCTGTCCTGTTCGCCATTGCACTCGTCTTCCTAGTCCTTTTCCAATCATCAACCTTCCTCTCTTCCACGTTCTCTCAATCCAGCCCACACGAGCTCATCCGTCGCTCCCAGATCCTCTCCAAATGTGCCTACACACGCGCCAAACCCGGGCCTCCACCCCATTTTCATGCTCGCACACAGAGTGACCGCTACGCAGCGAACACAAAGCCTATTCTCGTGCGTAACGCAACTATCTGGACAGCCGCTAATGATGGGCACGAAATCCTCACTGGCGACCTGCTCATGCACTACGGACTTATCAAAGCTATCGGTCAAGTTCCTCTTTCCATGATTCAGCAGCTCGAGTTGGAGAATGTGAACTTGGAGATTGTCGATGCTCATGGAGCTTGGGTGACCCCTGGGATTGTTGATTTGCACTCTCATATTGGTGTTGGTAGTGTGCCTCAGCTAAATGGTGCGTTTATGTGCTACTCCACAATATCCATAGGGTCCCATTTCCTGCAGGTGCACGCGACGGGAATTCTCGCAAGGCCCCCATCTTGCCCTGGTTGCGCAGTATCGACGGGTTGAACACCCATGACGCGTCATACGAACTCGCTATGGCTGGAGGTGTCACTACCGCGCAAATTCTCCCCGGGAGTGCAAATGATATCGGTTAGAGCTGTCTCATACTTCGTCTAATTGCTGATCATAAATCTTATCTACTAGGTGGCCAGGCATTCATTATGAAGCTTCGTCCTACAGCTGAACGTTCACCTTCGTCGATGCTCCTTGAGCCTCCCTATACCCTCAATGGCTCTCACTTTGACCACTCTCTCACGCCCCGCTGGCGACACATGAAGTATGTAGTTTCATTCCCTCCATCTTCTCTTATTTATCTTTCATCCCCGATAGACATGCATGTGGTAAGTTCCGGAAGACGCCTCCTTTTACTCCTCGCTCACTCACTCACAAGGTGAAAACCCATCCCGTGTCTATGGCATGACGCGCCTTGACTCTGGGTGGAACTTCCGTGCCGCCTACGACAGCGCCCGAAAGCTGCGTGATGCTCAAGATGCCTTCTGCTCCAAAGCAGAGTCTGATTCATGGGATGACCTCGCGGGGGAGACATTTCCTGAAGACCTGCAGTGGGAATCCCTCGTCGATGTGCTCCGCGGACGCGTGAGGCTCGCCGTGCACTGCTACGAGGCCGTTGATCTCGACGGAATCGTCCGCGTACGTATTTTGTCTTTTCCTTTTCTATTTTTTACTTGCGCGTACTTGCTTAATGTATGCTCTTGGACAGCTTACAAATGAGTTTGAGTTCCCGGTGGCATCATTCCACCATGCTGGGGAAACGTACCTCGTCCCGGACTTGTTGAAGAAGACATGGGTAAGTCTTTTCTTCTTTCCTCGTTGCTCGTTTGCAACTTCCTTCTGATGATCTTCCTTTCCACCAGGGAGGCACGCCTGCCATTGCGCTCTTTGCATCCAATTTCCGGTACGTATATGCGATGCACTTTTGGCCGGCATCTGTCATAGGGCTGATGTGGTTGGTTTTGCGTGAAGGAAGAAACGCGAGGCATATCGAGGATCGGAGTTCGCTCCGCGGGTGCTGGCGGAGCATGGAATCGACGTTGTTATGAAGGTAAGTGTCGCTCTACATTTTCGTTTTACTTTCTTCTTTAGTTATGCTGCGCCAACACGCTCTTTTATACCGCATGCACTCGTGTTTGGAGTCACAGAACTCGGGTATATGTTTTTACCCAATGGTCATGATCTACCAGCCTTTCCGTTCATCCATAACGCATATAGTCTATACTCACTTACACCATACAACTTGATGTCGCTTCTAACTAACCTCGTCCTTGCAGTCTGACCACCCTGTTGTCAACTCCCGCTACCTCTTGCACGAAGCCGCCCAAGCACACTATTATGGCCTCAACCCCGCACTTGCCCTCCTCTCCGTCACCTATACTCCTGCTACTGCCATGGGGATGGGCCATCGGATTGGGATGCTGAAACCAGGTACGTGGGGCTATTAGTTAAGTCCAATGAAGAAACTAAGTCTCGAATGGATTGCAGGGTATGACGCTGGTACGTCTTGCTTGCGGTCAATAGTAACACAAAAGACACGTCTGATTGTCTAATCGGAACTAGACGTTGTGATTTGGTCCTCTCACCCCCTCTCACTTGCTTCAACGCCCACCCAGGTCTACATTGATGGTATCCCCCAGCTCTCCCTTCCCGACCAGTATATCGCCAAAGGACCCACTACGCCCCCGCGCACGCCCAATTTCGACTCTGAGAAAGTGGCAACGGTCACGTACGAGGGTATTCCCCCACTTGAGCCTCGGAGCGTAAAAGCGGCGCTGTTCGTTAATGTCTCGGGGCTTTACATGAGGGGTGAGGGCCCGAGTGGATTGATGCGTGTTTCCGAGCAGGCGGGATCGGTGGGCGTGGAAGATGGCCGAGTAGTGTGTGTTGGTCAATGCTCGGATTTTGCACAAGGGGCTGTTGATGTTGTCGACCTTGAAGGCGGCACGATCACCCCTGGACTGACGAGCTTTGGTTCGCCTTTGGGGCTTGTGGAGATAAGGCTTGAGCCGAGTACGAACGATGGAAGTGTTCATAACCCCCTTGATGGGGACCTGCCCACCGTATTGGGTGACAAGGTGATAAGAGCACAAGACGGGCTTATGTTTGGTGGTCGGAATCTATTGTATGTGTTCTGTTTCATCCTTTCCGTCTGCATCTATCCCGAACTCACCAACTCACCTTTTGGATTGCAGACTAGCCTATCGCGGCGGCGTCACAACAACCATCACTGCCCCCGCAGGGACCTTCCTGCAGGGCATATCTACTGCATTCACACCTGGAGCTGCGCATGCCCGCGTTGAAAATGCGAGTATTGTTGATGAGGTCGCGTTGCATGTGGCTGTGAGCATGTCTTCAAAAGTCGGTGTGAGCACCCAGGTGGCAGCACTTAGGAATATGTTGTTTGGGGAGGGTGGGGATGAGGTGCTTAGGAGCGTTAGAAAGGTTAACATATTGTACTTCTCCTGCATTGACTCAATACTGAACCTTAGAATCAAGGGTAAAACAGCGCTCGTCGTAGACGTTGAGAGCGCAGACATAATGGCGACGCTGCTTCGGCTCAAGGATGAGTACGAGGCTCATTCCGGGAGGGAGCTTCAATTGACATTCGCATGCGCCACCGAAGCTCATCTCCTTGCGCACGAGATTGCGAAGGCAGGCGTGAGCGTGATTGTCACGCAGAGTAAGCCATTCCCATTCACTTGGGAGCAGCGGAGGATGTGAGTACCCTGTTTTCTTTCACTTGATTCTTCTTGGTTCGATCGTCTTTTCTTTTTCTCGGCTGTGATCAAGTATGCTAACCTACCTTATCGCATAGACTCGCTGGCCCGCCAATCACGCAGGAGAGCCTGGTCACTGCGCTTTTAAAGGCTGGTGTTAATGTAGCCATTGGTGTCAATGATGAGTACAATGCTCGGAACACACGTTTCGAAGTCGGTTCGGTGTGTTTTGTCGGACCCTTCTTTTTATGACTTTTGCCCTAACGCCAACCCCAGTCTCTCCTCATGTCTAATGGTGTTATCGATCGCACGACGGCTCTCGCGCTTGCCACGACAAACCTCGAGAAGGCGCTCGGAGTGCAGAGGGAGATGCCTCAGAACCTTGTGGCATACCGTGGTGGGGACGTGTTTGAGTTTGAAGCCAAGGTGGTGGGTGTTCTATCAGAGACGTTGGGGCGAACAGATCTGTTTGTATAAGCAGAGCGAGAGCCCTATTCGTAGGCCCTGAACTTCATATAGGGACGGATGTATTGCCACTGACAATAAAGATTTTGTAATGTACATTTTTCAACGTTAAACTAGGATGAAGACGCGATTTGTGGCAAAGGTATACATATTTTTTCTTTGTGACCGAATTTTAATTCAAATGGACATGCTCTTCCTTCAAATGGACATCACTGCGAACCTCTTCTTCATATCAGATCGAGATATTGTAGAGTTGAAAAGCGAAGCTTTGCCTGCATAGAAGGAGGTTTCGAACGGTATGCTGCGTCCGAACAGCATGTGTTCGTTGATCATAGACACCGTGGCCCACGCATGCTCGGCGCCTTCTGGGAGCAGTGGCAGTAGCACAAATCTCGTTTTGACAGGGTACCTTGTCTTCGCATCCCGAGGCTCCGCAAACATTTTGGCGGCCAGCTCGTCGTGGGAGTAAGATGATGGAACAGGGTCATTTTCGTGAGTGACGGAAGGCTCAGAGGGAGCATCGTTCGAGTCCCTTGTGTGTTTACTAAAATCGTAGATGCGCAGATACTGCAAGCCTGCCTCATTGCAGGGTGGAAGAATTTCCAGCGCCCTTGTACCATCAGTGCTCACGGTTGTGCAGTAGAAGAATTCCGACATTCAAAGGAGTCCTGGGGTATCGGAAGACAAAACCATATGCGTTCCCTCTGGTCCCCAGTCGGACCAAGGCACTGTGTGTTGGTGTGGCAACTGTGTCACTGCTAGATGGATCTGTCTCCGGATAGTCGACATGGGGATGTATTTGACATGCGAACCGTGTATTCGGAGTGGCCCAGGTGTAAATATAATTTTGAAGCATGGCGTGACGCTGAGACGCTGTGGCTTCATCGGGAACATTAATCTACTCCACACCAGCGGCTTTCAGAGCAAAGCGGTATGCAAGTTGAGGAACAGACTGGATGACATGGCAAAACGATCTGATACCTGAGGGGGAAAAACTTTTCAATAAATATGAATACTGGTTAAAATGAGACCTACACTGTCGCATGCCCCGAGGGTCGTTTCATCTGACACGTTGAGCATCTTAACGAGAATGTCATCAGGGAGATCTTGGAAGGTCGACCCAGGACCCGTCATAGAGCCTGTTATAGGCTCACAGATTGTGAACAACCAGATGTGACGATTAGATGCCTGCGGCCAGATGGAATGCGAAAGATAAGAGCAGAACGCGAGGCATTATCGGTTTAAAGTACTTGCCCAGATCCAATCAACGGGATCTAATTCACAGTCAGAAACGCGTCTCGTCGGACATTATAGCTATAGGGCCACGAGAGTTATGCATGTAGATCTAACTCGTGGCCGCTTGACTCGGCTTGAGACGATTGTGAGGATATAGAACATTCCAAATCCAGCCTGGCTTATTTCTTTTGTTCATCAGCTAAGTATTATAGGAAAGAGATAACCCACACAACAGATCAGATAACATCTCTCTGGGTATCTCCGGGCCTCCGGCATCTTCAGGACCGTGCAAAACAAAACATCATGAAAGCTCTGAGAAACACAGAACAAGTAAGTACGAGGAACACAACAGCGCACACCATGACTATCACCCCGCCCCGGTGATAAAGTACCAGAACCCCACCACAGGCCTTACACTATCCCGCATCCCATTCCTAAACAGCTCCGACTTATCATTCGAGCAGATCTGTGCGCCCACTGCACCCGCAACGATCACCGTGTCAAACAATTCCCCATTATCATCCAGCTTCACATCGAGATGAGCGTACCCGCATGGCACACATTCATCGTCGATCATTGGGTATGGCATCCCGTCGAGCACCAGGAAAGGGCGCCACGAGCCGCGGATGGTGTACACCGCGGCGAATTGAGCTGCACTCAGCGTCCGTGGATCTGCAGGACGAAGCAGCTTCTTCGGCGCGTCTTCCCGCATGCGTTCAGCATTTAGCGGGGGACCCTGCCACATGCCTTGCTCGTTGAACACGCAAAACGCGGTGATCCAGCCTGAGAGGTAGGTCGGCCCGCTCCCGCCTCCCTCGTAGTGCGCGACTTTGGACCAGAAATCAATGTTTTCAGGGCTGGAGGGCGTGTGGAAGGCTGCTACGAATTGAGAGATGATGGGGTGAAGGAGGTGATACCATGCTATCGTTTCTATGCTGTATAGTTTTAGCCGCTCTAGTCGCTCAAGGATGTCCTCCCAGTCATGTCTCTCCCCGAGGAGCGTCACAAGCGGTATCCCGCAACGCAGCACAAACTTGTAGCGGAAATACTCTTTCATCGTCGCCATCATAGACATTGCGTACACTGTCCGGTCTACATCTGTCGTCGTTGAAAATTCAGGCATAATCCAGTGCCTCAGCATCGGATCCGTTACGCGTGTGTGCATAAGCTCCGACATCTGACGCGCCATGAGTGGAAAATCTGCCGTGTGACGATTTCCACCGCCAATGATGATAAGTTCTTCCTGGCCCTCGTGCGCTACGAAATGCGAACGGAGCTGCTCGGCGTTTGCGCTCACGAAGAAGCTGAATTGGGTGAGGATCGCGGTCCAGACGTCATCCGGGCGGAGGATGAGCCCACGATGGTTGTTGTACGCCTCAAGCACGGTATGCACGAATCCGTTGGGCTTTGGCATGACATCACGCAGTGCATCGAGCTCGATGGGGAGGGACGTGCGAAGGAGCTGGAGACAACGCGCGAATTGCTCAGGGGAGATCTTTTCGAGAACGGTAAGGTAAGGGTTTTGGTGAAGAGGGATCTGAAGACGATAGTCTTCTGTAAAAGACTCGGCGGGGTGCGTGGCGGGACAGAATGAAGTCACGCCAGGAGGAAATTGTTGAGTCTGGGAATAGGTCTGGTGCTCGGTATGATTCAACATTGGGAATGAGATGAACATACCGTGGAGAGCGGGGACAGAAACTCAAATGATGCCGCAGAACTAGCCGTAGGGGATATTGGGGAGAACTCATGAGGAGACATGGCGTGTGTGGGGGATGTGGTTGAGATGACTCTGTGATGCCGTTTCTGAAGCCTTGAGGTCGAATGCGACCTGATTGAGCCATCAATACTCTCTGTTGGAGCGAAGCCCGTGAGGATAGCGGATCCAGCTTCTTCCTTGAACTTGCTGCCTGCAGCGAGAGGCAAGCCAATGCTGATCGGAGAAAGTGGTGGTGATTTAGGAGGGGGTGTTGGAGGTCGATCGGTGTCCCTCGATCTCGAGAAGATACGCCCAAGTGATAATTTTCGGACCATAAGCTTGAGCCTGGAAAAGGGGTGTGTTTGCGAACAAAGTCGAGTCGAGAAGGAGTGGGCGTCGAGGAAGGGTGTTGATATCAATTGTGACAGGCACTGCACATCTCGTGCCTATTTCTGAGTACAAAAATGGATCGAATGGACCACGAGATAGAAGTCAAAGATGTTCAGCTGACTTTGAAGGATTAGATTAACAGGGCAGCTGATGCTCGCTATCCCTTTCATGGAATAATCATCGCAACAGGCCTAGGGCATCAATTTTGACCGAATTAGCCCGAAATGCTTTGCAGGATTCAAATCAGTTTATTCGGCTAATAGTCTATAGAAGACTTGAAAGAAGTAAAAACCAGCTGCTGTCGCAGTGACAAGACCAGCTCATGAGGCTCGCATGCGTAGCTGGATAACAGATTCAGCCATGGAGGACGTTCAAGTTATGAATGGTAACGACTCGGAAGAGACGCAACGTGATGTGACACCTGATCATGACTCGTGACAACGTTGCAAAAAACCAACCTTTGGAGTCCGACTCGTCAATCGATTCTATGGGCTCCATACTGATATTACCAGGCTGCAGCCTGTTCTGAATTCTGCCAGATGCAGCCAAACTCGGGCTGCCACCTTCCATACAGAGGCGGCGGACTACCCGATACGAGGCCTAGTGTAAGCGCGAGCAGAGCTTGAATCGACTTCTAGAGCTGATCATGATGAAATTTAAATCACCCACCAGCTTTACCAGGGTAACCAAACCTCATCCACTTTCGAGCCAGTGGACACAGCGGATCGATCATCATTTGTTTCATTGTGAACCGCAGCAAGTCAGGAGCTAGCCAAATTTGATTGGGATCTTGCGTGACAGGAGTATTAATTGCCTTAGGGGTTTCTTGGCGATACTATATAACGGCGACGAAGCGGGGCTCGAGATCTTCTCCTGACTCCTCCAACTGTCCCCCAACTTGCCATCATACAATTGCGCCATTTTATTTAACACTGCACCAGTTACTGCACCATTTGAAGCTGGTTCTCCGATAACAGGTTCTTCTTCATCCCCTCATTCAGTCTCGAGGCACTGTTTTTGACCGTTATCTATTCGCAAGATGAAGTTTAATTCAATCACTGTAATCTTTCTCGCTGCCGCAACCGGACCCGCAGTCGCAGGCCCCATTGGGTACGCTATATGTCAAACAGGTAAGGTCAACCAGCGTGATCATTGCGAGTACTGCTGTCTCAACTCGTTGAGTAGGCTGCAACGGCATCGCTGTGGCCTGTTACGCCGGGGCGGGGTTTACGTTCGGCGTCGCACCGCCTGCTGCCCCTCCCGCAATAATTGCGTGCAATGCAGCCCTTGGGGCGTGTATGGCAGCTTGCGCCGTAGTCGCGCTTGGACCCACTCCCTGAGTGAGTGAGTCCCATCGTGAATGCGGCGACGAGAACGAACATGTCCGAGGCTCAGGGTCTAGTGTAATATTAGTGTATTCTTTTTCATATCGTGCATCGGTCTTGTGTGAGTGAAATCACACATAGTAGTACTGTGTCGGAAATGCGTTCAACCCCTGTATAAGCATCAGTATGGATGCACGCTGACATCCCAATTGTTTCTACTCTTTGAGGGCATGAATGTTTCCTTGTCTAAAAACTGAACGTGGAAAAGATTACAATTTCCGAGACGTGCCAGAGATTTCTTTACCTCGTAACCTCGCCACTAATAGGAAGCGTTTATTTACCGCGACGTCGTTCAACGGCCGAGATCGAATGGTGATGCGATTTTAGATCGATTTGGGTATAAACAAGTTACTGCAGTTCTGATAGATATCTTCTTAGTACAATCCCTGAGGCGGAGCAAACTGGTTGAGTTGTCACATGATTCTTGATTGATATCCACCTCAGCTAGCGTGCGATGAAATATTGTGCCCGGAGTCCATGAAAATTGCATTTCCACTAATGATAAACATAATGAAATAAAAAGCATATAGCGACGTGCGTGGATGTATCTTCCATAAAAATTTAATGATAAACATCATGAATGTAATAAAAGCAGCGTTCAATGTACATGTTGATCGACAGCGCTGTAACTCCCTGCCCTATCTGAAGCTAAAAAAGCGACAAGTTAGTAAGTATAACACTAAAGAAAGAGAAAATAGTACCTCTATCGGACATATGCTAGTTTCGTCACCACATCAAACCGCATCAGGAAAATTACCATCAGGGCTGTCAGGACCGCCTGAGTGCTGCTGCGTGCGCTTGTTGGGGATCTCAGGTTTGCTTGGACCGTTGGAGTCAAGCTGCGTGCGCTTGCCGGGGAACTCAGCTTTAGGACCGTTTGAGTCAAACTCCGTGCGCTTGTCTGGCCCGTCAGGAGTGCTAGGACCGGCGGGAACGCTAGGACCGTTGGAGTCGAGCTCCATGCGCTTGTCTGGCCCGTCAGGTCTGCTAGGACCATTGGAGTCGAGCTCTGCGCGCTTGCCGGGGAACTCAGCTTTAGGACCATTGGAGTCAAGCTCCCCGCGCTTGCCAGGTGAGACGGGATCGTCAGGATCGTTGGGAGAGCTGACGTGGCTGACGTCCCTGGAGTTAGGCGCACTAGGTGTGCCAGGACCGTTAGAGTCAAGCTCCCCGCGCTTGCCAGGCGAGACGGGATCGTCAGGATCATTGGGAGCGCTGGGGTGGCTGACATCCCTGGTGTTAGGCGCACTAGGTGTGCCAGGGCCGTTAGAGTCAAGCTCCCCGCGCTTGCCAGGTGTGACTGGATCGTCGGGATCGTTGGGGTGGCTGACATCCCTGGTGTTAGGCGCACTAGGTGTGCCAGGACCGTTAGAATCAAATTCCCCGCGCTTTCTAGTCGAGACGGGGTCTTCAGGATCGCTGGGATGGCTAACGTCCCTGGTATTAGGCGCACTAGGTGTGCCAGGACCGTTAGAGTCAAGCTCCCCGCGCTTCTCAACCGAGTCAGGAGAGTTGGGCAACTCGGGTGAGTTGGGGGAGGGCGCCTCGGGCGAGTTGAGTGAGTCGGGATTACTTGTGCGGTGGGTGGTGTCCCTAGTGTTGGGCGCACTAGGTGTGCCAGGACCGTTGGAGTCAAGCTCCCCGCGCTTGCTACTCGAATTGGGGTCTGTAGGTGCGGCAGGTGCGTAAATACAGGTGTTGTCAGTCTCCGCGCGCTTGCTACTCGAGGCAGGTACGGTAGGCGGGTAAAAACACTCGTCGTCACGCTTGTCAGCTGAGTGCATGTCGCGTGAGTCGGGCGTGCTGGGAGAGCCGGGAGAGCCGGGAGAACTCTCGTCGGGTGTGCCGGGGAAAGCGGAAGAGCTGACATCCCTGGTATTAGGCGGGTCGGGTGTGCCAGGACCGTTGGAGTCAAGCTCCGCGCGCTTGCTACTCTCATTAGGGTCTGTAGGTGCAGCAGGTAGGGTAAGACCGTTGGAGTCAAGCTCCGCGCGCTTGCTGCTCTCATTAGGGTCTGTAGGTGCGGCAGGTAGGGTAAGACCGTTGGAGTCAAGCTCCGCGCGCCTGCTGCTCTCATTAGGGTCTGTAGGTGCGGCAGGTAGGGTAGGACAGGTGGTTGAGTTTGTGTCGCGCTTGCTACTCTCATTAGGGTCTGTAGGTAGCGTAGGACATGTTGTTGAGTTGGAGTCAAGCTCTTCGCGCTTCCGAGGCAAGTTAGGCGAGTCAGGCTCGTCAGGTGCACTGGGGGGGCTGAAGGACCTAGAGTTAGGCCCTTGAGGTGTGCTGGGACCGTTGGAGTCAAGCTCTGCGCCCTTCTTACGGAAGTTAGGTGAGTTAGGCGAGTCGGGCTCGTCGGGCGCGCTGGGGGGGCTGAAGGACCTAGTGTTAGGCCCATCAGGTGTGGTACTAGTAGGACCATTGGAGTCGAGTTCCCCGCGCTTATCAACTCCATCAGGCGCGTCTAACTCAAAGTTGGGCGGGATAATCGGGATGGGTACCAAGTTGGCAGAGCCAGAGCTGGAAGTCCCGAAGTCCCTAGCGTTACGATAGCCATGGAGGTTTGAGGCAAGCACCTCACGCCTAGCCAACGCTGCATAGCATATCAGTATCAATCCCACTAACTAAAGTGACACAAGAGCGCTTACATCTCATCAACAACTGCGGTGTGGGATATGCCGCAGCGATAACGACAAAGGCCATGAGCGTCGTGAAAGCATGTGAGAGCTGCATGTTGGGATCGAGAGGAGTGACCACAGTGTCGACGTCGGATCCCGTCAAGAGTCGCGGGGGCTTTTATACCTTTCCAAATGTCCCTCCGAAGCAGCTGACGAAAATGGGAGTACATCGAAAACAGTTTGATTGGAAGGAAGACAATATGTGCTCGTTTACCACAAACAAGGACATTATTATCGTAAGAACAGAGATCAGGATATCCCGGGGCCATAACCATGGCTCCGAGCAGTTACAAAGAGTCCCTTGCATGTTAGAATTTCGGGTCCATGTCTGAATGGTATGAACTCCAAGTTGCTTCTCTTGCTGTAACAATTCCTTCTAGGCTCTCATGGAATAAATCAACCCAATCAGATCTCATGGAAGCAGATCAGCAAATAGACTGCAGTGGACGTCTGGTACTTACGAAGAACGAGCGTTATGCCTCGTCATGGCTCGCTTGAAAGGCGCCCCTAGAATCATGTTCGGGTCCATTTGGTGACGTTACTAGTAGCCGGCATGGTATGAACTTCAAGTTTCGTGCAGCGCTCAATGACTGAACAATTCTGCTTCTAGGTCTTTACGGGCTAAATCTCGTCACGAAACGAACAGTTATGAAGAAATCTGGCTAGAACGGAGGTAAGTAGCGCGCATTTGGTAAGGAAGCTGGGGACTTGCCGTCTACCTTCGTGAACTCCCTCGCTCACATTGCCTGAAGCCTGCCAGTGGTCCAGAAATTCTGGGCTGCGGCCCACCTGGACCGAATTACAAAGTGGGTTTGCCTTTGTTGACCTGTTAATGAATACTTGAACCACCAACAACAGGTCAGCTACGAACTCTAATACGGTCAAACACTCCCCCGCTAGTTACCTCATCCCAATCATTGGTTTGAAAAAATAGATGTGACTAAGCTCGAGAAACACTGGCCCGACAATGTTCGTATGATCACAAACTTCGTCTCGCATACATACTGCGGCCGATACGTGTCGTTTCGCATCGTCTCGTCATCTTCAAACTCGGCCCACCGTGTCGCCGGAGGGAAAGAAAGACATGATTGGGTGGAGATGTCAAACAAAAAATCGGATTCGCGAAGCGCTCTCGTTATGTTCGAGCTCGAAGGTGAGCAGCGCTTACCAGTCAACTTCGTTTATGGGACTGAATTTGTAAGGAATCAAGTTCACAGAATAACGCTAGAATTTGTGTTCTGACCTGTTTCCGTTATTTTTTTGAATACACAGTTAGTATATAACGGTGGGGCGCTTGAAGTAATTCTCTTGGCGCCGGACTGCGTTTCATACGACGCGATGATACCTGCAACAGCTCCAGAATGCCACATGTGCGATGCCAAATACAGATATGCGTTGAAGGCATTGGAACGCTCTAGATGTTTGAAGAGGGCCTGCAAGCGACGTGTTTGGTGAGCGCGGCTTTAGCTCAAGTTAATCATGCCAAAACGTTACGAGACCTGATGGGAGTGTTGAGAAGACACAAGTGAGATGATGTTATCAAACTTGCCAAGTCAATTAACAGCTCTCTGCCGGTTGGCCGATCCAAGATGCTCTGATGGGCTGCTGGCACGGTGTGTCAAGGGTTCGCATCACAAAATTCGTGGAACCAAAGTAAACCAACGCCGTAATTTCGCGCGTTCGATGAAGGCAAGCAGACGTTGATTCCAATAATGACGTTTCAGCGGCGTCAAGAAAATAGCGTTATGAAAGGATTCTATCACGGGCTAAAGCGAGTAAGTATCACGTGCAAGTGTGGGGAAGGAGGACCGTTTCGGTACTGTCGGAGTGAATAATCAACTTCGCTTCAGGCCAGCCGAATATCTCCCTCGACCTTTCCATCCGCGTCTGCAATTCGAGTCCGTAGTGCGTCACTCTTGTGGACGCGTCACGGTATCGAAAGTGTTGGCTTGCGTTAATGGCAGTTGGCCCATCTGAATCTGCATCAGTATTACTTCACGACCACCAACAGTCACAATGCGGAATGTCGTTATAACGTGGTCATTGCCAAGATCAATGGCAGAAGTGAGTCACTGCCTGTGGATCCAGATTGTTACGCTTTATCGTACGGGTGTGGTTGAAATTTATCGAAGAAAAGCTCAACTCGCGTTCATGCAACACAGTTTTTGCTGACTCGAATCTCCCTCCCACCCCATTTGCAATGTCCAGATCCGTTTTGACATTGAAACACTGAAGGAAACCTTGACCTTCATGCCGACCTCCCGTTCGATCATGCTTGGCGGTGATGCACAATCATTATAAGTCCGGGTTATTTTGTTCTCTATTCGCGACTAGGCTACGCCCACCGGCGAAGATCATGATCGGCAAGAAGATGTGGCACACGCATCAGATAAACAAGGTTAACGTAGGTTAATGTTTCCCATTTCATACAGTTCTGGTTATCCTCCCGACACTGCTACAAGTCTTCGGATCAGAACACAACTCATCTCCGAGCGGCCGGTCGCAGAAGGTCACGGATCACTACACCCTGCAGAACTCGTCACGTACAAATGCATCCCATTAATCCTCTTCCAGCCTCGGGCACATCCCGCTAACTTGCAGAAGAGCATCCCTTCCACTGGCGCCAACTCGCGATTTCTTCAAATCAGTGAAGCCTGGAGTTGTCGTCCCACAAAAACGGAATCACCTTGTGTATCTTCCTCACTTCCAACTCACAAAATTATTTCTCTCTCGTGATTCGTCAGTCAGCACTGAGCAGGCGCCTATAAGCAATCTTCTGTATTCTTGCCTACTTATATGTACGATACCAATTCTGACAATTGGAAACACGCTCACAACTTCACGTGTCACTTTTGATATCCCCTCGTCTATCTGCCAAATGACACTGTAGTAACACCGCTGATACCAATTGATACACCATCCTTGATTTCTTTCCTGGCGAGTTTCAAAATTTCACGGATAGGCTTGTTGGAGCTTGGCAAGGAGTCTAAGCGAATTGATTCAAGCCAGCGAGGCTCGGCGACATTCCGAAAGCCGATTCGATTAGGCATTGCAGCCTGGTTTCTTTGTGCGGCATGCCCACTGTGCGTGCCAGCGCCAAGTTGCACCCACACACGGTTTTCATCGCCGTGTCCACCGCTCAGCGCTTTTAACCACAGTGTCCCACTCTCTCACCCAGTTTTGAGAAAAAATTACATCGTCGCTTCTGAGCCGTCCGCGTCATCCAACCATAATGTCCAAGAGGGGCCCGCCATACGCTACCCTCCTCTTTGCCTGCTCCTTGTTTATCTCTGTAGAAAGTATACCCCACGGTACGGCCCTGCTCAGAAAACGAGCAGTCCCAGAAATAGGCGGTTCACAAGGAGGTATGTAGTTTCCCCTCGTTCTACTCTTCTCCCGCACATTGCCTGAGTAATGTCTCCAAATATCAATCTCCAACAGGTTTCATCGGGCTCGTCGTCGGTCTAAGTGTGCTCATTCTCATCTGCTGCATCGCAGTCTTCTTTCTCCTCCGCAACTACGAACCCTCCGAACAAGAACGTGCTGCACGCCGTGAGCGCTACCGCAGTCACCGCGACCACCAAGAATACGATTCAACAGCTGCCTCGGCAGGGCTCAGCTCCTTTGGGGACAAGCTCCGCGGGATGTGGGCAGATAGGCGCAGTAGCGGGAGTAGGAGCAGAAGTGGCGGACGACGAGGTGGGCGTGGTTGGATCCAAGCTGGCTCGGGTGACGAATGGGAGACTGATTCAGATCACGGTGAAGGGCGTGGGGCACAGCAGCCCATGCAGCCCTTCTCCAGGCCTTTGCAAGAGGGCCCAGAAATGGACTCACCGCTATCGGATGGGGAGTCATTTACACCGATCCATTATGGGGATCCGTATGCAAAAGGCTCATTGCAGGTGACATCGCCACAGCGGGTGACTTTTGCGCGTTCGCAGTCGCCGCTGTCTCAATCGAGCTCACCTATGTCCCCTGGATCACATCGAGATGCAAGTGTGGATGACGAAGAGGTGCGCCCGCCTGACCACCGTCATTTCTCTACACAATCTTCAACATCAGTGCGGACTTTCGAGGGAGGCACAAAGTTTATTGAGTCGCTCTAGCTTGTGATAGTTTTTCTTATGTTTTGCCTTTGTTCAGACGTGTGTTGTCCTCTTTCATCTTTTGCTCTCATCGCCCACGTATACTCACCACACATATTGTATCATTCGGACGCTCATACGTGCGGTTTTTCTTGCATGCTCTCTTGCAATGTATCTTTAGTGATACTCCTGCTACTCCCCCGCTAAATGCATATTAATCTTGATCTACCACGGACCTTTGGCACCGCACAATCTTGGTTCCAGCTGGAGACATTTTACAGAAAATCATAATGTGGGGTGGGGGTCAGCAATTCACCACCAAGTAACACGTTCATTGGACACCTGACAATCGGCTACAACTACTAGGTTTTTCTTATCTTTCTATCATGTCCCGGTAATTGATCTCGCCCTGTTTTCATAATGCAACGAGTCTCGACTATGACGCGTGACGCATGAGCTGTGTTGAGCTGATTTATCGAGTCGCAGTATTAAACGGCATGGGCAATGCGGAGTAGAATCTCGCCAGCTCTCATGACCAGCTCATTGATCGCGTTATTCCGCAGGTGCATAGAATGTTGTGCTAACGGGCAAGCGCGACAAAAGCATTCGACAAACTACGCGTACAGGTTAAACGTAATGTGACTGACGAAGTGGTAATACCGCCACAACGCCGCATTCAATCTACAGCTAAAGTGTACAAAGTCAGGTATCGAAATGACAGCAGAACACAAAAACTACCTCTTCCGCAGACAAGATTACCCCTCGGGCGTCTCAGTGTACATTGATGCGACATGAGTGGTGAGGTTGGATTCGAGCTCCTCTAATGCGATAGGTGTGTACATGAGCAATCCACCGGGTATAGTATATGGATGACTTACCTCTCTTGTGATCATTGGTGGGTTCATAGCAGAATCCTATCTCGCCAATGGTAGCTGTATCTTCAGTGTCATGGTCAAAGTCACAAGAACGCGTCCCAACGTTTAACGTGGGATAAGCTACAGCAATAGCGACAAATGACACAAGTATGCTGAAAACAAGGGAGAGTTGCATGGTTCAAGGCGTAATTGAGAGGAATGATCAGTGTTAATGTCCAACCTCGTCAAAGTTGCGATGGCTTATATACATTCTTACGGGTCTGCATTGATCAGTAGGATTCGATTAAGAAACACACAGGCCACCTAACTTAGGTCCCCGCGGGGGAAGCTCAAGCCCGGCCAGATTTCGTGGAACCAGGTAGGCAAATGACAGACCATCTGGTACGAAGAAGGATGAGCACTTGCTGCCTTTGTTGCAAGGCATGCCTTCAGTGAAGGGTCAAACATTCCAAAGTTGGAAATCACGAACATCATGTTGACTTTCTCGCTCACACTAAAAGGAAGCCTTGGCAGTCTAGGAAATTGGTGCTTGGATCAGTCATAACGTTGACTGGTTTAATAAAGTGGGCATCACCATGGTTGACTCGTTCATGAACGGTTGAGCCGTCGACTACAATGTCAACGTCAAAGCATTAGTCCTCAATCACCTAGGGTTAGTATATTCATCAGCTTAGCACCTGAGGATAACTCTATATTCAAAAAAAAATTACAGCCGGCATCACCCCGCATCACACAATCGGACGGTTTCCGAGACGAACGACCGAGATGCTTTAAGTTCAGTCAGCACAAGTTGAAAACTGCGCTCGACTTTGCAAGTAAATAGGTATGAATATGGAACTCAGCTCACAGCGATGAAATTGTACCCTGCTATAGCTACTGAGAACCGTCATTGGGAGACAATCGACAAATCATGGCAAGGAAGGCGGCCGATGCTATCCCTCGAGCGGTCCAGTTTGGATATATAAACAAACGAGATGTTTAGCTACCAAAATGTACTTGAAGGTTGAAGTTAGGGCCCAAGTTAGGTAGAAATCTTTGAATCCCTCGTGCACCCAGACGTAAGTGGGCATTTCGATTTAGTAGTCGGAAAGACATAAGCAGGACATCGACCAGTGTAGCCGGAGAATATGTGGATGAGAATGACATAGGCTATCAGTCGGCCAGCTGCTGTCAGGTGATTGCACCTCTGCTGACACGTTCCTCCAGACTTGAAGTGCACTCCCCAACAAGCAACACCTTAACCGCTACACAACTCAATAACCACATCGGCCAGAGTACATGAGTGAGTCGTGATGTAAAAGTCATCATAAAGAAAAGGAACAGACCAACTACACGTCCAAAAATATTCCCGAGAAATATTTCTTCACGCCTTCTGCACCATGTACGATCGCTCCAACCACTCCGTCCGGGCGTATCACAAACACCTTCATCTGGCCAGCTTCCACCAGATAAGCAGAATGAGCATGACTCTCCTGATCAACAAGAACGAGGTCAGCTGGGGACGCAACAGGCGTCACTGGTGTGGATGAAGGCAGAATGACTGCTGATTGCACGACACTTTTGTCGTATGCTTCCAGTGCACCCAAGACTGGGGAAGAATCTTCGAGACTCGGCACGAACACAAGTACTGTGTGCAGCCATGGTCTGTACAGGCCAAAAAGCGTCTTCTGGTCAGACTCTCCGCTCCCCACCTGCAACAGATTCGGTGCATCAGGCGCTCTGTCCCCAGCTTCCAGATGCCCCTCATCAAGCACCCCATAGGCGTTGATAGGTCTCTCCTCATTTGGCGTCACAAATTCATCGAGTACGATGCTGCTGAACCGGCAGTTAACACCGAGCATGAAAATGATGGGGCCTCGGCGAATCGACGTGTGTCCGAGCCCTGACGATATTGCATGATTGAGAAACAAGGTGGTAATATCGAGCATTTCGGAGATGACAGGGAGACGCTCAGCGGTGTATGTCTCGAGAAGAGACTTGTCGGCGAGTCCTTTGTCGACGAGCGCAAGCTTCCATCCCAGATTGAACTGGTGTACAGCCTTGTCAGTTGTATCGTACATGTCGCATTTTCAAGACTCACAGCATCTTGTACACTTGAGTTGAGTCCCTGTTTATAGAGAAATGAGAGAGTACCGCTATTTGATGAGAGCACACATACCTGACCAGCGGTTGGACTGTGGACACTGGATATATGTCAACAACAGTTTGCTAAGAAAGCACTCAAATAGACATACTGAGCAGCATCTACGACGACTTGCATCAGCACAGGCACATCACTCAAAAATGGAACCACATACCACCCACAACATACACTCGACCCTCGCCAAATTTATTCGCCATGCGGATATTGGCCCTAAAGTTAATTGATGAAAACGAATCCATGTACACAAAATGCAAACGTACCTGTACTCGCTTGCCCAGACTAGCTTATTAAAAGTGAGCTCTGTCGGTATCAATGATGTAATGATCTCGAAGATAAGCTCCTCGCTCTGAGCGACCTTTGTCAAGTCGAAGTCACAATGATACAAGAAAAATTGCCAGCCGTCCTCGCCAATTTCGTCCGTTGGACGCAATGAGACGCTGTGCGTCGTCAATACATCTCCGAACATCAATGTCATCATACATACCTTCGTTCTTGGAACTTTCCAAATTGATGCCAATACTTTTGAGACGGGATCAGGAGCGCTTTTTCATTGAATAAGTAGAAATCGGACGCACCGATCTATCAAGACCAACGCCCGTTAAACGAATATCTCCGGTGATAAATCGGAAATCGTCTCTGGTCACGCCCAAGAATGTGAGTCCGAGTTGTTTGCGAACGACACCTGCAAACCCGAATTCAGTCTCATCCATACTGCTGCATCTGACCGCATCTCACTTTTGCCACCATCAGCGCCGATTATCCACTTGGTATCAAAAGTTTCTAATTCGCCGTTCTTTGCTAGAACAGCGGTAACGCCCTCATCGGACTGCTCGAACGAACACAGTTCTCCCAACTCGACAGAACAAGAAAACCTCTGTAGGTGCCGTCGCAGAATCACATCTAGGAGCTGTTGGCCCATCGCCTTGTGACGCTAAAAACACGTGTTCAGCATGGCCGCTTGAAAAGACAGCGGCTCTGCGTACGTATGGTATTGCAGGCGTAGGTTCACTATTTGGGGCCACCCAAGCTTCCCTCACGATTTCGAACGTCCCTGGCTTGTACGCGCGGACCATAGGGGGGACCTTCCCCAGATCGTTGACTTCTGGAACATTCAAGAAGTTAAAGAGTTCGAGGGTGCGTGGCTAGATCGTGCGGTCAACGAGACCACGGGAGATATGACGAGCGAGTGTGTGACAGACCATTATTCCGGAACCACGCTGTCCGATGCGGGGGTTGGGGTCTTTGTCGATGATGCGGACCGGGATGCCATTCTGGAGAAGTGTCAACGCTGCTACCAGACCTGCTGGCCCAGCGCCCACCTAAGAAAGAGGAATTCAGCCGATATAATATCATGAGCAGGTGACTTACGACTAGCACAGGAGGACGAGTGGAATTCATATGTAGAGGTTGACGAGTGTACGATTTTTTTGGCTATAATCGCGTCTTATAACACTGGCACGTATACACAATCAACCATCCACGTAGTTTGTGCTGGCATAGTACTATTCCACTTGCCAACGGACTAAATGAGCATCGGACTCGGAGGAACTAGGGGTAACCACCACCTCGTCGAATATATATTCGGTAACGGAGATATGCTCAACCTGTAAAACCTTGACCTCCACACTCGCTGGGCAATCTCCTGACAAGCAAAATTCTCCAGTACACTCCATCAAGACGCTCCCGGTCTCCTAATTCCAAACATCGCGCAAAGGTGTAAGAAACTGGTGGCAAACTGGCGACTGGCCCCTTCGGCTACTCGCAGCACTCCTAAAGTTGCGTGAGGGCAAGTTGGGTGTGTTGATTATGATGGGCCGAGAAGGCTCAGGAGGAGCGCCATCATTGCCTCAAGCTTCGACTAAGTATATATGTTCAAGCAAGGGTATCACGAGCAGAACCCTGAGATAGCAACAAGTTGGCAACGACGCAACAACGACGTCAAAAGCTGACACGAAAGCACTAGTCGGAGTTTGAAGGTGTCTATCCAAAACTGTATTTTACAGTTTGCTACAGTTGACCCCGAGTTGTCCCGAGACCGTCGTCGTTATGATGCCTAGGCCTGATCTGTCCATCTACAGAATATGAACATGACCACTGTACTAAAGACCATGGTCATTAACACACCATCGTTGAGCCATGCATATGGACAAGAAGATTTTGCAGGGGGTCTGGCTCTGCACCACTCGGGATCAACCTGGAAGTTTCCCGTTGCTCACTACATCGACAGGAAAATGCTGAGTGGAATCAAAGTGGAATATTCCTTATGCCGCCTATTAAAACTTGCGATAGAGCATCTGGATCTCAAGCTATAGCCTGAGATAATAGCTAGTGGGCCGAGCGTCCCCGGGCCCTGCCAGTGGCAGAATGGATAACCATTAGTTTCTCCTAGCAAGAATAGTCGTTCGATAATCATGGTTAATCGGTATACAGCTAATTATTCTGCCTTTCACGGAGCCTCGAGGCTACCTCTAACGATACAACTGACTCTCCACCGGCCTTTGGTGCCCTTCCTTTCTCTTCCCAGCTTCTCCCCGCCTCTTCTGCCCGCTTGCGGCATGTTATCACTGTATAACGACTTTACAAATCTAGTTCTCCACGATTTGGAATTCCCCTCTACGCCAGGCCTTCCTTCTCCCTCCTCCTAATTTCTGGCTTCTTCGCACGTTTTCTTCTACGGTTTGAGTTGCTGCGTCTCAGTCCCAGCAATTATCGTTTAATTCTTTGGCATTCCAGCGATCCAGCATCAGCTCCGCATCTCATCGTCCGTCCTTCAGTGGTGATTCTGCGCAGTGCCCTATATTCGAGGCGAGCTTGCTACCTAACGAGCCGTTCTTCGATGACGTACGAGAGGATCAGGGGTCTGCGAAGTAGTCCATCAGTACAGGCACGTCACAGGCAAAATCGACCTCGAGTTCGAGCTCGGGTGAGCCCACCCTGCACGCGCATAGCATGCAACGCTCACATAAATATACGTGACTCAGAATGCGACCAAACTGAACTCGATTTCAAAAGCAAAATCAATCTCTCGTGCCAGCAGGTCCTATACCAATACGTGAGGACCTTGGTCTGTCTTTGTGACGAAGACGGTGTGCTCTCCAGCGGTGACAGGCCGCTCAGTGGGTGCGAGAAAAAGCACAAGGTTTTAAATCTGGGGCGTCGTGACACATGAACCCTCGTCGTCATTTCACTAATCCAAGTGGACGATTGCGCAATTTTCCCTTCGTTTGGTTTATGCAGGGGATTTTGGACCCCCGCTGGCAATCTCAGTGGCAGATGACCATTTGTGTCCATCCTCTAAATTCCTTGGAGATTGCCACGAATCTGTCAGTTCCCCTTGTCGATGTGTTTCGCGAATCAGTGAGATCGCTACACCGTTCGGGGGCCCGCATCTGAATCGGCGGCCATCATCGCCATCATATGCGGTCTTCTAGTAAACCTTATTCCCACAATTTGCAAATTGCGTTGGATTAGTCTCTGGGCTCGGCGACTGCCACAAAGCTTTCAAAAAACCTACCAATACGTCAAGCTTCTCAACAAGCGGCCACGATACTGTCTACAAAGTTGGTCATATCGTCGATGATGGTCCTTGGCAGGCTCTAAGGGGCATCACATACGCTTCCGTCTTCGCTTGCTGCACGTTGTTAGTGTCGTGCGTGCGGTCGTTTGCATCGACTCTATCGGGAACGTGATATTTCGTTGTGTGAGACTAAGATTTTCTATCTCCAAATAGTTCTCCAGGAACATGCGATTGAAGCAAACTTGAATGCAGTGACCTTGAAAACTGCTGCTGTAATGAGAATTTACTGAAAGGGAGGAAGATATCAACCACAACGTGCGGTGAACGCAGCGTAGCGATATATATCAGAAGCCTACAAGTTGGCTCATGATGCATGATGAGCGCGCCTGTACGTCATCAATAATGCATGTCAATATTTTAATGGGCGACCGACGACCGTATCCTGGAATAAACGTGCAATTCATTGAGCGCAGCGGGCATCGTCCATTACATCAACAGCATAGATTATACATATATGTAAGAGATATTTCTACCCTAGGTCTTGGTGCAAGGCCACCTAAATAACGTAAACGGTCTCATTGACGAGTTGCAAGTTCGGCCAAAAAAGCTCCTGTAACGCGCATCAGATCTGTACATCAAAGATAGCAGGGGACCAACGTACTCCAATGAGGCTAAAGTGAGCAAGTCCAAGCTGTGCTTGCCCGGTAACGAAGGATGCAGGGATTTGGACAGAGAAGTCCTCATATGGGTCATACGCGCCCGACCCAAACTGCGGATTGAACGGGCCTGCATACAAAACAGTGCCCAAATCCCAATTGAGGGGGAGACAGTTCCCAGTTGGGCAAGACTGGATACCAATGACAATCGAAATCTCCTGACTGCCAGTGATAGTGTCCTGAGAGCGCGCGGAATTATTGAATATGAGGCTATGAGAAATGCGTGTTTGAAAGCTTACCGGGCGGCCGATTTGGACAGTAAAGTTGGTACCAGCAGTGATACTGGAGCCGGGCGTAGGCAGGTTAATGAAGGCGCCCTGCGCACAAACAGACGCTGCCATGAGAGCGGTGGCAACCAGCGCTTTGATTGGGAAGTACATTATAGCTGTAAGTGAGGAAGAGTGAAAGTTCTTGTGCAGGTCTTGGAGAGATGGGGAATACATCAGAGGTATCGAAGTTTATATGCGCTGAGTGAGTCCTACATTTGGTAGTCCCCGGACCGCGGGGAGCATCTCATCTAGAGGTGTAATGTCAGCGCCCCATGCAAATGCATAGCACTACAACGGGACGCAAATGCCGCAAGAATGAAGAGGTTTGACTAGCCCGAAATTTTCATGACCAAGTAATGTAAAGTCAAATAGGAATGTACGGTTTCCATACTACTTGCCTGCCCGCTACCTGCGGTGCAGCTTGAACTGTGCCATGAGCTGAGCAGGAAAGGGAGCGGACATTAGTGGACATTTGTGCAAAAAGATCTGCGGGTGCTGCCTCAGCAAATCAGCCTCGACATGGATCTTTGGCGAGGTACTCGGATCTGAACGCAAATTTATGCTCCTCAGCATGGGGATTTGTATGAGGCGCCGGTTACTCGCTGACTACAATCAACATTTTGAAACATGTGGTTCACGTTACGGCTGGTAAGGCAAGCGATCCAGTTCACCTGTCCCAGTGGAACCGGAACGAGGCAGCAGTCCCGGTGAACGACAACCGCAGCATTATCTGGCAGGTTCCATGAAAGGCAGTATAACTGTGCACGCGTCCCCTGTTTCGATGCATTGAAGGTCTTCTTGCCCGTGCCCTGAAAAATGTGATTTGAATGACGAGCAGTCCGTGTTCGGATTCAAGCCCAAGTACTGCGGTATTACCCCCGGCGCTATCATTGGTGCGTGTCTGTGATGGTTCCTGGCGTAAGTCGGTGCAGCGCATGACGGCTGTTATTGGAATGATTGGAATGGTGTGAGAAACGATGACCGCTCCCTCTGGGGAGTCAGTGTTAGCCTTAGTGAGCGATCCCTAGACGGGCCATCATGATGGCAGGGCTATGTCTCTATGCAATGAAATCAGGAATGGCAATCGATCTGAGAAGGTTGTACTATTGGAACATGAACGCCGCTCGCCGTGTAAGAATCCATAAGTCGCTGGGTGGTACATTGACGGCGTGGTTCGTCATCCGCCGTCCGAACTTATCGGTGGTGTTCCAGTATGTCAAAAGAATGTTGATATTGGCTTCAAGTTAGCGGCGCCGGGAACCAAACTTTTGTACTTGGGTCTGTCGCGAGTGAATAGTTCCCCGTACTGGGCAGACCAAATGGAAGAAGCAAGGTGCTTGTTCTAAAATGGTTTCACTGAGGACGTGTGCATCGCTTGTGACGGTATGAGACTAGCAAGTACTTGGTTGGAAAGAAACATCACAAATGTGTCACACAACACAAAAAGAGACCAGGACAGTTCGTACGCGAAAATACTTGGTCCGTAGGAGGTTGTAGGAATTACAGAAACAGGTATAGCCGAATTATGTCTATGTATCGTTCTGCGATACTGTACTACAGCGTCAATATCCAAACAATCCATAGCAATGAAATTATCATGAAATTGTGATGGTGCGGTTCAGAATCTCCAACGAAGGGTACAACCCAGCCTAGACCATATTGTAAGTTGCGAGCACGCAGTTTGAACAATGCACTCACCCCGATAAGATTGATATGAGCAACCCCAATAAGAGCGGTTCCGGCGGTAATGCTGCTGGGAATCTGAACTGTGAAGTTTTCATACGGGGGGTTGTACGTCTCGTGGTACTGTGGGTTGAAGGGACCGTTATACAGTATTTGACCCATGTAATCAGCAGGGGAAATGCACGGCGCTCCTGGGCATGACTGTATGCCAATGACGACGGCAACTTCCTCAGAACCTGACAATGAATTCTGCAAAAAGCAACCGTTGATGGATGGACAGGGTACGATTGCATGTCAGAGACTTACAGGTTTCTCTACCTGAACAGTCAAACTGCTTCCAGGAGAAACCGAAAGACCCTGTGGAGGGTATCCGATTACAGCGCTCTGGGCGAAAGCAGAAGCTACAAGAAGAGCGAGGGAGAGAACTGACTTCATGGTGAATAATTTGGTTAAATTGGTTAAGACGGTGTAAGCCCACCCTTTATATGTTGTCCGGCGCTTTAACTTTGGGATAGAGGGCAGCGTTCGCCGCTCCATCCAAACCATGCGTGTCAGAAGGTCCCAGTGCGCCGTGCCATCCAAATATGCTCCGTTGGCAACGTGATCGGTAACAATCCATTCCAGCCTAGCGGAACACAGAAGTCCTCCTTAATCATGGAGCCGGCGACATTGAAAAAACGGTCATAAAATGCGCAGTTTTCATTCAAAAGTAAAATGTTGAAGGCTATGTGAACGAGTGAGCTGGCTGAGCGCGGCAGAGTTGAAGATCAGCGCATTAGATGACTAATACAAGTGACTAAGCTAATTGACGAATGATCGTCTAAACGCAGCTTCCATCCACAGCGCCAGTCTTATTGATAACTCTGTTCTGCAAGACCCATGTACAGCTACATCAACCACCTTTTCACATAACCACGACTGGTTCTTGGCCACCATCAGATTTGCCTCGAAGTATTACATGCTGCAGACGTTTTCAACTTGCGCAAGGGCCCCGAGGTCACGGTCGTGCTGAACAAATCTAATGGCATTTTGGCATGTCATTCTCCTTCCACAGTGGCTTTTCTCTCTTTGTCAGTATTGTTTTCAAGCAGTACGCCACCTCCGTGGAGGTCTTTCAAGAACCTACGGATGCAGAATGAGCATCGCAGATACAAGATACACGACAACTGGGTTGCATCCCCGTATAATTTGGTGCATTCATTAAACATTTCTCAAAATGAAACTTAGTAGACTAGTCGTCGTCTCACTTTTTTGGGTATCGTCTCCGCACAACTGGTGTTTATCATGTCACCGTTAGCAGGAACTTATCTGTCTCTCCAGGAAAACATATTACGTTCACCATCGAGAAACCAGTGAGTTGATGAGTCCAAGTGCCACCTCGAATTTACGTTGTACAAGGACTCATTGTCTACTTGAGGAAGTAGCTGTTGTCATTGCCATCCACCCATGCGCATAAAGTCGTTGTGCCACTCCGGCGTAAGCGCTAGGCGAAATTATCTACAGCCTGCCACCGGTTCCTTTTAATCCCTGCACGAGTTCCAAACAACCGAACCAAGATTTCAATATTAGGATCCCTCAGTCCATGAACAACGGCTGCGCCCTTTTCACTGTCACTTGCCCTCGTTGGAGTACTCGTTGCATTTTATGACTCGTGTAAGAGCCAATGCTGAGTATGGTTAGGCTGGCCCCATGCACCAGATGGAGTCAAAAAATGTGTCGGTGGTAGCAAAGCTTATTTCACAGCCTGTGGATGATTCATCGCAAGGCAGTATTACTTTGGCAAGTGTAGTACTGCCTGGTGGCCCATCACATTCCTACGTGACAGGATGGACTTTTTTGCGAAGAAGAAATGGGCGCAGTGTAAACATGACCCGTTCACACTTGATCCCTTTCGGTAACCCCTGACCGCCCCGTGGGGGCACCTGTCACCGTCTCAACCAGACATAAGAATTACGAATACATCGTCCTCCACAGCCTCGAGCTTGGCACACACCCTAACGGTGCGATGTGCCCGTCACGGATACATGCTATAGAGGTGGGCGGTAGCCCGCAAGAATCTTCGACTTCAGTCTCCCTGCAAATATAGCGTGGAATTGCGATGAGGATTTCAAGTATCTTCCTCGCTCCCATTTTCGCTGTAGCTGCTCTCGCACAAAACGTTTACATCGCAGCGCCCGTCCCAAATCAGACAGTCAGCGCTGGAAGTAACTTTACCGTTGACATCGTTCGACCGGTAAGCCACCAAAAACAATCTTATCCCATCTGGATCACGCATCTAAAGTCGTCTACAGGATTTCCAGTCTTCAACGCAAGAAGTAGCTGTCGTGATTGCAATCCAATCGTGCAATCCAACCTGTTGGCCAGGCGAGGCACTCGGTGACATCCTCTACAACGGGCCTTACAGCCCACAGGTGCCCAAACCAAACCCCGGTAATCTCCAGCCGTACCAGAACTTTACTGTTCAGGTTCCTTCTTATTTGATGGGCAATGCCTTGCTGACTGTAACGCATGTGGCGCTTATCGGGGTGAGCTCGTGATCGTGATCGTTCACTGACAAACTTAATGCTGACTACATTGCTGCCAGGCCGGGCCCATTGCGTGGATGGAGGAAAAGAATGTAACGGTCTATGTTCTTTGATACGCCTGTGAGGAATCAAGCATGTCACATCAGCTATTCTGATAGGAATATGCAGTACGAATTTGAGATGACGTTCCAGGTCTGTAGTGCCATCGGCCGCAGGGCAATCAAATGTATGAAACGGCACTGTGCACTTCGGGGCGTTTGCGATGAGATCTATGAGTTATCACCGCAGAATAAGCCAACAGATTCTATCATAGCAGTTGTTCCTAAGCAAGGCTACGATCGGTCCACCAGCTCCCCGTTGAATTCTAGAACGAACTCCAGCACTCGATCGATCGATAGTCGGTTTTGTCTTCGTCATTTCTCCCAGGAAGATCAAGTTGGATCATTTCGGGTGCCCGCACGTACTACCTAGTGCTTGAATGGGACTCTGGTCAAATACGATCATAATCATACCAAACGATCTTAAACAACACACCTGAATGACCTTCCTTGCAATTCGCAGTGATCACTTAGTATGCTATGCGGCCTAGACTTGTTCACATGAACGTATATGCGTTGCAGCGAACTACATACAAACTGGAAGTTGGGAACTTTGAGTCAGGCTGAACCTGCAATAATGAAGTTACGCTCGAGTCTAAAAATAGCACTCCCAGTCTCCCACATCAACCACCAACTCTCTTAGTCTCCTAACGAGCACCCATAATTAAAGTGATGGTACATTTTAGAGTCTTCCTCGGCGCCCCGTCCATCAGTGATCTCAACAAAGCCCCAGGTTCGTACACCTGGAAGACCATCGAGCCTCCTTCAGCAGAGGCCTCTCAACCACTACTATACCCTCCCGCAACACTCGAGGCCGCGAGCAGACGAATATCCTTGCTCTACCAGAACATCATATTCGACGATGGCGAGGAAGAAGAGGAGAATGCTGGCCTGAGCGCATGGCCTGAGGGAAGTCAGCCTTTGATGAAAGGTATGAATTCTACATAGCTCTCCGATCGCGTGCTCCACCTCATTCGTGCAAATAGAACAGACGACGGTGATAACCTGGCCTCCGACCCCTGTTGCCGATACCACCGGTGCACCCTCCTTCCTGCGCACATCCCAGTCGCAGTCACAGTCTCTGCTTGCTGCAACGTATGAAACACAGGAAACCACTTCCGTGTCTTACTCAGACGCGTCTTCTATAGCCCGCTTCCCGCATTTCCAGATCAGCCTTCATAAAGTTTCATCTCTTGCATCGCTCTACAGCGAAAACATCGCAAGAGGGAGAAAAGTGAATATATTACTCGCCACGCTAGAGGTAGAAGGCCCTGATACAGTGCGTGTGAAGAAAGGCCCGGACGCAGGGAAAGAAATCTCAGTTCTCAAAATGATTCTGGGTGATGAGGATGGCTCAGTATGCAAGCTCACCGCGTGGCGTGACGTCGCAGATGCTTGGGGTGCACTGGGCCTCAAGCGCGGAGACATAATTTACATAGAGAGTACGTATCGTATCGCCCTTGCGATCGCATTGCGTGAACTAACGTCATTTCCCATCACACAGACCTCGCACCAACGTGCGAGCCAGGCAGCTCGATCACCCTCACCGCCTCGCCATACAACAAGCCCACCGCGGAGATATGCTTTCGGACCATGCCTTACACACGTGAGGACAATCGCCTCCGGCCGGACCTCCGGCTCGGGCAAAGCGACGCCGCCGTCAAGAAGGTCGCTGCACTGGCCCAGTGGTTCGAGCGGATGGCTGGGCTGGTACACGCGCGCTAGCTTGACATGTATCACTAAGCATTACCGTGGCTACCACGTTTGACGTGGAAGTTTGGTGGCTCATAGTCCTACTTTGTAGGATGCTGTGGCGCAAGTTGCCGGTTGCGCTGGCATGGCCGACGTCATTGGCACCGGGCCACCGGCCGCGAATCTCGATAACACAGATGGCTTACTCGGTGATTATGCCTGCAGGCGCAGCTGCACGCAAGTGTTCTTTCATTCATTTCAACGCGTACACCCAGAGTCATCAAACACCCATGCTTATAATAGATATGACAATCCGCGTTTCGTTCCGCACGCAGGACAATGCCAGCACACAGGTCCATATCATCGTGTGCGCCACCGCTTTGGCCAGAAGACCATCAATACAAAAGCCCACTCGGTTTGCCTGTGGATGTGGATGTGGACGCGGGCGATGGGACGCCTTGACGTTGGCCCAGGCGGACTATAAAGCTCATCATCGTTCTCCTTGCCTACCAGTGTCCTCGTGCAGTGTCATCCGCGCCCATCTATATTTTGAATCTCCCTCTGATATGCCTCTTTCACAACGTGCTGCTACAAGCTTCCTACACATTCCTCCTGTGTTTACAAATCTTCAACGCAGATTCAAAGCTCGAATGCATGCACCCTCCGTTTTCGAATCTCATGTGCCGAGTCTTCTTACCCTGAAGCGCAGGACTTCTCATTCGTCCACCCGCACGCAAAAATCAAAATCATCCCTCAGCTCCAGAGCCACGAAGCGCAGGTCCTTCCTTCCATCGCTAAAGTTATCTTCACCCTCGTCATCCTCCTGGTCTTCCGGAGACACGACGTTCAGTCTGAAACCTGTGGACTCTGATCCAAGCGCCGAATCGACCATGCCCGATATTATTGTTACACCGGCGAGCCCCGTTTGCGCTTCAGCGCTATCATCTCATGTGCGCTGGTTTCCGTTGCATTCGATCGATTAATTCTGACCGTTTGACCCAGCCCCCGCTCGGGACTAAAATTACTGATCGGTTCTGGCCCGAAGAAGATTTTGAAAACCACGATCAAGATGAAATACTTGGAATTGGCAAGCTTTCGTCACCACTGATCGTGAATGTGTTGTCACCTCCTCCATATTACCGACGTTCCCAAACAGTCATCGTACAGCAGGACAACATACTATCTAGGTTTGTCTTCCAGATATGGCTGCACTTCAAGTTCAAGAACGCTAATGGGGTACTCGTAGTGATAAGTATCCCTCACATTATAGAAACCAGAACGACTCGCGCCCTATGGTGTTCCCGTTCTGAGCATAGAATCTGTGATTTAGATAAATGGTATCTTACCATCGCATTAATCAGACCCATGGTCTGCCTGTAGACTAATTTCCATACTGTATTCCAATTGTTACACTATCTTTCTGACTTGGTTTCTCTTTTATTCCTTACTTGATCAACCATGCAAGTCGGCTCTCCACCGCGCACGTCTAGTTATGTTAACTCGACCCGTCGCTGGACAGGGGCATATGACGCTCCAAACCCCACTTTAATAAACTGCGCGATACACAACATTGTGTGCGCGATATGACATTGAGTGCGCGATATACAACATCAAGTGCGCGATAAACTACTGAGTGCGCGATACACAAGCATCAGGAAAACGTCGGAGTGCTTTTTTTGCCTTGTTCTACTTGGTGGACTGCATAAGGAGGAAAAGGAGACTTAAGCGTGGCAAGGAGACTTAAGGAATACAAGAACATATAATCCCTCGTAATAAGCAGATACAAGGAGAAAAAAGGAGAGATTTTTTATTTAAGTCTAAGTAAGATTAAGGAGGCATGTCTCTAGTCACATGAGGTAAACTACAGCGCCGCATCACAAAAACAGCGGGCGAAACGAACACGAACTTCTTGTGTTTCGATGGCGGTTGTACTGGCGCAGGTTCGTGTTCTGGAATACCGGGTGATGACGGCGATATAGCAGTACAATCCTCCATACCTGGTGGCAATGCCGTTAAAATGGTGAGGGAGGGGGGGGGTCATTAAAGCAAGCTCACCATCACCAAACAGCGGGCGAAGCGAATACGAACTTCTTGTGTTTCGATGGCGGTCGTACCAGCGCAGGTTCGTGTTTTGGAATACCGGGCGATGACGGCGCCGGTACAATATGGCTGGACAATCCTCTGGATATGATGACAAACTTTTTTGATTCCATGTCGGAGACAATCTCAGCAGATTATTCTCGGTCACATTTGAGCTTCGCAGCGGCTAGTGAAACCCGGATTACTATATAGTAGTAGTAAGCCAGCTTGTATTATTCATTGTGAAAGGCCAAAGTGCCTTTGATCACGGGCGAAAGCTTATCAGTCGCACGGCTGACAGTCGAGCCAAACTTTGGAGATTTTGGCTGCGCAGTATACTAGAAATAGAAGTTATATACATTTCTTCTCATTTCTTTCCCTGTTGTATCGCGCACCCGACGTTGGGCATCGCGCACTCAATGTTGTATCGCGCATTTGGTTGTGTATCGCGCACTCATGTTGTGTATCGCGCAGTTTAATAAAGTGGGGTTTGGAGCGTCATAGGGGCAATTGTAACTCGTCCAGCACCATCCGAGTAGCCTCGACAATAATCTCCCACTCTACCTTATGTAGTCTCTCCTCATAAGCCTCTATCGCCTCCCCCTTCACCACCTCCACTCTCCTCTGAATCAACGGCTCGCCACGATCAACTTCCTTAACCACGCGATGCACCATCACACCCAACTCATCCACCTCCCCCTTCTGAAACGCCTCAAACCCCCGCTCAACCGCATGCGTCCCATCAAACTGCCCAAACAACGCCGGATGGATATTAATCACAGGCACCTCCCTCTCCAGCACCTCCTCACCATCCAACACCCGCGTCCCCTTGAGTACATCCAGAAACCCCTCGCTCACGATATGCATCCACCCCGCACACACGACCGCATCAGGCTTCGCGCGCAGCACGATCCGCGCGACCTCCACATCGTAGTCCTCGCGCGTCTTTCCGGGGTTAGATCTGAGGAACGGCTGGAGGCCGATGTAAGCTGTTGGGATCGGGTGCGGGTGGGAGGTGGAGGCGCGGATCAGGCCGCGTGCGTTTTTGCGGTTGGAGAGGACGAGGACGATCTGGGTGTTTGGGAGGGAGGGGGTATTTTGTGCGTCGATTAGTGCTTGGAGGTTCGTTCCTGTTGAATGAAGCGAGGGGATCTGGATGGGCGTTTGGAAAGATCGGGGTGGGACGTACCCTCTCCTGAGATGAGGACTGCTAATCGTCGTGGCGATGGTGCAGTGCCAGTATTAGTGTTAGGATCTTGCATGTCGCTGGAATAAGCTTTGAGCTCAGAAAAAGGCGCTTGTCTGTGAATATAGATAGTACCTTGCACTCAATCAATCTGCAACGGGTCACTGTGGGACTCAATACGTTGTGACGCAGTGCAAAGTAACGGCTGATAACGGCGTTATTATGGAGTTATTACGTACATAACATGACGCTATTGTCATACCTCATTCAGACTTAGCAAAACAAATTATTTAATATTTATAATTTTAGATATTTCATAATCGCGGAGCTTAGCATAAATGAAACGCCTGCGGATCCCTAAAATAACATTCTGATAGACCCTGGTAGACCCCAGGCCTTGAGGCAGCAGCAGAGCACAATATTTCCAAGAAGAGCACATACGCTGGGTAAGTTCTCAAAGATGGGAATGGGATGCCCGAGCTCCCCGACGATGTCCATGGCACGATGTAAATTAGAATTATATGTAATGAATAAAGTAAGTGCAGCACGATATAGCCAATATTATCCCAGCGAGCGTAAACCACGAGAGGGAGTGCGTCTTTTGCGATAACAGAACACATCTATGCTTTGGATTTGACACAGATGATACAAATCGCCAACTGAGCTAATAGGTAAAGATCGTTTATACTGCAAGTTTTGAGTTAGTTCAAAAAGGAGGGTTTTCGTTACTTGGTGGTTAGTGTTACATAGATAGAAAACAAAACAAACAACAGCGGAAGGGAGGGCGAGCAAGTCGGTGAAGCTATGCATAATAATAGTGATCAAGCAAGAGGCCTCCGAGGCAAAACGAGAGGAGCGGGTTATCGAAAGAAACGTACATGACAAGAGGGGGTCAGAGGATAGCAAGCAGAAGAGAAAGTGATACTTTGTCCTAAAAGTCCCAAGGCGTCCGTGCACGGCACGGGTATTGTGAGCACCGCCTTAAAAGCTCATAGGCCTCATATCATCATGCCATATCCTCCGCCATTGCCAACGTTTATTGGGCCGCCCAAACCTTGCTTCGTCATCATACTTCCCATCCCATCTTCGATCCTCCCGCTCCACGACCCAGCAATACCAGTGTTGATGTGGAGGTTGCTCAGGCTCAGCCTTTTGGGAAGACCATAATCAGGAAGGGCGTTCGCAATCTCGTAGTTCATAGAAGCTCCATGCGATGGTGAGCCGTATCCAGAGCCGGGGCTACTTTGACCAGATCCGACGGAAGATGTGTCGTCTGTATCACCGACATACCCCATGGCGGCGTGCTGCTGTTGGAGCGCGAGCATCTGCTGCCGCTTGAGATTGGCAAGAGCTGCTTGGTCACCAAAGTGATTGCCGGTCGTTGCTGATGGTCCCATGTTGTGCGAGCCATTGGGAGGCGTGATCAAGTTACGCTGCGCCGGAAGTTGATGGATTTGCTGCGTGTTATAGGCATTGTACATATTCGACCACGCTTTCAGATTATGTTGTTCCATTGCGGGTTGGTGGTGTCCGACATAAGGGGCTGCGGCGAAGTTAACCCGAGGCTCGTAGATCGAAGGCATTTCTGGGTTCTCGAAGGAAACAGAAGAATGCATCTGAGCGATCATGGGACCGCCGTGCGAGTTGGGCGGACCGCGTGGCATCATATGAGCGATGTTGACATCAGTGGGGGGAACATTCCCATGTGCATACATGCTGTTCTTGACCATCGGCGCAGAGGGCATAACATCCTCAGTGTCGTCCATGGCGTTTGGCATCGAACCAGCAAATTCATCGTCACCCTCCTCATATCCGTCATACGCCTGTCCTTCTTCATCTTCTTCACCGATGACAGCTGCGAGAATTTCGACTTCGCCATTAAGGACCATGGTAAAGCCTTCTCCACGAACGGGCTCTTCCACACAGGGAAGCGCAGCACGATCACGCCATTCGTTAAGTTCCCGGCGAAGGGCATCAGATTCTAGCTTCAGAGCGCGCAGCTCCCGCGAAGCAAGGAAGCGGTGACGCCTTGACGCGTGAACGTGTGCAATCGAAGAGTTGACGATCGCAGACTTGGATGGTCTGCGGATCTGGGAAAGATTAGGAAGCAGCGCAGCCAGATCCTAAAAAGAAAACGTTCGGATCATGATTCTTTGATTCAAGAAAAATGAGGCTTGCCAAGAATCTGCCGTTGAGAGTCTCTCTGCGCTGTCTCTCGACTGCATTGTGAGTAGCGCGCCTTTCGGCGGTGTTAGCTCGGCGACTGGGTTTCCGCTTGACCTGTGTAACAGCGCCATTGGATGGGGCTGTGATAGAGCTTTGTGATTGGATGTTGTTGTTCTGCTCAGCGGAAGGCGCCAAGGGCAGAGACAAAGTTTGACCGGCAGCAGGAGTAATCGGAGTTTGAGGGGGAACAGAACTCTCTACTGAAGAGGGGGAATTACCAGCAGATGGAGTGGAAGAGGAAGCGATTGGGAGAGTCATAGCCATTGAATGAAAAACAGGGGTTCTACAAGGGAAAGTACGAGTATAATTGAGCGATAACACGAGTAAAACAGAGAAGAGTTGAATTCCGGCGACAATAAAGATCAGCCGGGGAATATGAATTTTACAGGGGGATGTTGATAAGAACAGTAGGATACGCGAGTTTCCTCAGCGGAGTCCTTTGACTGTGGGGAATTGAGGTTGTACTTGAAAGCGGGCTGTGCAAGTAAGGCGGTTTGGAGATACTGCTGTAAATCAGAGTAGCGAGCGAGCTCAAGCGTACTACTGATTGGTCCTTTGAGGTATTTGGGATGGTTGAAAGGGCGGATTGTGAGAAGCCGGCAAGGGTCGCGAGATCTGTCGAAAGTGACTGGAGGTCAGTGTCTTTTTTTCCATACAAGTAAGAATAAGACGAACTACAAGCGGAATCCTTGTTAGCGGCGAGGCTTATCGGGGATGAGGGGGAAAAGGGAGTATGGACCTCAAAGGACCATGCAGAGAAGGGAGGACGAACGATGGGGTAGTAAAGTCAAGGAGACGTTGAGAAGACGACACTTTCAATTCATATCAATCGGCTAATTCCGCTTTATTATTTTATCATTTTTATTTTCCCAGATATCACAGACCTCTCACGTATATACCTCTTTCGGGTCTTATCTAGCCGATGTCACCGACGGTTGATGCCGGAGAGTATTTGCTCTTATTTGTATTTGTTTGCATTCATCCCTAGCTGACTTTGATACTCATCAGTGCGCTCAGCCATGGGCTCTGCAAGTCACAATAATACCCGATCCCCGGGCACTCCTTGTAATTTTAAGACGCTCCCTTTACGTTGTTCAACACACGTTCCAATGAGTTTCGCCCTTTGATCTCGGATTCTGACACTGCAGTGCCTTCGGATCCTCTTGCTCAGGCTAGCTAACCGCAAACGGCGTTGCTATCACCACCGAAAACTTTGCTACTCTTTCTATGTCTTCCCTCGGTACATCTCCCATCGGCCGCTCGCCGTATTGCGGTCTCTCTGTTCCCCACCATACTACTTTGGCATGTATGTAGACTTTGTTGTCGTTTCACCGAAGTTGTCAACAGGCTCATATGACAGATCTCGTAAGTCAAGTTCCGAGATTTGAAACGCACTGATCTGGTGACGTTAATCATAGCATAGATCAACTCGCCTCTTTGTTCTTCTTCAGGTATTTACTGCCGAGCCATGGCAGGTCATGGCAGTGTCAACTAGCAAATATTGCTCCCTCAAATACAATTCCCCTTGGGAAATGTGCTCACACTCTGTCAAGCGCTATTTTCTTTCCCTCCACTTCCTCCGGTATTTTTGTGTATACTTATTTTCGCGCACCACAGCACCGGCACAATGATCTTGGAATCAGTAAGGTATCGCAATGTGTTACTCAAGAACATCATGAGAAGATGCGCCAAAGAGGCTTCCGAGAAGTTCTACAGCGCATATTACCTTGTTCGTTACACAGGAGCAGATCCATCAAAATCATGAGGATGATACGGCCGCCGCGAGCGCAAAGAAGCACCCTGCCTGAGAAAACCCGGCAATGTCTTGTAATCACAAGCCAGAGACATATAAAAGTGCCTTGCCTTAACCTCGCACTTTCGCCTCCATGCAATACAATCTGACGCCCACTTGTACTGTAACCATTCACACGGACGGCGACTATCCAAAACGTTTAAGTGCGGTTTGACACTGACAGGCGTCGAGGCGAGACAACGTTCTGATAAACGCTGCCTAACAACCCTACGTCAAGTCAATCCGCCACTGATCATCATTGGTTTTTGACTTTTCAACATATTCGCGAATCTGAATCGTCGGAACCACATGTATCTCCGTTATTCCGGAAAAAAACATATTCTCCTTTCATGGTTTGTTCAGAGAGAGAACTTAGCGGAAGACTAGAAGAAGCTTAAGTCAGGTATGGTATTTGTTCCGACCATTGGATTTTGAGTTGCAAAGGCACGTTCGTCAGACGGGATACTCTTTCACGTTGTATTACGCCCAACGCTTCAACGTAACCGTGACCTTCTGATCCATTTGAAGACGATTACATTTTCAACCTGTCAACTGACATATTACTCACCTTTTCTCCGCATCCTTCATGAACCTTGGCGGTGCCGGAAATTCGCAGGTCAGATGCCAACCTTGCCAATTATGTCCGCTCTGCAAGCCACTTCAAGCGTACTGCGCCCCCTGCTTTCGAAGTGCCCTATTCCGAAGTCAGTACTCCCTTTTCCCGAAATCTCTGCTCGTCTACCACAGATCTAGAGCATGTCATTAATTATAATCACACAGAGCGGCCTCTTTAATAATGGCTGTTTGCTTTTGACGATACGATGCGACTTATTTGGCTTAGGGCTATCTGCGCTGGGTACAGCTGATGCATCGGTGATACCTCGATGTAGCTCCAGTGTAGAAATGGGGAGATGAATCGATGATCTACTGGAGCCCCATGGGAATGCATCGTCGATGAAGGACGCTTGTGAAACGCCCTTGGTTTTTACGGCGTCCGTTTGTACGCATGCAACACTTACCCCTATTGACGAATGTTGTGCATGTGACGCGAACTTCAAGTGAGTTACTCACATCCATTAAGTCGACTGCATCGTATTGACCAGCTGCGGACTTTTCAACTTCCCGCCAACTGAGTACTAGTGAGAGTACTGCGACTCGCTGAAAGTACCGCAATGTTGGTTTCCCCCCATATTTAGTTCATGACGACTTTTTTCATCTCAGCACGCGAAACAAAGTGATGAGTTTCCCCGGGCCTTGTTTCTTGCGCCTCGAGCCCGTTTTGACGAGGCTTCTACCATAATTAATCCTCAGGATAAGTCTTCTTCATCCAATTTTCACCGTCTCATCTCGATTGTCACAAACCTCAAAGGCCTACCGTGGATGGTCACGTTGGACGGAATATACGCTCTTAAATAAACATGGAAATGAAAATCAACCTCCAGGATGTCTGACCCAGCCTTTCTATGAGTTTCTCACTGAGGGATGTGTGTCGAGAAAGAAACTGGTTTTCCAAATAGTTCAACGACATTTGCGAAGTCGGCAGTCATGCATCACGCACCATGGTTATTGTATCGCACTCGCACGCACCGCACTTTGGGGCCAAGTTTTGGTTGGAGGTAATGTGGGGGAAACGTCAAGTAAAGGGCGAAATTTCACGTCATAACCACGATATAACGAAGTAGCTATTATCTAACTTTTTGTCCAAGCAATGAGCAGCTAAACACCAAATAAAGTCACTCGTTTTCCATGAATAAATGTGTTGCCATTATTTGTCCCATTCGAAGCAGCCATATTCGTGCTACTAATCAGCCTATTGCTATAGCTTCTATCCCTGCTCGAACACGCCTCCCATCTGCTGGAATAATGAGCAAGGCAGGGCCGCGTGTAAACGTGCCTTCGCACTCCAATGTTGCCCCCTTTAAGCCCTCTAATACCGGGAATCCACGATCGGCCCCTGTCGCAAAGAAAAGGAAGCCAGACTCGAGTGCATCCACAACCACTGCCAAACGAGCCCGTCCGCTAGCGGGATCCTCGAGGTTTCTCAACCCATTCCCATCCACGAACCCTGCAGAACCCCCCAATGCTTTTGAGCCTGGAATAAGTGTAGCAGAGTCGGAAGAACTCACGAGACAGCTGCAGCTTCGCCACCGCTACAGGACTCCGGAAACGAGAGATGAGGACGAGCCTGACCGTGACATGGATGGGGTTATAGATGACATTGACGCATTGATTGATCCAAGTCTTTGCAATGAGGGTGAGTGAAAATAATAAGGGCCGGTGTGAGAGTGTAGTGACCCACTTGTTTTCAGACTCGGAGGACAACAGCTCAGTTATGCTTTCTCCCGTCTCCTCCCCTCTACTACCCTACTCTCGGCCACTCGCGAGTCCGTTCATTCCATCTGGACGGACAGCCATAACTAGCTTGCGTGTGTCCGCGACGCCAAGTTCTCGCCCTGCTTCAGCTGGCTCTTTCTTGCGAGGATCCACTCCATCGTCTGATGCCGTCGGGAGTCGTGCATCTTTGGTAACTCCAGCAAGCAGCGTGTTCGAACTGACACATCGACCATCTGTGCACCCTGCAAAGAAGAATAATCAGCCGGCATTCCGAACTCCGGAGTTACCTACTACACATCCAAGTCGGGCTGGTTTTTCAACAGGAAACGAGGTAGTACAGCGCCGTCCAGCTGCATCAGGTACCGCCAATCAACAGTCAGCAACTGCATTTGCAAATCCACGAGTACACACTACCGTATTTTCGGACAGACTGGCTAATCTTGATTCCACTGTCCTGGACCTTGCTGCAAAAGTCGATCGGTTGTCGTTGCAGTGCAGATCAGCAGCGCTCGAACCTCAAGTCCAATACCTTATCGAAGAGAATGATATCTTGCGAGCGACAGTCGATAAACATCACGTTTCGATCAAGGAGCTACAAAAAACAGTCAACGCGCAACACAACTCATTGCAAGAGCTCCTTACACTGATAAATACTCGTCGTCAGTCGGAAAGTGCTGTTCCGTCAGTCAAATCTGTGGAGAAGGCAACCAAAGCGGTCCGAGACAACACTTTCAATGTGAGTATATGCGCCGTGATAGTGTGATACACGTACTTACAAATGTTTCAGACTGCCATTAGACAGACGTTCTTGCACGCAATGGGAATATCTGACTCCAAACTGGCTGCAGCCCTCGAGTCTCTTGAGGAAGGTGTTTTTTGGCTTAATTGTCCAACTCGAGGAGCCGTGGTTCTCCGTCCGAATTTTGATTCTTCATGGACGGAAAATGCTGCATGGAGGGAAGACATGATCCGATATGTCCGGCAAAAGGCATGCGACGTGTACGGGCAACTGCGTGAAGAACACCTGAAGAAGAAAAACGATGCCGACATTACGAAGCAGTTGAAGGAAGTATTCGAGAATATGAAGGATGTCATAAAGAAGGGAGGAAAAGGGACTGATGCGACAGAAGCGAGAAATCGAAAGCAACGACAGAATGCCCGAAAAGTTCGTGTGAGTACTAAAGGAATGCGTCGGAGTCATGGACACTCACTGACAAATGTCGTAACTCAGAAAAACAATGAGCGCGCAGCTGAAGATGTGCGTAAGGAAACAAAGACGAACGATCCCGAATGGGACTGGTTCTATCAAGCATGCTACCAGTCTACAGACGAGTCGGACACTGGTCTGGTTGCGAAACCATCAGTAGATTTCGAATCAGATACAGAAAACGCACCCAAAAGACCCGCAAAGTCCAAGAACATAGATGCCACCTGGACCTCTCGGCCCCCGTCATACCGAGATACCCTGGTAAGCAAAATCCTGCGATCCAAGTCTTGATCAGCTAATTTAGTGCGCTTGAAGGTTAACGAGAAAGTCGTCCAAATGAATGTCCTAGTCAGCAAAAAACGAGTAGAACGGGGCGGAAGAAATTTCAGTGTTCCTGTCGTTAGAGGCGAAGCTCGTGAAAAAGATCTCCCTCGACCTGGAAATGGAAAACCAAAGATTTTGCGAAGGTTTGTTTGTCCTGAGTGGCTCGCCAATAATTCAGCGCAGGACGGTCCTACTCGAATCTACCGGAAGGACGAATCAGAGGAGAGCATTACAGATGTTCTCGTGGATGGAACTCGAGATCTCGCGCATCCTCCAACTGACTATGATGGTATGGATGGTGGCACAGAAGCTTACGACGGTGATGAAGAGGGTCTCGAAGATGACGAAGGCAACATGCGTAAATCTGCAGGTACCAATGGTAAGTTTAAAATTTGAACTCTCCTCAATCAGGACTTACATGTACTATTCATGAAGATGCAGACTTCGACGGTATGTGCCCATCACGATCATGCCCTGACTCTGACAATTTAGCTTCGGTATAGATATATACAGATAGCTTTCCAACTTAGCTTCGAAATGATATGCATACAAACAACAAAACGACAGACTCGCGAGTTGCGGCTCCTTTCCAACACCCTGTATCAGTAGATTTGCAATTGTTCACCCATGATCTCGCTTCCCATCGCATCCGCTAGATAAATTATTCATCGTCTTCGATATGGACTTCCATATCCACCTCTGTACCATCCTATAGATACACAGTCAATAACCCAAATTCAAGTTCGTTTAAAGACTCACATGGTTGTGAGCTACCGTCACCCAGTACTCGAGATTTGAAACCGTGATTGGAATGAGTATAAGTTGACCCGAAATTAGCCTGACATCAACAACCTCCATTTCACCCAACATATTGGCGTGCCAGACTTGCACGCCGAGGTCAACAGCCCTAGCAACATATCAATCAAACTTCGCTATCAATGAATCGTTTGACAAATTTACATACCACATATCCCACGGAAATTGAGGAACTTTGTCATTAGTTATGAATCGACGAACGATTGCGACGGTCTTCGAAAGTTGATCTTGCTGTTCATATTCAATGTCGACCTTGAAGATCCATTCTATCTCGACTGCGATTCGACCATTGATATATGCGTAACGGGCTGATCGTCCACGAGGCTGTGTTGCTGCTCCATAACGAAGGGTCTCCACAAACACATGAGAGAAAGAGGTGACGTGGCCCATGAAACAAGCGCCACGATCTGCTAGTACGACGTCAGCGTGAATAAGAATGCCGAGTTCGTGCCACTCTTCTTGCAGATGCTGCAGTACTAATCCATATAGGGCCATGTCGACAGTCTGAAGCCGGATGGTCTTGTGAAAACGAGGATATGTCACAGATCCTAGTAGTAGTCTTGTGAGAATTGAAATCATGCACACATGCGAAAACTTACGTTCATCTCTGAATCGTGCCAAGTATTCAAACAATGTTCCACGAGGCGGCCGTGATCCACCTTTTAGACATGATTGGAGAAGGTCAACTGAGTCATGATCGTTCTCGTCAAGCTCCGGAAGTCTGTTAAAAGCATTTATCTATACCAAAATCAGGTGAAGTTATACGACGAGATGGCAACATTAACTTACGAGATCGTGAACCAACACCCACTTCCACCACTTGCGCATCATTGTGCACTCCAGCTCTCCGCCCTTGTGATTGTTGTGGTTGGTACGGCCGAGAAACCCGTTGTTCCGTTCGTACGGAAAAGCCCATGTTGTATAACAGGGACCAAACTGAAGGAATTGGTGTTGAAAATGCTGGGCAAGGTGAAAATATGGAGTCATGTGCACGCCCATGTCAGCCCAGCTTTGACATGCTCGTGAAAGGGCAGCACAGCCTCTCTTCACCTCATCGGGGCTTATCGAGCGAGACGAAAGTATCCGTATGGCAGCCGAGAATTCAAGCATTGTTGAGTAGTGTCGTAGAATGGAGCGGTCCATGGTGGAGGACTTTGCATGGTCGAGTTGCTCTTCATTGGGATTGTCCGTTTCAGATAAGAGCGTCTCCAAGCGACGTTGTGCCAAGACCTTCTCGGTCTTCGCATACTTCGCTGCATTGTTCGTCCCAGCTCGTAACCTGGGTGCGTCAATATCAGGCAAGTTACCGTCAACTTCCCAGGCCACGAAAAGCCCGATGAATAGAACACTGATATGTAACCGCCATTGATCGGCTTTCGAAGACGACGAAGTGACCTTGAAGTAGTCAGTTACACAGTCTAGGATACAAATTACGAAGCGCACTTACCGATGGGGGTAAACGACCGACAGATACGGGCCATATGATTCGGGAGAAAAATTGCTCTAGTCGGTCCAGGGGGTGCCAGTCATTGCGGGGAATAGAATTTAGCATGCCCGATTGAAGAAGGATGACCTTTGTGAGGTGTCTAACCATGCCTAGAAATACATGGGTTTAACATCCTTTCCCTGATCTCGATCTAAAAGATGGGGTGACATACAGAGGTAGACGCAATGCATAAACTCAACAACGGAGTTCATCGACGTCAGCCAGCCTGGAAGGGCATTGAGTACAGACCAGGATACACCACGACGTTCAAGTATCTCTTTCTTGTCGAATTCATCGACTGAGCGAGCACGGAATGCGTATTTAGTGTAACGCCAAGGATCTCGTAACTTGAAATCTGTGAATCAGAATGTTAGACAATAACCACCTCAAGCCAGCCAGGGCTCACATTCTGGGTTGAATCCCCGTGGATCCGCAAGAAAGAATGATGGTGTTTCGCATCGGGGACACATAAAAAGCTTCGAAGAGAAGGATGCGAGTCCCTCAATTTTTCGGCTTGCAGGTAAGTCGGATACCTCGGTGTTGATAACGGAGTGAACGGCGAACATATTTTCATCTCCGTAAACACGGAACTCCTTCCCTACCATACAGTCAGTCAAAAGGTCATGTGCGAACTCGAAAACAAGTACATACCACCATATAATCGAGTCATTTCACTGACAAACTTTTCCATGATGTTGTTGAGCTGTTCTAGTGTTGGTTCGTTCGGTCCTGGGATGACCATAATTAGAAAAGTTTCTTCGACCAGGTATCGAACTCCTCGGGGATTGTTGCAGCAAGTCATATACAATGCTCCAGTAGAATGATTGCCACGTTTCACCGCTTGGAACCTGTACAATTGAATAAGCGAGATGGGCATGCAAGTTCGAGTGAGAGTACATACCAGTCCAGGTTAATTTGCCATACAAGACCGCACGGGAGAGAGACAAAACGCTGCTGGATATGATTTACATCGTCGTCGTAAACACGGGTGATGCCTTCATGCTCGAAAATGCGTTGGAGACCAGCTTGAATTGAACGCCAACCTAGTGCATCGTGTATGTCTTGCATCGGCCTCGAAGAGTCCTGAAAAGCGTCCATACCCCCCTCAAGCACTGGCGGCACTTGTCTCGGTTCGTCACCCCCCTTCCTCCATTCCTGTAGCTGCTGGTATTTGCCAGGTCGAAGAAGCCAGTGCTGGATGGCCCGATGCGGTGATGCATATGGAAGGACTTTGGTCGGCTTCCGCTTGTGCTTCCCGTTGGCAAGACGTTTCGTTGTATAAAGTATGCCCTCACACTCATCTTCGTCACATTGTTCATGAAGATCCTCGTCGTAAAGTGTCGACGACTCGTGAACCTTCCAGCAAGTCGGACATAAAAATAGATAGGTGATGAGTAGATCGAGATTAACGCCGAGACGTCTTTCGATAGTCGGTAATGTTCTTGCCATGTCGTCAAGACCCTCAAACACGATATGTGGTGCTTGATTGCGAGCAGATGAAAGTGCTCGAGCAGCGCCGTCTGAAATGATGCGAGCGACTTCGTGCGTTGCGCCCTTGAATGCTGTAGCGACATATGCACGCACATAGGCGTTCCTAATCGCAGAATGCTCATCAAAAGCTGCGGGCTCGTCGAATAAATCTTCTTCATCACTAGCTTGTTGAAAATCGTCGTCGTCTCCGAAAATATTGACCGGATTGAAAGCTGGATCATTGACGAGATCATAATCCTCGTCAAGATCAACTTCATCGTCAGAAGACTCGTTATCGTTATTATCTTCGACAACGAGTTCGTCCTCGTGACTGTGTGGCAGTAGGGTCCTGTAGGTGTCGTCTTCATCGTCGGAACTGAAAAAAGGTAGCCCACTGTTGCCTTCCTCATCTACATCCATCATATCGTCATCGTACACGAGCAGCTGAGGCTCTTGGTCAAACCAAGGCTCTTCATCGTCATCAACAGGCTGATTAGGGTCGGGGAGCAACTCATTTGATTCTGGGGTGCTTAAGCGAGATTGCGAGAAGCTGACAGGTGCGTGCCGTTGATTTTCTGCTGCTACTTTCGACTCTGATGCTGTGACTTGTGCAAGACGTGCCTCACGGCGCTGCTCAAGCTCGACGTGCCTCCGTTGGGTCCTTTTATTCTGCAAGAGGCGACCCCCATCAGCAAGACAGCACTGGCTGCACACGCACCACACGAGAGCTTTCGACATCGTGTCGTCCCAAGGTCGCAGACTCGCAACGAGGAGTTCCTCGTCCAGCTCAGAGGCGAGGATGAAGAAAGAATAGCTGCGCATGTTGCCAGTGTGTCGTGTCCGCCATCATCGTGAGAAGAGATGAAGACGCCCACGGCACACTGCGAGCGCGCAGACCTAGCTAGTAGCTACGTACGGACTTGGTGCATTTCGAATTCGAAAGTGGATGCAGATACGAGGGAGTTATCCACTGAAAACGCGAGGCGCTGTGCTACATCGGGACTATTTCCTGATTACATGAGATTTTCGTAAAATACTGGGTGCCATTATTTGGTCTCAAAGTGCAGTGACGCAGTCCTCCGAAAGTGCCGCGGTCCCCCAGCCTTGAAACGCTCGTACGAGACATTGTTAAAGACGGATGAGGCCTAGGGTCCGAGATGGTTTTATGAGTATTAATTTCTACAGCCGCCATTCCTCGGCATGAGTGTGATTTATCGCCAAGTCTTAGAATTTCACTCATCCCAGCTTCTCCTAGCTATCATGGTCACTCGATTAACTATTGCCTGCCACACACTGCAGAATTGTTTTTCCGTTGTTTCCATCTCTTTCTCCCATCTCATTCCATAGACTATAGTACACACCACCTTCAATACACGTTGCAAATGAAGTGTCAGCGCCACTCTACCGGTACCTCCTTGCCACGCATGTTATAATACATGATACCCAAAAAACGCCTGGGCTCCGGACTCTACGAATGTAAAACCCTATCAGGTATATATGTATGTAAATTTTTTCCCGCCAATTCGCTTCTGTTTTCCGACGAGTCTCACCGAGGTCGAAAAGTCTTTGGAAGATGTCAATCCAGCCGCTAGAATTATTAGCCGAATTTCTTCAAAACGCTGGTTTTAATCTTGCCGCTTGTTCATTTCTGCATGACTGCGTCGAACACCAGGAAGACCCGCAGACAGTCTGCGGTTCCTGGAGTAGCCTAGGCCACGGACTGCACCCAGTACGAAGATATCCAAGGAAACAGTTGCATCGCAGGTCAACCAACGCGCTCGCCAAGCTAGCGACTGGAGCGGCTCGCAGATGTTCAATAGCAGCCTGAGTATAGCCACCCGTGGTTCCGCAGTTCAACATAGACGTGGGATAAGACAAGGTAAAAAAATTCCCAAGATTGTCGCAATGGTGTTACTTGGCACAAATTCAAAAGCACGCGAGGCTCTGCGAGGCTCCGCATCTCAGGCAGCCGGCTTCCTATGGATCCTACCAATCATACTGGAAACTCCGCAGGGAATAAATGGACCCCTATCACCTTCACTTTGCAGATTCTGTCACCGACGAACTGATATGAACGGAGTCTCCCCCGATATAGGCAGGCGTCGACAATGTCACTCTTGAGATGAAGTGTCAAAATCACAGCGGCAAAAAAAAAATCACGTCACTGGTCGTTGAAACTTTACCTTGGCCTATTTTCATACGTAAGCCAGAGATGGGATTCCGACCAAGAAATTAATTAGTCATAACGATGATCTTTCCTCCAGGATGTTCGGTGATGTTTTCTACGGTGTCCGGGCGTGTCAGCGCAAAGATTACAAGCAAAGCTAAAATGATGGTTACCTGAAATTCAATATGTTAACATTCTGATTAAAAACTTTGTTACAGGCTTAGTTAAACTCAGCTTCGTTCCCATAGCCCTCGCCGAAAAGCCCAGGGGCTTGAGCTCAAGTCATCCGTTACGTACTTGCGAGCGCGTTAACATCGTTGTTATAGATCCTGTCGATGTATGCACGAATAGCGAGGACTTTTTGGGAGCTACATAGATACGGTTATTGCAAAAGGGCACCGTGATAGTGAAGGCTCGACGACACAACTGCCCCAATTTGGCGAGGTTAGCGGCCCGGGCTTGCGTCTGATGGAACACCCGTATACTGAATGTGCCTTGTGCATATGATCACGACAAAATCCGCAAAGACCGGGGACTGCGCAAAGAGATACGGCTATTCTCCGTGTACGCGGGATATCATGCAACCTCAAACAATAATCAATCGGATGTTTTCCTTTCGTGTCGAGCCGTTCTTTGATGGTGGGGCTATTTTGCTTCCTATCGGGATTGACTCTAAGAAGAGTAACAATGCTTCTCCTTCTTGATCGCTGGGCGTCAGCGCCAACAGAGCACTAAAATAAAAAGAGGTATTAATTATAAGATGGGTCATTGCATAGCTGACTCGGCGTGGACCAGCGCGAGTTCAACCAACGTGCAACAAAGGAAGACTGACACGAAAAGCATCTCACCCATGGCCAGGTATTGCTGCATTTTGAATAATATTTTTACTGCTTCTGCAGCTGAGAAGTGTGCTCCTATCTTCCACGGACTTGAGACGCGCACTAGAAAGACATCCGAAGTCGATGGTTCATCCTCCTTTTTTCCGTTTCTTGAGCGAGGGGTGTTTTGTAGCCAGGGAGTTGAGTTGCCGTCTGGGAAGGCAATTTATAATCACACCGGTACCACTCTCATTTTCTTATTCATGTGATTGATATGGCGATGCTGCTTTCGGCAGTGACGTGAGTCGAATCAGTATGACGATGGCCCGAGGAGGAACGAAGAACGAGATTCGGTACGAAGAGGGAAGGAGGGCCAAGAAACGAAACGGCTGGAGGGGGCCCGGGGCGCCCAATCCTGAACAGCAGCCTAACATGCAGATGGGCCAGTGCGGGAACCAGATAAACTAGCGCCGGAACATTTGCCTCGAAGCCACAGCAACTCCATCATGATGTAGCAAGCGTGCATGCCTTCCGACAACAGCTGGTTGAACGTTGAGTTAGGAATTAGATTCGTGACATGCCGTGGGAAAAAAGCTCGGATTATACCAGATTGACGCCTCCGTCAAGTTCTCGAAGGAGCCGAAGAATGATCTAGATCTATCACCACACGCTGAGGGTGCGGTTTCCTGTACATGCTATTGACGCTGAACTTTGATGTTCTTAACAAAAGCAAAGGCCGCACGGCGCACTGCCAGTGGGCAGGCGAGTGGTTTCATATTTGCAAGCGCTGGTGTCACTGGCAGTGGTACGTTGGTGCACAGACACATGCTAAGCATATCTCAGAACATCTTCTTACCTTCACCATCACCTTCCAATTTCAAAGGCGCGAGGATTTGTCTGAGGAGATCCAACAATTATTACACAATGTTGGAAGTGTCGTGCCCGAGCGCCCATTTTCATTGCGTGCATCTCGCACACAAATAGTAGCAATCTGGATTGCAGGATCCGTTCGACTTCCATGGTCCTGAAGTTCAGGGTGTGCCAGGTGCATGCATGCAGCAAGGTTCGTGCTTCGTCAAATATTTATACCCGAGTTTGCCAGCATTGACTCTGCATCTACCCCCCGGCCCCTGCGATGATTGGTGTCCCCGCCAACTTTGTACGCTTCACGGCTATCATCGGTACCCAGATTGTTATCCTGGCATTTGGATACGGATTCCTTGGTGCGGTTCTATACTTTGAATACCTTGCTCCGCCCGACAAAGTCGAAAAATTATGGAGGCATCATCCTGAAGAGCTGACTATGGTCGTCACATTGATAGCGACTGTGCTCTCACTTGCCACTGCTACGTGCGTATGCCCTTTGACTCTGTTTAACTTTCCATTCAGCGAGATGTGATTTTCTAGTCTCTTCACGATTTCTGTCAAGGAAGCACTAAGACATCGAATGGGACAGCCAATCTCTCTAATTCAGCTGTGCACTGGTGTCGCTTTGTCCCAGAACTCTCATATTATGAAACCTGAATACCTTGGACTGTCCGTCTTGACGCTGTTCGTCTTTGGGACTTTGAGACTCTTAACGGCAGGGTACAACGTCTTTGAGAACACCGTTGAGATTCTCTAATCTGAATTGAGCTACAGGTGGACAACTCTCTTGACACCGACCTACTTCCTATGGCCAATACAGATGAATGGATCCGAACTCGACATATCTGGAGGCGCATTTTCCACCTTGCTCCACGAAGAGTTCCTGAAAAATGGTCTCACTGACAGTATGTATCCTTCATTTCTTTGACGAGTTGCTCGTAAAATGGGGCACCCAAGTACAGGACAATTCTTTCGAAGTTATCGATATCGGCGGAATGTTAAGTGGAGTTGCTGCTGCAGGGTATACCTTTGGTCTTCCTGGGACATTCAATTTCAATGGGGCAAAATATGATATATCCACTCGTAGGTCCCGTCTTTCAGGTCACTCGAAGCTGTTTTATGATGTTGTACTGTGTATCTAGAGGGCACTGTGCCTACAATTGAAGAGTATTCCGGCTCGAATGGAGTTCCGGGCCCCAACGGTACTCGTCTCGGTTTTTGCGGTGGAAATGTCACGGTTAACACGGCAACCGTACTGGGAAAACACTCCCACGTGTCTCCTCCTCAAGGCCTCAGCACGAACTATTCCATGTGGCAGCAGGGGCTGACAGCCGATATCAACTGCCAGGCCATCAACTCGAGTCAATCGCAGTACGTTTGGGACACAAGTAATTCCAGCGTTATCTATAACTCGACTACTTCGGACACTTCCATTACTGGTCTTCGCCTGTGGAATATCAGTGCAAATTGTGGTACCAGTAAGTTTGGATCGAGGATGCTTGTCTCAAATTGACTGTCAGCTCCTAGATACGCTGGTGACGCAGCAATATGTGACCATGGTGGATGCAGGTGGAAATGGGAGTGCCTCAGGAAGCGGTTTTCTTCCGTCTGTCGTGTGCCCAGGACCCAAGAATATGAACCAAACCTATACGAGCTTCTGTAAGTTATTGAAATATGCCTTCGTAGTCATTGACTGAATCCGTTTCCGTAGTGATATTTACTCAAGGGTTCGACAGGTATAACTTTCTTAACGCAAGCGTGTGCGAAGTGATTCCAAAATTGACAACGGTCCAAGTCGATTATTCCAATAATCTGATTTCTTCAGTTGCCACATCGTCCGCCCCTTTCCAGTCGGAAAATGTCCAACTACTGTCATTCATCGCTGGAGTTGCCAAGTATCAGTCGCTCAACTCACAGGGGCTTGTGAGCAGCACAATCGGGGACACCTTGTACTCTATCTATTCCTCGACAACTGTCGGATCCATCGATGACAATCTCGATCAAGCAAAGGTTTATGCCGAGCTTGTGAGATTCATATCGCATTGTCTTTTCCACCTCTTATAATTTTCTCAGGGGGAATACTGGCGTGGTGTTGTTGAATTCTCTGCGACGGTGAGGCAGTCGTTTAAAGACAGTCCGAATCGACTTGACACAACTTCACAGTTCCTACGCTCTGGGTTTATGGCCGTGGGTAGTTTCCCCGATGGTATTCCGAGCAACCTCTCTTCCCAAGTCAATGGGACGAAGCTAATATCAACGATCGGTTGGACTATACAGTCGCCGACATATCTTCTCGCCATCCTCCCGCTCACCATTATCACTATCCTCACTTTGACCTGTGTTTTGTACAGTATTGTGCAGGCTTCGACGTATGGTCACCACAGGTCCGCCTTCGACGTGTCAAATACCCTTCATCTCATTATGGCGTCTGCTGCTGGAAATCCGAGTCTCAAACTCACAGGTTTCAGTGAGCGAGGGATAGTCGCAAATGAGGGTGTGGAAGTTCGCTTATATGAGTCCGATCGCGACAATGGTGTGACAAAGAAGTTTGTGACACCTACGGAATTCGAGGAGTTGAAGGCAGCATCGGCAAAGAAGATGCTCGTATGATTGTTCTGTTCTCAGTTTAGTATGCATACCTATTCTTTCTCTTGTTTGATATATATAGTGCACGAAGCCAAGCTTCAGGGCGGTATGCAGATGTAATCGTACTGTGGATTAAATATGAATAGGATCCGGATTAGGTCCATAAAAGTGAATATGAACGAGGGCGCGGTACACAGCTGCAAGGCCCAAAGACGACTCAAAAGACACATTACTTATTCAAGTTGTGATCTGTCCAGATCTGTCCGCGTTATCCCATATATGCATATATAGGACTGCAGTTCCATGGTATATTACATGCCCTACGGTATGAATTCTACCGTAGAGCATACAGTATATCGGTTCGCCGCGTGGCTCCGCCGTGCCGATATATCATACGTGGGTACGCAATCAATCTGCTAGTCACCCAGTTTGCCTAGCCCATCGTCACGGTAGCACGCTGCACACCGCCGGGTGTCCCTCTCCTTGTTGAGACCCCACTCGTGACTCGACCAGCTTCGCTGCTCCCTCCGAGGCGTCTCACTGAACATTACTCAGTGTTCTCTTCGGCCCCCCTCGCAACATTCGTGGTTTACTGATGTTTCTCGCACTGTATCCCCCTCAGAGTTCTTAGTTTCAAATTGCTTGTGCTACACATCTATACATTACCGACCTAATACATCAAGTGATGGATCGTGTCCTCTGCCTGTCGTGGTGCGACGAATCCATAGCGTGCGGGCCTGCCCACCCAGCGGCTTTCACGCTCTGGGCACAGCCCATCCCCTCTAGTCGCACCACATGAAAATCAGGGTTTCAGACAAAGATGAATCCCCGTCTTCTGTCTCCAGTATGGCACTCCAGTCTTCTGTCACCAGCATGGAACGATGCCCGCCCTCTGTCACCAACCAGTCATATCCGCCCTTTGTCGACAGCCAGGCTTTCCCGTTCTCTGTCACCAGCCAGCCATGTCCGCCCATTGTCTCCAGCCAGCCATGCCCGCCCGTTGTCTCCAGCCAGGAACGCCCGTTCTCTGTCTTCAGCCAGGCACGCCCGTCCTCTGTCTCTAGCCAGCCATGCCCGCCCTCTGTCTGCGGCCAGGCACGCCCGTTCTCTGTCTCTAGCCAAGCACGCCCGTTCTCTGTCTCCAGCCAGCCATGCCCGCCCATTGTCTCCAGCCAGGCACGCCCGCCCATTGTCTCCAGCCAGGCACACCCGTTCTCTGTCTTCAGGCGGGCACGCCCATCCTCACTCTCCAGCCAGGCATGCCCGCCCTTTGTCTCCAGCCAGACACGTCCGTTTTCTGTCTCCAGCCAGGCATGCCCGTTCCCTGTCTCCAGCCAGGCACGCCCGTCCGGGGTCTCTAGCCAGCATCGCAACACTGGAGCGTGATCTCCCCATGGGATCTCGTCCGTCGTCAAGCGCAACGGGGAATAAGCGAGGAGGGAGTGGAGTGCGACATATTGTAGGTTAGGAAGGCTGCAGTTTAAGGGATTGGAAACATAATCACGAACGGACGAGTGATAGATATTCACGGGAAGACCGCGGTCGGTAGGAATATCCATGATGGATCGTAGCTGCCCCAGCGTTGTCTTGACATCGTGACCCCGACTAGGGCCAAGAAGTTTTGATATTTGTGACGCAGAAAGAGGGTCTTCAAGGGTGGCAACAACGGACAAGTGCATGTATGCCCGATCAGGATCAGCGCACGTACAGAGAATGAGGTCGTATAATTGATATACGTCCATTCCTGATGTCAGTTCGCTTGTCATGTGAAGCATGGTATGGAGCCGATCACGGGGATCAGTGTCTCCATCGTCGATAAACTTCATCATTGTAGACGCTATAATGAAACGTCTGCCTGCTCGGGTCGCTAATTGCACTAGTTGATCCCTCGTTGGCTGTGGGAAATCGGGACGACGACCTCGCAGGTTTTTGAAGGAATGATCCAAGAAAACATAGATATCATTATCGACGTCCGCGCCGTCTAAGGAGATGGTGTCAGGGACACCGTCCCCAGAAGTTTTCAGCGGTATCTCGCACACCAGCGGATGCACCCCTTCTTCCCCCATGGCTTCACGGATATGTGCTTCCGAGCGACTAGTGAGCAGAATGTGAAGCTTGGGCAGATCAGAATCACGAAGAGCTTGGCCTAGCAGTGAGATGAGTTCAGCGAGTTCCGCTTCGGAGATGCATTCATCAAGGGCATCAATGACAAACGACAACGGCGGACAATTCTGCTGTCTTTGGCGAAGCTTCCGGAGAGGTCGAAGAAACAACGCCTCCATCTGGTCGCGAACAGAACTGCTCGGCTCTAGAACGGCGGGACTTTCAATGATAGCTTTGGATACGTCACTCCGGACAGAGGAGAAATTCCTGGCAAGCTGATAGCCGAGGGTCGCGAATATATATCCAGTCGTGCGGCGGTTCGTATTCTTGCGAGAGAAAAAGAATGTTCCTGCCAGCCGTGTCGTAACAGTCGTCTCCTCTGTCACTTCCAGATCTCCCATCCTTTCAGCTACAGTGAACGCGACAGCAGACTTTCCTACGCCCGCCGTGCCATGCAGCCAAACGAGTTGGCTCTTCTCTGGGTTGTCTAAAAATCCGTAGATGTGTTTGAGAAGGTTCATTCGGGTATCCTTCAAACATTTCGGATGGGGCAGGCGTTCGAGGGAGTCATATACAGCGCCATGTACAACGACCTGGGACAGCTTCTCCCAAGCTCTTTCAGCTGATGAAGCACGACGTCAGGATCAGAATAAGAATAAGACTTTATGAAGATACCGACATGAATTCGAGTAACTCATTGGCCAAGGTTTATCTTCAAACGTGTACAAGTCTAAACTGTAGATTTGATCCTTTGCTGATGGTCGACGGAACTTAGAAGGCTTTAGGATAACAAGTATATGGCCACGACAACTCAACGATCAAGCTGTAGAGTGGTGGTGATTGCAAGGCGCAAGAATCGAATGGATGGATGTTTTTTAGTGAAGTTCCAATCGCAGCGTTATAGCAAGCTCGTTGGATGGTGAGGAAAGCAGGAGGCGCTCGTCTGGTCAACTGACTCGTGTGGCCTTCGTTACCGATACAGGATTAAACGACTAAAGAGGTGATCTGAATAAGTACGCACGTACTTGTTCAGCCTGAGATACCAGACATGTAAAGGCTGGACCAGAGACAATAAATCATTATCGTTCTACTAGTTGGATCTACTATAAGTAACCATCGTGCTTCAAGACACTGTGCAGGGTGACAGTACTCACAGATACCTTGTCAGGTCGTTCCTCGGCGTTGTCTTCCGCTCATCGTACAAGCTGATTGCGACGATAGACCGCTGACCGCTGGAGGCGGTGGGCCCACCTTACTTCAAGTTGGTACTACTAAGCTAAGTTCATTGGCTTACGCAATCATACCTGCTTGTTGACATTAATGCTGCATGCAACCACTGCGATCAATCGCCTTCAATGCCCTCCATCGCTTCAATGTTTGAGTGATCAGGCCTCAGGAACTGAGGTATTAGTAACTTGATTCATATTGCGAGTTTCTCGAATTCAAGGATATTCCACTACAGTACCGACCCTCGCTGACGTCAGACCTTCCTCGACTTCACGGCCATCATCTCTGATGCAACGAGATGGAGACCGCTGATGCCCTGTGGAGGGTGTCCTAATGGCCGAAATTGTTCTTGAAGTTCACAACGTTCATGCGGCAAGGTTGGCTCATCGAACGACCAAGGATGTGATTTAGGCAAGTATTTTTTCAGCTACTTATTACGCAAACGATAACCTGACATTAGGGAAATAATCGTATTCCTGCTGGGACTACGGTATTCGGCGACCATTGGTAAGCATCGTCCTTCAAGGGAAGTACGAGGGACTGAATGTCACGGCGTCAGGTCCATCTCTCGGAACCCAGACGTCTTCCCTGAGCCTCACTTGTTCAAGCCTCAGCGTTGGATTAACGATCAAGGTCGCATCAGGGACGACCTCAAATTCTTTGTCTTCGGCTTTGGTCGTCGGTAAACCACTATTCTTCTAGATGTCTTTTCATTCACTGACCGTCATTCCAGCGTATGACCTGGTCAACAGCTTGCGAACAGGTAAAGAAATGACATCCTTCCATGCACATGATCTTTCGAGTTCACCTCATCTGCTACAGATCGGTGTTCATAAACTCGCTCTTTAATCTTTGAGCTTTCCACCTGACTCTGGATCCTACGAAGCCGCTGCATGAGATGGGGTTCATGAGGGGGGTGATGGGAGGCAATAAGCCTTGCCAGTGCACTATTGAGTTTCAGATGAGTGTTCCTGAGACTGAGCTCAGGCGCATGATGCAGAATTTTCCCGAGGTTGCATGAGAACCCCAAGTTAAAGCTTGGGTACTGCTCCCTGATCAAGGTCTCGCCTGGCTTATGGTTAACATCAATTGTTTTGTCATTCTACGGTCAGTTCGTATGTGCCCCGTCGGTGTTTCGGGTTCTAAACTTGTACGAATGACGAATGTTTTTGATCGGCTCTCGTTGGCGGTCAGCTGCTGAATCTGACATTTCGAAGACTTCAGGTATGAATACGATTGGTATATCTACTCAAATAATGTCACTTGGAACTTGAATGCCACGTCCACCCCTTTTCCAGTCAGAAAATGTCCAACTACTGTCATTCATCGCTGGAGTTGCCAAGTAGCCGCCCAACTCACAGGCCTATGAGCAGCACAATTGGGGACACTTTGTACTCCATCTATTCCTCGACAACTGTCGGATCCATCGATGACAATGTCGATCAAGCACAGGTTTATGTCGAGCTTGTGAGTTTCGCATCCCATTGTCTTATCCACCTCTTATGATTTTCTCAGGGGGAATACTGGCGTGGTGTTGTTGAATTCTCCGCGACGGTGAGGCAGTCGTTTAAAGACAGTCCGAATCGACTTGACACAACTTCACAGTTCCTTCGCTCTGGTTTTATGGCCGTGGGCAGTTTTCTTGATGATATTCCGAGCAACCTCTCTTCCCAAGTCAATTGGACGACGATGTACATATCAATGATCGGTTGGACTATACAGTCGCCGACATATCTTGTCGCCATCCTCCCGCTCACCATTATCACTATCCTCACTTTTACCCGTGTTTTATACATTATTGTGCGGGCTTCGATGTACGATCACCACAGGTCCGCCTTCGACGTGTCAATACCCTTCATCTCGTTATGGTGTCTGCTGCTGGGAGCCTGAGTCTCAAACTCGCAGGTTTTAATGAGCAAGGGACACTCGCAAATGTTACTGAGGGTACCTGCGGAAGTCCGCCTGTTCGTGTCCGATCACAATAATGGTGTGACAAAGAAATTTGTGATATCTAATTCGAGGCGTTAAAGGAGGCATCGAAGGAGGCGCTCGTATGATTGTTCTGTTCTCAGCTTAGTATAACTATTTTCCCCTGTTTGATATGTATAGTCCACGAAGCCAAGCTTCAGGGCGGTATGTAGATGTAATTGTATTGTGGATGAAATTTGATTAGGTCCTGAATAGTATGAACGCGGACAAGAATCGGCCAACACCCTACAGTTGCAAGGCCCATGGAAGACGACTCAAGACACATTATTTATTGACATCTGTTCCGCCCTGTCCGTATCATCCCCATGATATGCATATATAGCACTAGTACTGCAGTTCCATGATATATTGCGTACCTTACGGACCACGGTAGGATTCCCACTGTAAACCGTCCACCGCCTAACAGCTTCCGCTGTTACGTGGCACATAACGAACACAAGCGACTGTCGTTCATATATATTGTTTGTTTCTCGGAGGAAGGATGGTATTAACCGTGCATTGGTGAGAGCTTGTTAGGTCCAAGCGCCAAGACGGCGCAATAGGACATGCTTAGCCACCGCAACACCACGAGGCAAGGGAACAAACCTGTCGTATTTTTTCCCTCTTCGCGTCCACGTAAGTAAGTGCGTCAAACAATGCAAAACACCGCGTTAATTTGTTTCAATACAAATAGCACAGAAAAATGAGAAGAAGGATAAGATAAGGGGTCGTATCAAGGCTGATGGTAGACACCAACTCGCATTGATATTCCTAAGCACAGTCAGAATCGTGGTCCTGGTCCTCCGTCACATCCCGCTTGCGTGCACGGCCCATACTGGTCTTTGTCTTGCTTGCTTTCCCCGCCTTGTTCGCAGCGTGGCTCCGCACCAGCGATGTTATCTCGCCAACCAACGACAGTTCCTTCTCCGTAACCGTCTCCGTGACCTCGCCATCATCGACCATCGAGAGAGAATTAAGCGCAGCTATCTCCTTCGCCCAGATTTCTGTTGCTTCGAAAGTCGGGGTTTCGAGGATAAGAGGAATATCTTGCGTCCGTGGGTCAGAGACGATGTGCCTGAACGTAGAAATACCAATGTGTCCGCTAAAATTAAACGGCGGTGAAAAAAATCGCTTAAAACAAGAGCACCAACGTTAGACTGGGATAGATGAAACACGCACAGTCCGATATTTTCGTGTCGATCTTTTTTTGACCCGAGGCCGGCTTTGGAGTCATTCAGATGCATTCCTTTGAGATAGGACAGTCCGACTTCGGTATCGAACGCGGAGACTGCGTGGTTCGAGCATGTTTCATGAAATGATCAAGTTCACGGCTGTAGAACTTACGCGTTGCGCTAGGAAGCTAGATTAGCCGATGTATGCGTATGTCACGAAGTGATCAGCAAACGCAAACGTACTTCCATCCATCTTTTGTTGAGATGTTGTATCCCTGGAAACACGATAAAAGATTTGCAGGTCAAAGTGCGGAGCGCTTACTGCTGCGAACATATGACCTGAATCCCGCTACTAGTCAGGAATGATGAATATTAAAGCGCAAAATGACTTACAGGTGTCAAGGCAAACGCCCACTCGCGCCTTATCATCGACAAGATCGATAATCTCATACAGCTCTGAAAACTGGGAGCCTATGACATTTCCTGAACCTGCCTTTGTGAATGAAATAAGTAAGGGCAGTCGGTATTCGGATGAATGCGCACCATATTTTCAATGACAATCGTTATATACTTCGTTGCTTTGTGCGCATTGTTGATACATTCCGCGATCAGGGCTATCGATTCGTCCTTCGTAGCCTGCCCAACGGTCGAGCCCGGACTTCAATAACATGAGCTAAACAAGAGATGGAAAAATCATGATGGTGAACTCACTGAAAATTGTAAAGCTCAAGGCCAAGCTGCTCGCACCGCTGAAGATCGTCGAGGAAGCAATTGAAAGACTTCTGCCTCTTCTCCCTGAAATCAGACACAATTGATGTTTATCGTGAGCCCATAAACCAAAGCAGCTGCCAGTGCCAGAGCCGCTCATACGCACTCGTCCGGGTTTCCCAAATTGACTAAATAACTGCCATGAGGCAGGACGTGTTTCGACGAATACCTAAACTCTTGCATTCGTCTCTTGAACGCATCAACGTTTTCTGTAGAAAACGGTGGTGAATCCCATTTTCGCTGGGACTTGACGAATAGAGCGAATGCGCTGGCGCTGCGAGAACGTGCAGCGTTCAGGGCTTTAATAAGGGATTCGGACAGGTACGAAACGCGTCTCTCACCCAACCATCGCAGCATTCCGAACAGCATTCTCAACTCCTCCTGCAGCTGACACGTGTGCGCCGATCTTCCACGGATTTGAGATGCGTACTGGAAAACCCTCCGTCGAAGCTTCACCGTGACCATCCTCTGTCTTCAATTTTTTCTGCTTCTTGCGCGCAGGTTTTTTCGTGGCTACTACAATGTTGAATGTTTAATTGCCAGCAATGACACGAAGCAGGGCCCAGCTGGGTGCGGGATCTCACCGACCGCGGTACCGCTCTCGCTTTCCAATTCATTTGAGTGATCTGCTCTTCTACGTTTGGAGGATTCTGCTAGTAGGTGAGAGTCGGATGACGTTAGGGTGATTGACGATGGTAATGGCGCGGGTGCGGGTGCGGGTGCGGGTGCGGCAGCAGCGCGAGTCGATCTTCTTGTTTGAACCATAAGGTTCGCCGGGATGAAGGCCCTTGTTTGGCTTTGCTTGAGGAATAAGAGTAGTAGTGGGGTATAGGGCGTGGGTCTGATATGAGATAACGCAGCAGCTGCTAGCATCAGATTCAGAAAGTCTTGAGATTTGGAAGTCCATGATGCAATTGCGGTTTAAACCACCGGCATTTCCCGGCACCCCCCCCCCCCCCCCCCTACATCCAATCTACGATTTTCGATTTTTTTTTTTTTGACCAGACAAGTAGCACAGAAAAAAAAGGCACGAATTCATCTAGATACATCAAGCGCGAAGCATTGGATATAAATTTAGGCACAGGCGTAACGTAGATGGGGACTAGTAGGGGCTGTGTTATGAACCTAGTAGTAGAGAAGCATATCATGCGGTTCTCCACTGCTACACCTGGGAACGCCGTTTTCAAACATCGTGTTCGCGTTCACGTTTTTAGAGCATAGGTAATGCACAGGGGTGGGTGATTGGCACGTGCTCAGGACGTTGCCGATCCCATTGCAAGGGGGGAACCATTATGGCATTGGGAGAGAAGGTCGACGTCCAGGGCAACGTGAAATGATCTGAACTGTGTCGGGTTGATCCAGATTGCAGCATCCCACCGAGTAAGTACAGCCAGAAATATTAATAACCCGTGACGGGCTTTTGCTTCTATGAAACATTCTGATCGGGACTTCAAGGCCCGTTCGCGTTACCTTCAGCTACATATAAGCTAACTGCTATCAATCGCCACGCACCAGCAGCATAATCATCGACCGCTGAAATTCGTCACGGTCTCTGTCGTTATCTGTCTCGGTGGGGGACATTGGATCGACAAGCTACAGAGGAGCGCCATACTCTGACGGTCTCACGAAGCGCTCGCTGTCACCCACGACACACCCCATAGCATCGCCAACACGCGAATACCTGAAGCCTGAACATTAACCCTGATCCAATTCTTCCGTTTCGTGATGTCATAACCAAAACCAACGAACCATGGAATTTCCCGGGGATGCCCCACCAAGGATTTACTCAAATGTCTACATCAATCCTCCAATTCCAATGCCGGTATTGCCATTAATATGCTGGTTGATATGACATGCTTCCGTCTAACGCAGGCTATATGACCACTTCGCTGGCTAACGCACCTAATGGGTATTTCCACATCACCTGAGGGAGCTAGGCCCCCGAGGCCTCGGTATACCCGCTCCTGGCGCGCTTTCATATCAAAGTTCGGAACCGTAAATACAATACAAGTGACGTCGGATTACCAGTGGGGATCGGTGCTTGTGCGTCTCTTCTTGTTAGAGAATGGTCGTGGATGAGAATGGGATAGGGTGGGATGGGTTCTACACGCCAAGGCATACATGATCGGACGAGCGTGATATTAATGGGACCTTGGGATGTGGTGTGGTGTCCGCGGGTGGTTTGACATACTAGTAGCAGATGTGTGATTGGATCTCCGAGGGTGTGTGGCGTACCAGTTATGCATTTGGGTTTTCTATGTACAATAGCAGTACTAGTAGTGCCCTGTGTTATGTGGATATTAAACAAGGGCGTGGGGGATAGACGAAAAGTACTCACAAGGCCTGGCGCTATTTGTCTATATGGATGTGTGCTCGACGGTATAGTGTTTCCCTATGTCATGGTACGAAGAGGTCAAGGACCTCATGTGTTTACTACGGACTTCTGATGTGAGGGGCATCATGGTCATTGACAAGATTTCAGAAGTCGTAGGAGCCCGAAGCTGCGCATAGAACTCGTCACATGGTCAGCGAGCAACGGAAAGAAGACTTCGTGCCTTTATTCGTTGTCCGTGGGCTGTCCAGTCTTTCCGTACCAATGGATAACCTCTACGGATTGTTGACGGCCGAAGGTGCGCACCCAACTCGTTACATTGTTCGCGCAGCAGATAGGTATGACCCTCTATTGATAAAGTTAGACGTCTGTCAATGAAGAATGAAGACCGTGATTGAATCTATGTTAGATTTGGTGTTTGATTAGGGCAACCCCGGTTTTTTTTGGTGGAGCGCCCATGGGGCATCCCGAGATAATGTAAGCCAGTAAGATGAAGGTTGTTAGGTCAACCTGCGTGTAGAAGCAATAGGGGTGAAGGTATGATGATATGTCGGGGGAGATAGGATATACGGCACTCACCAATGACGCGGGACAGAAACCGACATTATGGGGTGAGTATTGGAAGGGGGAATTTGGGATTCGGCGGATTGTTCGGTAAGGTCCGAAATACTGCGAGTGACAGGATGTGATGTTGGAGGATATGAACTTCAGACGTGGGCTTTTAGGGGGAGTCAGTACCGGGCGCAATTAGGGTAGCAAACCGAAGGACGAGGATCAGCGCGCGTGAGATATTCTTGGTACTTATCAAGAGGGAGAAGGACAAAGAAACTGATGGAAGTAGGCAATGGAAGCAGGAAATGGAAGATAGGAAAGGGTATGAATGCCAGCAAGAATGAAGGTTAAGTTCTACATGCGGACTTCCTGAGTCGATGGCTTGGCTCGATAGTGACCGGTCAAGCAGCTACTAGTAGGAGAGAAGACAGTAGTTGTAAGGGACGCCAGAAACGATGAACTTCGAACATAATTAAAGTGGCTCGAAGCTGGTCGTCTTCCACTCTACAAGAGACTTGGTTAGTCTGGAACGACGGTGATGTCGGAAATTCGGGGCCGTGGTAGCAGCCAAAAAGCAAGTTGTGGGGGGTCAGACCGGTCTGGAACGTTTTACTGGGAACCGACGGGCGTCTATTGAATAGTACTTAGTCAAAAGTCTAGACTCTTTACACCAAAGTTTCTCAGTGCTTCTCATCACTAGATCATACCAGTTAGCCCATCAACGTCAACGAGCTCAAGCCCCTCTTTGGCGGCGACCGTAGTGATAAAAAGCTTTCGCCTGGGTTGAATCGTGAGTTTGCCCGTGTTTGGGTTTGGGCCTTTACAAGGTGCTTGCGATAATAATCACTAACTGCGTTTCATTCACGAACGTTAGCCATGCACATGGACCACCACCACACCGCTACAGGTCCTCCATACTCTTCAGTTCGTACGAATCATCTATTCGCATCACACCAACTTCCACCGCCACCCGTTCAGCTTCCTGCTATAAATCTTCCTCAGCGCGCCTCAGTCACAACACTCCCTCCCATGGCCGCAATGGACTCTTCGCCCTATCGCCACCCTTCTCCAGTCTCATGGGGTCCGTCCTCGTCCTCCTCAATCCATCGCACTTCAAACTCAAGAGATGATGTCTCAATGCACTCCCATTCGCAACGAGAGATGCGACAGATGAAGAGAGAACCAACTCAGCAGATCCACTCAGTCCCACCTCCACAACCTCCCTCTTCACTCAAGGAGCAGGACGATACCATGCCTGCAACAAGCGATTTCGTTAAAAAGCTCTACAAGTAACTATCCTCTCCTTTGTTCAGCTTCGCCAGTTTCATTTCTACTCCACAGAATGCTAGAGGACCATACCTTCTCCCATGTCGTGTCATGGGGCCCACAAGGTGACTGTTTTGTCGTAAAGGTCCGTATTCTCCTCTTCTCTCGTCCTATCACCGGTACTTGCACCGATGTTCCGTTCAGGTTATCTCACAACCAATCTCACATTTCCCTCAGGACATGAACGAATTTACAAAATCCATCCTCCCACGCATGTTCAAGCACTCAAATTTCGCATCTTTCGTAAGACAGCTCAACAAATATGATTTTCATAAAGTGAGCCTTTCCCCCTCCTACTCCGGATCTTGAAACCCTTTCTTTCACTTCTTCAAATCCTTTTGATCTTTCCCTCCATTCTTTCTATTTATATCCCACTTCACTTCGTTCCCACTATGCCTTTCGTACTGCATGGTCCCCCACCTGTGCACTTGGATCACGCGACTTCTTGCATACTCCCCATATCGCCTATCAAAGGGCAATACGCACCTCTTTATCTCAGCGATCCGCGCCCCATTCCTCACTAGGAATGCCCCATCCCCAACTCGGCCTTTCCCGTCGATCCTCGGCTCGATCCGATGCTTCTACCACGGCGTCTATCTCAGATGCTCGTCTCGCGCTGAGGAGGTGTTACGGTTTTTTCTTGGTGGTCAAATGCACCGCCGAGATATACTTGTCACTTTCCTTGTCGTAATTGGTCGTCGCTTCAGGGGGTTCTTGGGATGCATCGTGGCTTGGCACAATTCACGTTGGCACGCTCGTCTTCATCTCCGCGAAGGCAGCGTCCAAATGCTTCACATTGTCGCATTTCTCGATGCCACGACAAGACGTACTTGGTACACCATGCGCCAGATCCACTGCACCTCCTTACCTCTTACCTATGTTATCTTCCCACCCTTCCCCCTTGACCCCACGCCGTTCTTACAAATCGATTTACTAACCTTTTCAAACCCAGGTAAAAACAACCGATGACGCCCAATTCGGCGAACACAGTTGGACGTTCCGACACCCCGATTTCCACGCCGACCGACGCGACGCCCTCGAAAACATAAAGCGCAAAGTCCCTGCCGCGCGTAAATCCCTCCCGTCCTCCTCTAACGGGGGTTTCAGCGGAGGCGGCAGAGGCGCAAGCTCCGGCAGTCCCATCCCAGGCGAGAGCAGCGCCGAACTAGCAGCTGTCCAAGCGCACGTCGGCGTCCTGCAAAACTCGTATCAATCATTGTTTTCGTCGCATGATACGCTTTTATCGTCGCATGAGAATCTGCGAGGCCAGACAGATTCTTTAATGGCTTCGCATTCGTCGTTACGGGCTCAGAATGATAATCTGTTCGCTACGAATGAGAGTTTGAGGAATCAAGTTGGGAGAGCTGAGGAAAGAATTAGGGTGTTGGAGCGCCAGTATGGGGATGTGCTTGTGGAGATGGTCAATTTTCAGAAGGGGATGGCGCAGCAGGATGGCTTGATGCAGGGGTTGATACAGTATTTTTTAGGGGAGGGAGGTGAGCGTTTTCCTTGTTCTGGGTTTTGATTCGTGGTTTTTTCTATGCTGCTCGTGTTTCTCAACCGTTCATTCTTTGTTCCGCCCGTTCCTCGTCGGTTTTCCGTCCATTCCGTGTTCTGCCCGTTCCTCGTCGGTTTCCACGTCCATTCTGTGTACCTTGAAAAGCGCTCCCCTGTGGAGGCGACCATTGCGGAGATAAAATATTTGCGCTATCGATGGTGTGGCCTCGGTGCTCAATTGATGGGTCTCGATGCTTAATTGATGGGTCCATGATGGGTCTATTAGGCACCAAGGACGCGGGTGCATTTTGCTTTGGACCTAATTTTCTATGCCTGGGCCCAGTCGTCCGTCCCTATTTTGTTTCCTCACATACATTTCTGTGTTCCTCATTAGTAACCAATCCATTGCTCTCCCTTAGGTAAACCCAAAGACCCTTCAGACGCTACCTCCCAAACCGCCGCCGGGTCCTCAACCACCGCTTCAGCCCCCCTTGCTCAATCGCAATCCACCGCACCCCAACCCCCATCTCAAACCCCCATTCACAACATGTCACAAGCCTCCACAACACCGATCGCAACTAGCATGACCCCCAGCACACATCCGCCGCCTTCCCTCTTAGCCTCCCACCGATCTATGGGCCAACCCCAACCATCACCCTTCCTCGCCCCTCCCTCAAATTCAAACCCAAACTCGTTCTCCATGCCTATGCCTATGCCGTCCTCACATGCACGCAAACCCATGTCCATGTCCCAACCGCCCCAATCCGCGTCCCTCCGAAACCCATATTCTCTCCCTCCTCCCCACCCACATCAATTCGTCCCTGCGCAAGAGCAATTCGTGCCCGCGCAGGAGCTGGGTCTGCAAGATCCGGATATGGTCGCGCGGCTGAGTTTGGTGCAGATGAACGAGATGTCGAGGCGAGCTGCGAGTGATGCGGGGTTTAGGATTCCAAATTCGATGCCGATGTCAATGCCGATGTCGAGCTCTGGTTCTGGTGCTGGTTCTGGTGGTTCGGGGTCGTCGGCGGAGGAGATGCATATGCAGAGGACGAGTGGGATGCATTCGCATTCGCATCGAGGGGCGCAACATCAGCAACAACAACAACAGCAGCAGCAGCAGCAGCAGCAGCAGCAGCAGTCATCAACACAAGCATCAGCACAAGATGGCAACGCTCCGTTCCTCCTTCCCCCTGATATGAGCTGGGACGCGCCTACGACGATGCACGAAGGCTTGCAGGTTTTCACAGTTGGGCATCTGTTGCCGCGGAGCAGTGTGGAGGATCAGAACGGGAATTGGATGTTCAACGCTAATCCTTCGACGGGCGCTGTGGCTCCGCCTGCAGAAGGGGAGGGCGAAGGCGATGGAGGGAACGATACGGACAACGATACCTTGCCATCGGAGCCTGATCCATATTCTGAAGAAGTCGTGCGTCCGACGCTGTCTAACGGACGATCGTCGACTGCGCCTACGACTATCCGCGTCCGGCGGTCTACATTCGTGCCTGGGTGGGCTGTCCCGCCTCGGGTGTTGCTTGTGGACGACGATGCTGTGAGCAGGAGGTTGAGCAGCAAGTTCTTGCAGGTGTTTGGGTGCATGATTGACGTTGCTGTGGATGGCGTTGGGGCTGTGAATAAGATGAATTTGGAAAAGTACGATTTGGTGTTGATGGCGAGTTTTTTTCCCTCCGTACATTGACGAGAACTAATTTGATCTTTGATCTTTTTTGTGTTGGGTTGGAACTTGGAACTTGGACACGCGACAGGACATTGTGATGCCCAAAATGGACGGAGTCAGCGCTACGAATCTGATACGCCAATTCGACCACATGACGCCCATAATCAGCATGACGTCTAACTCCAAACCGAGCGAGATTATGACGTATTATTCATCTGGAATGAATGATATTTTGCCGAAGCCGTTTACGAAGGAGGGGTTGTTGGATATGTTGGAGGTGCGTTTTTGTGTTTCAGGGCAAAGAGATGTGTGAACTGATGCACTGCGATGGTCGCAGAAACATCTTATGCATCTGAAAGTCATTCAACAAATGTCGAAAATACCACGTTCGATCGGCGTTCCGCCTCTCTCAGACCCGTCTTTTAGCGAAGCGCTCGCAGTTGGTGCATCGCAATTACAACGACATGCTTCATCGTCCAATCCCAGTTCATCATCCAACACAACTTCTTCCTCTTCGAGTCTGCATCCAATGCTGGGGATGTCGGGCTACGATGACGATGGACGGATTAACCCTTTAGCGGGAATGGGTCTCTCTGACGAGCGATACGCAGCGATTCTCAGAGATATCGTCACACAGGAGAGTTTTTCGGGCGTTGGAGTTCCCGAAGGATTCTCGTTCGGTCTTGCTGGTGCTTTGGGTCCCGGAATGGGAGTAATGGGAGGGGAGAAGCGAGGGTTGGATGATGAGGGCGATGGGAGAGAGGGGAAGAGGGGACGGTTTGAGATCATTGAGTGAGTTTTCATCTGAATGGATGGATACCGGTTTCGGAGACGCTTTTATCCTCGGAGTTGACCATAGGACTCGTTTTTGCGAGCGTTTGTGTATGGTGTTCTCCAGGAGCACTCGTACTTGTCTATGTCTTTATCACCTCCCTTTCACGTCCTACCTTTTACCTTTCTTATTCTCGTCTCGTCATGTCATGATTTCCTCCATACCTTCATGTCACCATGCTTTGTTTTGCGCTGCGATTATGCCCGTCTTCATGATATCATATCTTACGCTTTCGTTTTTTTTTGTCAATTTCGCTTTTTTCTTGTATCGAGTTTTTTTCTTCTCTTTCTGTGATCTCTGTATTACATACTGTCGTTTTCTCTGTTGCTGTGTTATATCGTATACGAATTTAGCTTGAGGAGTTTTACGCGCAAGGGGGAAGCATCGTTGTGAGAATTTCATCGTGCCATCACGGCCACAGTGCTGGACGCTTTCGAACCCATGCAGTCAACATTCGTTCTGTGGTAAATTAATTCACTCTGTCACCGCTAGATCACGAAGCCTGTCAAAAGCCCAAACACCAATCTGCCCGAGTGACGTACTCACACCCCTAGATCGATTTTACCTCGATTGCCTGGTGCACTAAGCTCATTCCAGGTTAGTACTAGTGGTCTTGCGAGAACAACATATGCCGTTAATGGTATTCCAAATTGATAAAGCCCGCTCCTGAGTACCCTTCATTCAAGATCTGATCGGTGAGCTGGCCCGGGGGTGCCACTTGAATTGACTTCAAGGGTCAGGCTGGGTCAGGTTTGCAACATTGTGCTTACACTACCACGTATATCGGTATCGGATAAGCTGATAAGGCAGGCAGGCGCCAGCGCCGATGGCGTGGTTCCGGTTAGGCAGAAACGTGGTCCAGTGGCCAGATTTCAAAATCTGAGATTGTGATTGTTGCATGATGATGATGATGATGATGATAGGCTATAAATGTTTAACCGTACGTGCGTATACGTTTCGCTCGCAATTCATGGCACAAAAACTGGATCGGAAATATAAACAATAAACCTACAAGCACTATAAGTACATAAGAACAAGATCGCCGACGATGTCCAGGATTACGCCGAGGGGACTTGCGCATTATACAGCTTCGCGTACTCGCCATTGTCTTCAATCAGCTGATCATGTGTACCTCGCTCTACCACAGACCCATCCTTCATACATCTGCAACGAGGTGTCAATGTCATCTGTGTGGCTAGCACGGTGTTTCTGCTTACAGGATCTGATCAGCCTCCTTGGCAAGTTGGTGGAAGCGGTGAGTGACGAGGATCATCGTCTTTCCTTGGCGGACGTGGTGAAACTTGGAAAGAATGTCGCGTTCCGTGATAGCGTCCAAAGACGACGTGGCTTCATCGACCACAACTAATTTGATATCTGTGTGATTAATCCTCATAAATGTTCTGGCCCTGATGGTGAGGCAGTGAAAATAAGCAGCTGTGACACAGAGCTAACGTCAAAGTACGTACGCCGCAAGTCGTTGCTTTTCACCACCTGTCATCGCCTGTTAGGTCGTAAAAACGTGTACACAGACCATGAGCACCGACCTGAGATTGTGACTGTCTGCTGTTTATGACGCGACAATTCGTCCCGTAATCTTTCAGAAATCGTGCCATAAGTTCCGTCAGCCCACCCATTCCCGATGTCATGCGTAGGCTTCAACTGTGTATCATATCCGTTCTGCAACTTTGTTATCCAGCTCGTGCAATTGCCCATTTTGGCTGCTTCTTGGATTTGCGCATCGGTCGCATGAACGCGGGGGTGGCAACCCAAGGCAGATGTTCTCCTTCACTGACATGGGAAACAACAGCGGAAGCTGGGGCAAAAATGCTATCGATGCGCGTACATCATCGGAATCATATGTCGACAATGGATTATCGTCGATTAGAATTTCCCCCTCGGTAGGATTTTGGAGACGCGCGATGAGCTTCAACAACGAAGATTTTCCGCTGCCATTGACACCGACAACAAGAACAAGCTGACCGGGAGCAATGTCCAGGGTGACGTTGTCTAAAGCGTTGTGACCGCATTTCTCGTAACGAAGCGATACTTGCCTATTTAGCATCAAAGTCAGCCCGTCACGATTGTAGGATGAAGCGCACCGAAAAGATATCTTCATCCCATCCGATGAGCTACCTTGAGAGAGATCTGGATAAGACATCGGTCCATTGGACATCTTGCTCTTGTAACTGATAGCGTCGTAGAGCCACTTGGCCTGTAGGCACAAGCTCTTCATTGACGTAGAATTCATCCCATATTCGCCGATACTTAGGGAAAGCCTATTGGTTGCTTGTTGCAGCAGCGCAATTGACATCACAGAAGAAGGCAAAAGTCGGCAAGGCAAGGCCAGCGCATAGATGACCTTGAAGTATGTTAGTACACTAAACAAGTAAGACCTGATAACTTACGAGTGGAAGGTCGAGGGTTAAATTAATTAGAAAGTCCCAGTACCACTTTCTGATCAAATCACCTGCCCAGGGAAATGGTTCAGTTACAATTTCATCACCGAGCGCCTCAGTCGACTTCCGGTATTCTGCACGACCCGTTAGCATAAGCACTCTTGAACACAGACTGTCTTACCAGAGGGGATGCTGTTGGCGACGCCGTTGAGTATCAGTTCTTCTCGATATTGAGGTGAGAATGCTAAGTCATAGAGAGACTTCATTCGCTTGAAAGGGACGTTGAGTGTGTAAAAGATGTATCCTACAATGTGTTCGTTTTAGAAAATAGCGATGGTCTTCAATATCCACAAACCTTGGGTACCGGTAACATTGCATGGTGCCAACCACCGGACGAGCGGATGAGCAATGCAGAATAGAAACAATACCTCTCTCTCCGGACTGGGTTTGTGCAGTACCGCATTCATCAAGACAGCCACTTGGGACAACAGGGCAATCGTGGTGCGAGCGATGTGAAGTAAACCTTGCAAGAATGACGCGCCTGGTACCTCGGACGGAAAGTGGCCCCTCACGGGAAATATTGTGTAACAATCTAGAAAATTATATCATGAGAGGTGTTAAGAAATCAACAAAGATCTATACCTTGCATCGAAGACACATCCACGCGCATACTAGCTAGAAATATAGTTAATAGTTTTAATAAGGAGATAGCTCTCGATGGGCGAGTTGCATCACCTTCAATGAGTTGCGGAAGAAAATGTGCTTTCAAACGGCTATTGATTGTGTCGTTCACACATGCTCTACAGGTAATGATAAGCCAGTTACTCGGACAAAGGAATCACATGGGCATACAGGCAGCGACTGCAAGCAGGTTCAAAAATGGCGCAGAAGAATCCTCCGTAGACGGCAATATCAAGTGACTCTTGAGACGCGTTTCCCGATGAATGTCCCTCGACCTGCACGGCATAAGTTTCAGACGTCGGATTCGGGCTCATCACTCACAAAATTGAATATGGAACCTAAACAGAAGAGAAGTAGTGCATCAGAGATGCTTAGCCACAGCGTGGCGCAGACATGACCAATCACCAGCCCAGGAGCCAGATGAAATATTTCTCTGAATAGCCTTAGAGCGTAGGAGAAGTTGGTGAAGGAGACAAAATACTGCTCAATCCAGGCTCGGGTATCCGAGGTCCAGTTGAGAGCTGAAGGCTTTTCATAGGCAACTGTATATATGCCGTGATTCAGGGTTCGTGGTGGAGGGTGGGGTAAAGGGACTATATCTTGAACAGAAGAAGTCATTGGTTTCTTGTCGTTGGTCATGATCGTCCACACGCGAGAATGGTGGTCTTTGGAAAATACTTCCTCGAAGGCACGTAGGCTGGAAGGTATTTATGTGTTATTTGAAGGACACACACACACACCGCCTCTTGACTAGCACCACTACTCTTGTGCTTCATGAACGAGGCGGGCAATAGATGAGAATCTACGATCCTCGGAAGTGGCCAATCTGACACTGACAGAGTGGCACGAAGGAGCCCACAGATCCACCAACTGCTGCGACACAAGAACAGATGTCAGATGTCAGAAGCCCCATAAGGAGAAGGGTTGTGAGGATTCAGGAGGGTACTGTGTGTCCCAAGAGACAAAAGTCCGACACCAATAAGACAATGTGTCCAGAAACTAGTTCCGCTGCAAAATTACGTGGGCCGGTATACGTGCACGCTTGTCTGTGGGTACGCACAGTAACAAAAAATTGTTTTGGGGGTCATAATAGATGTGTCTTGGATTATTGTGGGCTGGTAACATCCATAATAGCAGCGCTCCGCGGGTGACATCCATCTTCTTCTACAAATCGCTATATACGAGAAAGGATTCTCGATGATCATATCAGTCCAAGGAGGGCAAACGACCACGAATCCCCGGTCGAACGAGGTATGAAAATAGTCGTGGATGAAGTGGCAACAACATTTCATTTCGGTCGTTGAAACTTGGAATGCCCTCATCGCGCCCACAAGGAGCGTGCGTTTGTCACGATGTTTTCGGCAGGGACAATGCTATTATCCAGCAGCGCAGCCGAAAACCTGAAACCAGAAAATCACTTCCCACATATAAGGCTTGAGAATAATGGATACTAGCCTCGTGAAGTCGTTGAACTAGCTATCGAACAAAAGTATTGATGATGACCTTAATGGATAATGCAACGTGATGGTACGCGAAAAATTTGGTGATCAGGTTCGAAACTATACCATCCTGGGTCAGCGTGTGTATTGGCGACACCGTCGAGAAGGAATCGCCGGTCATACTTGAGTGCACAAAACAAAGAAGAACTTCTGCACTGAAAGTATGAGGTTTCCTTGTTACGTACGATGTTTCTCAATTCGGAAGGTTGTTGTGCACCCGCGCCAATCCCAGTTGGCTGCTTGTAATGAGCTTGGAATCGCCATCGTAGTACTGTTTCATAGTATAACAACTTGTCTGTACGCCTGAAAACAAAAAAGGGCATGTTGCGGACTTGAAATCAAAAGACGTCAATTGCAAGGGGGAGGAGGCTGTTCGTTCCCGATTTGCGCACATTTTTAAACGGGCCGCAAATACCGCAACAAACATCTATATCTCCTTTGTATATTTCAAACAAGGGAATGTTTTGTGCCCTCCAGATTCAACCACGAGTCCATTTTCTCCCATACATCTTCCTGCTCCTGTGTCCACTCCTGTGTCTTTTCCCTGACACATGCAGCACACAAGCCCTCGGCGGCCCAGTTGATTTGCTTAATTTGCTCAAGCATTTCGAGTGGTTTGCAGACGCCAGAAGTAGATATTGCGGGTGTGATTACGAGCGGCATCCATTGGTCTGCAAACACGTCTGTACATGCCATATGAGGAGTTGCAGGCTAAAATGAATGATGAATTAGCGCAAGGGCTTGATGGTCACACGAGAACGGATCAAGTCATGAGGAATGGAAATCTGCCAACGTTCGGTGTTGGACGAAGGCTGTGCATTTAAAGCCAGTTGAACACGTCAACGGAGGCGCCGGTTAATTAGGATCTCATTTCCCGGTGACTCGCCACAAGTCAATCAATGTGCAAATATTACTGCGGTGACCACTTCCTCGGAATCAGATGATAGAAACACGCACTGGTGTGAATAAAACAGGGGTGAAATGTTTCACGATGCCAGTCATCAGGCTTCTACACCGCTCGACATCTGTGGGTGATAGAATGTGGCGTGGCGTTGACGATGTTCCTGGCGAACCGTTTGGTGGGATGGAATTTTCCAAAACTAAGTCGCCATCGCCATCTTCGAATTCAGAAGTCGTGACAAGGCTGTAATATATGCCTTTTCTGATCTGGAATTGTGTATTCAGCTTCTCCACAATCTGTGACGAAATCCTTGAAAACGCCGAGCGAAGAAAATATGACAGGAGTGAATGCTTTGTCCCCAATCATCAAATAAAGAAAACGAAATAATCCATATGACCTAGTGGCTTAAACCTCCCCCAAAAAACTGAACTGCAGAGGTTAGATGCTGGATTTAAGTCCTATCCATGACACAAAAATTTTCCGGAGCAAAAATCCATTGCCCGTGGATGATAGGAACAAGCCGCCCCCACCATGGATATTGCCCTTCCCAGACGCGAAGAGAACCCCACTGAAGCACAGCATGTCAAAAATCAGGCTTTTGCCACGCCGCAAGGGACCCCCTCTGTGCCGTGCCACGCATTAGGTATCCTAACACAAGCCTGTCGAAGGACCGAAGAGCATGCTCAAATGTCCGACTGGCCGATAAAAAACCATCATACCGCAGCAAGAAACCAGGCACGTGGCAAACGTGTTCAGATGAGCTTGCCGTCCATAATAACTCCACACCGACAGAATAAAAGGAAGGAGTCCAACAAAAGAAAGGAATTCGCATGCATGAATGGAAACGAACCCACCGAAGAGATCTGATATGAATGTACAAGTGCCAACGCCTCTTCTAGATGGCTACTAGGATGTGCAAACGGCTGTGGACCCTGAGGAAACATCGATACGAAGTACGCCCGTGCTGACATGTGCACACCGGGCAGATCAAGCTGATCCGGGGAAGAGACACGCAGGATCGCCGCAACATGTGAGAAGGGTGCTTCAGCGGAAAGAGGGCTGCGAGAGCATCATGATTATTCTCCGTCAGTTCTATCACAAAAGGATGTTCTCACGTATCGTGGTATAGATGTTCGAGCAGCGCTGTCAAATCATGGACTTGAACACCAAGTTCTGGTGGGATCAACATCTCTTTGGCGCTGGTCCCGCTATCGAGCATCATTTGAACAAAGCGAGATTGTCGACGCAGCAAGCTCTCGTGAAGCTTGAAGCAAACCTCCCCATTGCTTATGCTGCGTGAACGCACGACGATGGAGCCATCGTTGAACCAGTATATAGGATGCTGTCTGATATTTTGCGGCTCGGCGGTCATACTCGTGGGTAAGGTTGCCTTGTTGCTTGTTGTGCACGATAACCAATATGTCCAGCCTGCGGTAGCCAATGAGACGGGGATGATAGTAAGCAGCGCTCGACGGCTAGTGGAAGTAAAATTTGCCAGATTTCTCATCAGAATTAATCGGAAGCGGTGACATGCAAATCTTCGAACCTCACCGATAACACCGTGATAATATAAATGCACCGGTGTAGCACACGAAGATCAAGGACATGCCCAGACTCTGCCAGGAAGAGGTTCAAGGTGGTAACAGGAACAACTTGCATGTGCCCACTGCTGCTCACCCTAGTTATGTGTCAACTTAAAATGAATACTACGCTGTCTAATACTCAGGAGACTGCGACAAGACGTAAAGTACTAATATAACACTTTACTCAGTCTCTGTATCGAATTTAACAGGACATCGCCTTGCTTGATGACTTTGTCGTACTGCGCATTCTTGAGCGATGGCCGTGTCGTCTCCACGATGCCGTGCACCTTGTCGATGGTGCAATGCAAACGCCCGTTGGCGATAAACCGTGAGAGCTCGCTAGAACAGACGATCAGAGAATAGCAAAAGACACGTGCAGATAACACATGCCTGTCAACAAACTCGACGCTGACGCCGAATGCACCGCTGAGGCTTTCAAGAGTGAGACTGCGGTAGGACTCAAGAAGTTGGCTGTATGCCAAAATGCGCATCTCTCGTACATAGTAGCGGGTATGAGGCGAGAGGAGTCGAGAGGGCAGGAGATACGTCTGTTCAAGGGTCGCTATGGGCATGGACACGGCATGTCAGTCATTATCAATCGCATCAGACAAATAGGGGCCTCGGAAGTGGATTGTGGGCGCGAAGAAACGTACCAAGTGCAACAAAGAATTTCGCGTAGTGGCAGTCATAAAGGTTGTTTAAGAGGTCTCCAAGGATCGGGATTTCAGGCAAAACGGATATGACTTCTGGTGCGGTAATGAGCTACAGGAAATAAGATCAGCGGTGGGAAATACCAGCTAGGAGAACGAGCATACCCGTTTCTTGAGATCTACTCGTTTGAGGGTGAGTGCATTTATGATGATGGTGAGAGCGACGAAGTCGTTGTACGTTGTGAGTTCAGTGGCAGTGAATGTCGATAGTGCATCAAGGAGAAGTGCACCGCCAGTCTTAAACTGGCGGATGGATATCATGTGGAGGCCACGGTAGACCTTTAGACGATTACGCCTATCCCAGTCACCACCCTCCTCGATGAATCTGGACAATATGTCAATTCAAGGTTATGGTAAAGCTTTGCAATAGCGCACTTTTCTGCTTTGGGAAGGTTCTCAGTGATGAGGCCATTATCGCCGAAGAAAAATCCCAGTCGGATGAGAGTGAGCACAATATCTATCCTTGAGCCAAGGCCAGGTGTTTTCTCGAGTGCAAGGTTTTGCGCTGCGACTGCACCTTCCTTTATGTGCTACTCAGTGTCTGTATGACTTAGTAGAGGAAAGGCGCACCTTGTCACCAATTCGGGTCAGATGATTGGCTCTGGCTTTCAAAGCGTCTGATATCTCAGATTCTCCTTCTTGCTTCTCCGCCTCTGCTAGTCTCTCGTCTAGCTTCTTGAGCTCTTCCTCGTTGTCTTTCTCCATCGATTCGAGCAACGCAGAATCAGGCGTAAGAGCACCCGAAGAAGTTACTAATTTATAATACGGCGCCATTTCTGTATATACCACCGATCTAGTCAATGAAAGTCGAGCACTAAGATGATCTCATTACATACTGTCTGCCTGGATTCCTTCGAGCAACTGTTTTCTTGCATTGTCGTGCAGTTGCTGGAGAGTTGGGGTAATAAGAGTGAACAGGTGCTGTGGGAGGCTGAGATTTGGTATCGGAATGATTTCTTCTGCCATGACTGTCAGTGTTAGGGAGCTTCCCCTTCGACGCGTCAGTCTCTCAAGTTCATATTCCCACGGTCTGAAGACGCGTCAGACACCTGAACGCTTTCCACCATTCATAGCTAGCACTGAATCATGACATCTACTCAAGACCTCCTCAAGCAGGCTGCAGATATTGCGTCCTCTAACCCAAAGCGTGCAGAGGAGCTTTACAAACAGATATTGGATACCACGGGTGTGCTGAATAGTGGATGTCTTGACTACTAGTGCTAATCATATTACCAGCATCAACCTCCAATGGATCGGCAGCCAATACTGATAAGGAACAGTCCTTGCGTGATCAAGAGTCTGCCTTGATCAAGCTCGCAGAGCTCTATCGAGATCAAAAGTAAGTCTTGCCAAGTCTATTGTTGTACCCAAGCACTTACTCCAGACAGAGATGCTAGTGGCTTAGCGCAAGTCATTACGCTCTCGAGATCATTCATGTCTTCAACCGCCAAGGCAAAGACCGCCAAGCTCAGTGAGTGTCCCTCTGTTCTCGACTTGTCATATATGCTCAATGTTTTTTGTGTAGTCCGCACGCTTCTCAACTACTTCAACTCCATCCCTAACAGCCGGCAAACTCAAATTGATGTCCTAACCGACAATATCGAGTGGTCAAAGCGCGAAAAGCGCATATTCCTTAAGCACAGCTTGGAAATTCGTCTTGTTTCCCTGTAAGAACCACTCCTTCTCCTTACGACGATGCTGATTATCGGTACAGGCAACTTGAAGCACTGCAGTATAAGCTGGCCTTAGCGCGGATCGACGCACTCTTAACAGAGTTAAAAAGGCTCGATGACAAGATGATTCTCACCGAAGTACACCTGCTCGAGAGCCGCGTCTACCGTGGCATTGGAAATCTTTCGAAGGCCAAGGTTAGTCCTTCGGGCGCTATCCCAGTTTATCCATTCCGTGCTCTTACGTCCGTCGAATGCATAGGCTGCACTCACTTCCTCCAGGACTGCTGCTAACTCAATATACTGTCCTCCTCATCTGCAAGCAGCGTTAGACCTCCAGTCCGGTGTTCTCCATGCCGAGGACAAGGATTACACTACCGCATACTCATACTTTTATGAAACTTTTGAGAACATGTCATCGCAGGATGACCCAGCAGCGCTGAACGCCCTCAAGTACATGCTTTTGTGCAAAGTCATGCTGAATATGGTGCGTCGTCACTGATATTCATTGGTTAGTCATTCTGAATGTGCGTTCCAGCCCGAAGATGTAACGTCACTCCTCTCCATCAAGCTCGCGGTGAAATATGCTCAGCTCCGCGAGATCGAGAGTATGCGTGCTATAGCGCTTGCGCATCAGAACCGGAACCTTGCCGATTTCGAGAAGGCCCTTCGGGACTTCAAACACGGTATGTTAGGCTCAGTTCAAACAACGCATCACTGACTTGTTATCGCTACATAGAGCTCTCGTCGGACCCCACCATTCGCTCGCATCTTGCAGCGCTTTATGACACCCTTCTCCAGCAAAACCTCCTACGCATCGTTGAGCCGTACTCGGTAGTAGAGATTGAGTACGTTGCCAAACAGGTCGGGCAAGGACGGCAGGACGTTGAGGCTAAGTCCGTGTTATATTTTTTCTTTGAATTTACCAGTAGCTCATGTCGCGTTCCAGGCTATCGCAGATGATATTGGACAAGGTGTTTCATGGCGTGCTGGATCAGGGGCGAGGATGCCTAATCGTATTTGATGAGCTAGAAGCAGACGTGCGTCTTCTCTTACCACTCATGCCGTCCATGCTCATTTCTTTTTTCTGTCAGAACACGTATGGTGCAGCAATTGGGACTCTAGAGCAGGTTAGCAAGGTCGTGGACTCGCTGTATGCCAAAGTGCGTCCATTTATTGTTTTTGGCCGCTGTATTGTGCTTACGAATGTCATTCAGACTGTTAAGATTGCATAGATGTAGTTGTTTATGTGACCTCCTCTCTATAGGTGAAACTCAACATAATGCATATAACTAAGAGGACGAAACCGCCACACTGTTAAGGATAGATTCCATGTCTGCGCTCGCCCTCACTAGCCAAGTCGTCACGCTGATATGAAGATATGTAAGTAAATATCATGGTCTGAGCTCGTGTCATTCTCGTACACATAGACATATAGTCAGTGGTATTGTCGGAAGAGATCAGCATATGCTCAAACACCTGCTGCGATGAGATAACCGCCGGTGCTAGGTATCAAAGTGTGTTACATGCAGGGCCACTTCGTGAGCAGCCATATATACTTGCAGTTCTACGTCTCGAAGAATCCTAGCGCAACGACGCTGTTCTCTTACGGTGGATGTCTCTGCTACTTGGGTGGAGGACCAGGAAGTGAGGAGTCTGCTTGAGAAGTGGGCAGATGATGTGGAAAGAATAGCTGATATACAGCATTAAGGAGGAGCCGCAGCAGCGGCGAAGACGGAGACAGAGGCTGAACCTAGACCTGGCCCGGGAGCATCAAAGGAGGGTGGCATCAGATGACAATGTGAAGAAAAAGATCAAAGCGTTGAGGTGCAGAAGGATTTGCAGAATAGTTGGAAAGTACCGAGTCGACTTGATTTCTTTCGCGCTGCATCATCTTTTGATACGTCACGGTATTTCAGTAGACAATCTATTATCGATTCCAAAGCACCTTGGTACACATGTCGAGCATTTCATCATCCACCTCGCTGCCGAACGACTGACCATCCTAGGCACAGATTCTGTGTTCGTGGAGCATGCGCAAAAGGCTTAGGATGAGACGGCGACGTATGCTGATGCGGCTATTCTGTGATGCCGATTGGATGGTCACGTCCAGCGGCTATTTTTCGGCTAGTTGCGTTGCTGGAATGTCACTGTGGCAGTTGTCAATGGTACGGTCGAAACCTTCAAGTTATAATTATACACACTAGTGCCGCTGATGGTTCTATGACTTTGCGCACATGTCGATGCATGTCTTGTTGTGTGCTTTATCTATTCTAGTGGGCTGTCCTGGCGTGCATCATCCTCTCCAAATACTGTCTAACGTCGCATACAGAATTTTTGCTGTCTACTCTGCAAACACTTGTTACTCGTTCGTCGACCAGTGGGTGCTAAACTCCATAGAAAAAAATACGTGAGTCGACGGTCAGAACTTATAGGGTCAAAACAGAAATAGGTTTCAAACTTGTAAAAAAATATCTTTTGGTGGGCTGGTACATATCATGGAGGGTACTTCTGGGATGGATATGAGCCAACAATTAAGAAAATCGGCGGTTCGGTTGTGGAGATATGTCCAAATACTGATATTTGAGCCTACCTCCCATATCACATGAATGCCGACCTCCGGAAGGTCTGGGACCATTCCCAATCGATTCAGAGGCCTCAAATACCCTAGGAGAGATGTTTTCAGTATCGGTATTGAGGCGGAATACCGGGATAGTGACATATAGGAGGTCAGGAGGAGGGGGAGGACCCTGTATATCTCAGGAACACGATTTTTCCAGGCAATTCTGGCATGACCATCGTGTTCAGAGGGCTCAATAACCCCCAGGAAAAATGCTTCTGAAGGACAGGCTAGTCATATGAAGTCTAGAAAAATCGATCTTTGGGTGGGGGAGCATGGCCTTGGTGGCCAACTTTGGAAGATGATTTTTAGAGCAAAATCCGGCTCGACCAACGTCTTCAGATGGTCAAATAACCTCAAGAACGAGTCCTAGCTAAAGCCAAGCAAGCCATATGAAGGCTGAAAAAATCGATCTTTGGGTGGGGGAAGGATGACAGGGGCAGCCAACTTTGGAACATGATTTTTAGAGGGAAATCTGGCTCGACCAACGTGTTTGTATGGTCGAATAACCTCTAGAACGAGTCCTACCTAAAGAAAAGCAAGCCATATGGAGGCTGAAAAAATCGATCTTTGGGTGGGGGAGCATGGCCTTGGTGGTCAACTTCGGAATTTGATTTTCTCATGCAAATCTGGCTCGACCATCCTTTTCAGAGTGTTCAATAACCTCGGAAACAAGTCCTACATCAACCCTTGCGAGTCATATGAAGGCTGTAAAAATCGATATGTGGGGGAGGCCTGCATGCCCTAGGGGGTCAACTCCAGCATTTGATTTCTTCGTGCAATTCTGGCTCGACCATCCTTTTCGGAGTGTTCAGTAACCTCGGAATCAAGTCCTACATGATGCCAGGCAAGTCACATGAAGGCTGTAAAAATCGATGTGTGGGGGGGCCAGCATGGCCTAGGGGGTCAACTTCAGCATTTGATTTCTTTGTGCAATTCTGGCTCGACAATCCTTTTCGTAGTGTTCAATAACCTCGAAATCAAGTCCTACATGATGCCAGGCAAGTCACATGAAGGCTGTAAAAATCGATGTGTGGGGGGGCCAGCATGGCCTAGGGGGTCAACTTTGGAATTTGATTTTATTGTGCAATTATGGCTCGACAAATGTGTTCAGATGCTCCAATAACCTCTAGAAAGAGTCCTAGATACAGCCAAGCAAGCCATATGAAGGCTGAAAAAATCGATCTTTGGGTGGGGGGGAGGGGCATGACAGGGGTTGTAGTCAAATTTGGAATATGATTTTAAGAGGGAAATCTGGCATGACCAACATGTTTGTATGGTCCAATAACCTCTAAAATGAGTCATGCCTGAAGTCAAGCAGGTCATATCAAGGCTGTTAAAATCGATGTGTGGGGGGCCAGCATGACCTCGGTGGTCAACTTTGAGAATTGATTTCTTCGTGCAAATCTGGCATGACCATGGTCTTTGTATTGCTCAATAACCTCAAAATCAAGTCCTACCTTATCCTCCCCAAGTCATATGAAGGCTGTAAAAATCGATCTTAGGAGAGTGTGGTGCTGCTGCTGCTTACATAAGCAAGAATGCGGTCCTCTCAGAGGGGGCCTGCTCACCACTCAATGCCACTGTGATGCACCAGCAAATAAATCTTGCTGATTTGTTTCCGAGGTTCAGAGTGTTAGATCCTGCCTGTATCTGCCTTATGAAACGCCAAAATTGTGAATTGCAGAGGTGTTATGCAGAATTGCACAGCAGGGACCAAGCTGTTCACCTCTGATAGAGGTGGCCATCTTGTACATGTATATTTTCGCTTTTTTACGATCTTCTTGGCTTTGGTGGATTTCACACAACAAGACTTGTCCAAGTCCTGATGATTTGACTGACTTTTGCTTCTTGTCTGGTATTGACTTGCATGACAGGGGCAGCCAACTTTTGAACTTTATTTTAGAGGGAAATCTGGCAGAGTCCTTAGATTTGACCGATGTTCGCTTCTTGGCTGGCTTTGGCTTCATAAATGTCTCTCTTCATAACTCCATGAAAGCGAAAATATAAGTAGAAGTTGGCCACCTCTATCAGAGATGAATCCCCCATGAAGGGGAGGAGTCCTCAGATTTGACTGACTTTCACTTCTTGGCTGGCAAAACCTGGACCTTGCCACTCAAATAGCCCTCAGAGCGAAAATCCTGGTCACCTCTATCAGAGATGAATCCCGCATGAAGGAGGAAAACCAGAGCCTTGCCACTCAAATTGTCCCCAGAGCCAACAAGAAAGTGAAAAGTTAAAAGAAGCGAAAATATGAAGTGTTGGCCACCTCTATCAAAGGTGAATCCTGCATGAAGGGAAGGAGCACTTAGATTTGACCAACTTTCACTTCTTGGCTGGCAAGGCCATGTGGGCCAACATGTGGCCGACTGTCATATGAATAAGTTGCCCTTGGGCAATGGATGATACAGTGGAATTTGACTGCATCTCTGATGGAACCGCAGGAAGAAAGTTAATGTTCAAGGATATCCAATTCACTGGTTAGTTTGTAAAGCGGTGTCCGGAGCTTCTTCTAACACTCTAGCTACAATCAGTGCCCATGAAGGGGAAAAACCCTTAGATTTGACCGACTTTCACTTCTTGGCTTGCAACTGCACCCAAATACCAGAGCCATGGCACCTAGCAACCAGGACCTTGCTACCCAATGCCCCAGAGCAACAAAAAGTGAAAGGTGAAAAAAGCAAATTCCTGGCCATCTATCAGAGCTGTTTCCCCCATGAAAGGAGGCCAAGATCTTGCTACCCAATTACCCCTCAGAGCGAAAATCTTGGCCACCTCTATCAGAGCCCATGAATGGGAAAAGCCCTTAGATTTGACTGACTTTCGCTTCTTGGCTGGCAAAACCTGGACCTTGCCACCCAAATAGCCCTCAGAGCGAACTTGGGGCGAGGAAATAGGAATGTGAACTCTGGGGGGTCACAAGGATATATGCCTCGAGAGGCGTGCTAGTAGTATCATCCTTGAGGGATGCTACTGAGGCAAATCTCTTCAAGTATGAGGAGGATCAGGGACTAGCTAGACACCGAAGATATGCGAAGACGTGCAAAAATTGTGATGGGGTCATGAAGAAGGAGGCTCAAGAAGTCAAAGCCAGAAAAGGAGGATCACAACATTCTTCCGAGTCGTTTGGGTGAAGGGATGGTAGATGAACGCTTGAAAAAGGGTCGTACTCACCAGATTAGGTGTGTATCAATTCGTCCCATGCCTCACTTTCTATCATTAAGATTTTGCTAAGCCTTGGGGAAGAAGCACCGGACCAAGAAGAACAGACGATGTACAGTCATTACTGGGATTTGGACTATCCTGCAACTATCTTCATTTTCAAATATACTTCATTGGGTAGGTCATGGTATTTTCTATGTGTCCCCACTCATGCCAACTCCCGACCCCGCCTGATACAACCCTCAACCCAAGCGACTTTTTCTTGACCTTGCTTGCATCATTGCAACAACATCAATGACATTGTAATTACATTATGGCAAGGGACACTTACAAAGGCAAAGCCAGCCAAGAAGCCAAAGTCAGTCAAATCTAAGACTCGGACAACCTTTCTGTGTGCGATGGCAAGATAAGTGTACCAAAGCAGTGTCCGGAGCTTCTTCTAACACTATAGCTACATTTCAGATGACGAGTCAATGGTCAATCCTCATGCAGACTAAATCAGTCAAATCATAATGAAGCTTGGGTGAAGGGATGGTAGATGAACGCTTGAAAAAGGGTTGTACTCACCAACATATGAAAGACATCAGTTTTGGTGAGGAAATAGGAATGTGAACTCTGGAGAGCCACAAGGATATAGACCTTGATAGGCGAGCTAGTGAATCTGAAGCGAAAATCCTGGTCACCTCTATCAGAGATGAATCCCCCATGAAGGGGGGAAACCAGGATCAACTTTCTTTGACTTCCTAGCTGGCCTTCACTCCGCAGGTGTCCCTCTTCATAAGGTCATTATAGGTTTACTACACCATTTGCTCACAGGCTTTCTGAGATCATAAATTTATGAAACCAAGGCCGGCCAAGAAGCAAAACCAGTCAAATCTAAGACTCGGACAACCTTTCTGTGTGTAAAGGAAAGGTATGAATATCAACTTTTATTGAGGGCCGACATGTGGCTGACTGTCATATGAATAAGTCGCCCTTGGGCAATGGATGAGTACAATGGAACATGATTGTATCTCTGACGGAACCATGGGAAGAAAGTTAATGTTCAAGGACATTGAATTCACTGGTTAGTTTGTAAAGCGGTGTCCGGAGCTTCTTCTAACACTATAGCTACATTTCAGATGACGAGTCAATGGTCAATCCTCATGCAGACTAAATCAGTCAAATCATAATGGGGCTTGGGTGAAGGGATGGTAGATGAACACTTGAAAAAGGGTCGTACTCACCAGGTTAGGTGTGTATCAATTTGTCCCTCGACTCACTTTATGTAAGGAAATAGGAATGCAAACTCTGGGGAGTCACAAGGATATAGACCTCGAGAGGCGTGCTAGTAGAATCGTCCCTTGAGGGATGCTACTGAGGCAAATCTCTCCAAGTATGAGAGGGATCAGAAACTAGCTAGAAGCCGAAGATATGCGAAGGAGCGATTATGAAGTCAAAGCCAGAAAAGGAATGACGACATGTTTCCGAGTGGTTTGGGTGAAGGGATGATAGATGAATGCTTGAAAAAGGGTCATACTGCAAATCTCTCCAAGTATGAGAGGGATCAGGGACTAGCTAGAAGCCGAAGATATGCGAAGGTGCACAGAAATTGTGATGAGGTTATCAAGAGGGACAATTATGCAGTCAATGCCAGAGAAGGAGGATGACAACATTCTTCCGAGTCGTTTGGGTGAAGGGATGGTAGATGAACGCTTGAAAAAGGGTCGTACTCACCAGGTTAGGTGTGTATCAATTCGTCCCATGCCTCACTTTCTATCATTAACATTTGGCTAAGCCTTGGGGAAGAAGCACCGGACCGCGAAGGGTTGGAAGTCTTAGATTTGACTGACTTTTGTTTCTTGGCTGGCTTTGTCTTTGTATATGTCCCCCTTCATAAGGTCATTATAATTTGACTGGAATAGTATATGGATGCTGCATTTGCCTAAAGAAACCTCGCACATGCGACCGGGTCTTGCACCATGGCCAACATCACATCTTTTGCACCTCATAGTCCTTTGTAATGTTTCTCCCAAATGTGCATGGATGCCTGATGTCTGATGATAAATTAAAGCCGGTTGCCCACATTACATTATACATCACGCCAAAGAATGAAGGCATTAGCTGCCATTGAGGTTCATCTGGTATACGAGCACTTGGATGGCGGTTTTGCGTTCCCTAGTGCATGCAATGGTGGTGCCAAGGTGCTATTCACAAAATTTATTAATACAGTACATCTACATCCATCGCTCATTCCCACAATATTTTCTAGTTGGGTGATGGGAAATGGTCTCCGTGGACGTGGGGGAGGGGGGACTCTCTTGTTTTTTCTTGGCCATGGTCATTTGCTTCTGAATTTCCCGCCGCTTCTGTCCTCCTGTCTTTCTCCGCAGATTGCCATCAGTGTCGAAGGGTTGAGAGTCCATGAGGTCAGCTGCAAATATGCGTTTACCCTTGATCAGCTTCATCGTTCGTCGCGCTTTTGGGGCCCTCTTCTGGCTCTCGCCTCCCTTTCCAATACAGTCGATCTTGTAGAATATGGGATTGGTCGTGAACACGATTGCTTCGTTCTTTGCGTCCACACTCTTGCTCCGCTAGCAGGAAGGCAGTGAAGTTCCGAAAATACCTCACGTAATCCCTGTTTCAGCAACTGTTGCTGATCCTCATCCATCGCCTTCATCGTCCTGTGAAATTCTGCAATGTATCCATCGCCCTCCCAAAGCCCAGACCACTGAGTA